AAAATGGTATGTGCTGCTTTGATTTAATTGTCTTTTAACCAAGTGTTGGTTTGTCCTGTCCGCAGCTAATGTTATCAAAATCTCACTGCATTTACACATGCTGGCTTTTCTTTACTTCTGTGGTGCGGATGTGTTTTTAACCTTTTAAGAAAATAAAAACAAGTTTTTGTTATGTGAAAATAGAGAACCGATGAAATATTAGAAAAAGTTTTCATAAACTGTACAGATAACCAAACTACTTAAAACTATTTTTTAAAGTTGTTCTACTAAATGTAAAACCTTCGTTACCAATGAAGAAGCTCTCCTCAGAGTTCATTTTAAAGGGAGTTTTATTTCTTAGCTGCAAATATCCATTAGGTGGCACTGCTACATTTTTGCTTTTAAATATTTTCATGTTTGTTTCAGAAGAATAGCAAAGGAAAAACACTTTGCCAGTCTAACCTGCTAGTAAATTTTAGTAATAGAGGATTAGTATGCATAAATGTGCACATCATGCTTAATATATTTTCCTTTTTTAATACACTATCTAGGAAAGCTGGTTTATTGTACAATATGATTTTAGTTTTGGATTAAGTCACATCTATATTTTTATTCTAGCATGAATTTTAGTCCAGTTAACACATTACATTCTTTGTAGAAACAAGTGGAGTGGCCAAGGAGGAGAAAATTGGAGGAAACAACAGAGACGGTGACACAGTAGGTTCCCTTCTTTTTTCCCCACAATGAGTCTCATTACAAAAGGTCTTATTACACTCTGCTTAGATTTTGTTCTTCAGCAGTAAACATTTTACTTTTGTCTTTTAACACAGACTGATTGCTCTGAATCTCTCCTGTTGCCTGTTCACGTTGTATCAGTTCAAGACGAGAGAGAAACAGCGATTTCAGGTAGTCTTGTTTTCAGAAACAATAACATAAAAATAAAATGTATTATACAGCTAATAAAATTTGCAAACAGTCAACATGAGGATGTTATACGATTCAAAGCACAGGCAGTCTTGTCTCCACATAATGTCATGGTGTGGATGTTTTGATTAGAAAGCAACCAATACTGAAGAACCTGTATTCTAATTAAAATACTGGTATCTTCTGTTACTCTCCTTTTTGTTTTCTTTTTATATTGCTTTATTCAAAATGGGTGGTCTCCAGTCCAGCCTCCTGCTTCAGAGAATCCTGCCACATTCTGGAGAAAATGCAGAGAAGCTGGCTGTGTGGAGCAAATCATGAACAAGTTAACTGCAACCGTGACTGATATTTCAGAGAGAATAATTGCCGACCGAGCCAGTGATGAAGGTAAGGAGAAAGCTTCAAACACTCAGTCTGGACCCACAATCAAAATTGTCATTAGGGTCAGTGCTTCAGTATTTACTACAAGCACCTCTACTTTGGTCTTGAATAAAGACCAAAACTAATCATAATAAAGCCAAATTCTTAAGAAAAACAAGAAAATGAAATAAGTATTTGCCAGGCTACACAATTCAAAGTTTATTTCTCTCCAATAATGTGAAATTTCTCCGTAACCCAAATTTCATGCAAATTTGAGAGTCCTAACATTAGGACAGTAAATGTAAGACATGAACAAAAACAGCACATGGTGTGTGTACACTTGTGCACAGACTCAGAATCTTTTGCTATATACCACATTCTTAAAAATCCGTTTTTTTTCAAATCTTGTAATGTGTGCCTGCTGCTGTTCAGTTGATGCCCATTCCATAGTTTTTCTCAGGAAACATCTGGATGAGAGAAAAGGACACTGAAAAGGAGTAGAAAATAACTTGACTGTTAATGAATGTGGCCCTTTGTCTTGAGATGAGAGGACACATTAAGATCGTTTGTTCTTTTGCCTCACTATCCTCAGATTATGCCTTTGCCATGACAGTATTAGAGGCATCTGGAATGTTACCAAATGTACTTCAAGAAAAGGAAAGAGGTAAGGAGTGTTTGTATGTGTAATAAAGTTTGTTCTACTTTCCTTTTGTATAAACAAAACTCTCATAAAGGGAATTGTTTGAACATTGTTTACAACTAAGATGCTGCATTGAGAATAGTACATCATACTTCATTCTGTAAATGTGAGCAAAAAATCATTAGTTGATGTTCAGGTGACAAAGTACTGACTCTTTTGGGATGTTTATTTTTCTTGCCAGAATTGAAGGAGCAACTGGAAAATCTTAAGAAGGAAATAGATGCCCTGAGAAGCTCACAACATGCAATAAATGAACTAAAACAGAGTCATAGTATTAAACAAGAGAGCAATTCATGTTAGATGATTGATGCATACTGAGCACCTCTGCCAGCAGCCATATCACCCTGCAACTCACAAGTGGCAGCCCCCTGAAGCTCAGCAGGTGGGAACCTGGTCACTTCCTGGATGGGAGACCTCCTGGGAAAAACTAAGGTTGCTGCTGGAAGAGGTGTTAGTGGGGCCAGTAGGGGGCGCTCACCCTGCGGTCCATGTGGGTCCTAATGCCCCAGTATAGTGAGGGGGACACTATACTGTAAAAAGGCGCTGTCGTGCGGATGAGACAAAAAAAGGGTCCTGACTCTGTGTGGTCATTAAAAATCCCAGGGTGTTTCTCTAAAAGAGTAGGGGTGTTACCCCGGTTTCATAGCCAAATTTCCCCCTGGCCTTTACAGTCAGGGCCTCCTATTAATCCCCAACTATGAACTGGCTTCATCACTCTTTTCTCCTCCCCACTGAGAGCTGGTGTGTGGTGAGAGTACTATCACATCATCACTACACATTGGTGGTGTGGGTGGAGGTGAGTCCCCATTACCTGTAAAGCGCTTTGAGTGGAGCATCCAGAAAAGTGCTCTGTAAGTGTAAAGAGTTTGTATTATTCTGAGCTGAGTAAGCTTATTCAGATGGCCTCAGAAATATTTACTCGGTTAGGGTTAGCATCTGTCTATGTTCTGTACATACTGTTACATATAATCTTAAGAGTATATACAATATAAAAGATCTACAAGAGCCAATTATGGTTCAATCTTAAAACCAATATGTATTTTTCTCCAAATATAGTTTTAGAATTCAATTGCAGTTTTATTTTACATCCTCAGAACCACTCGCCCAAAAGGAGATGTATCTCAGGAAGTCTTCACTATTGACCTTAAACGTAGTGTAATTCATACCTCAATGAAATTGAAACAGATAACAGAATATGCATAATGTGTTTTGCTTAGGAAAAATCTAAAAAACATTGCTGTCTGGATACTACGGCACAAAGCAATGTCATGACACAAGGGTCGTACTTATTCATACTTCTGTTGCTTTCAATTAGGTCCAATAAATCAATCTATAATGTTCAGATTTTTGGAAGTGCAATAAAACCATCCTGAAATATATAGAGCCTCCAAAGTTTTTCTATTGTAAAATATAGTCTATGTAATAATCATGATCATGATCATAAGGTCAAAGATGTCACCAAAAGACTGCAGACCAAGAATCAACAAAAAAAAACACATTCCACCATTTTCTGCTCTGTTGCCCTAGTGACAATCCATCCCATCCAGGAAGAGGATGCAGGTTTGTCTTGGCACAGTGGGCTATAAGGAAACTGTGAATCCAGATGTAATTTGATGTTGTGGAAATAAAATCAGAATGGCAAAAGGAACCATGTCATATAAAATAAAAAAATAACTCTGGATCCTCTCCTTAACATTATAGTGTGTGTAAAGAAGGTGAAGCTCATCTTTAGAAAATGCTCATACCTGCTGTGGAATCTAGTAGGGGTCTGTTGTTATCTGAAGTGGATTAGTATCTACAGGACACTTGGTGAGAGTTCATGGGATTAAAAAGTCCAACCCATACCAGGGCATTTTGGTCAAATAGTTGGTTTCCTCTGCCAGGAAGCTCAGTATTGGCTGAAAACAGACATTCCAGCACGACATGATCCACAGCATGCTTGCAAGCAGCAGGAGTGGTCAGGTTCACTCAAAGTAAATGGTCTGGAATGGCCATCAACCCATCCCACATGATGGCTCGAACTCGAGAAGGCAGCTCACCCGCAGAACCCAAAGGCTCTGAAGGAACTGGAACCATTTTGCCTGAAAGAACGCTCATTCTTGCTCTGAATGCCAGAGCCTCGCACTGTAGCATACCGCAGTAGGCACCTTGCCTGTACAATCCCTGCACAGTTGCAAAAATGAGAGCTTTCAAAATACAAACTGCAGGGGTGTGAATTAATATGACCGTTGCGTTTTCTGGACATCATTTATAACAATTATGACTTTGTTCTGTGCATTGCTTTATACTGTAGTACTTAAATATTGTACACATACAGTATCTGTTTATAGAAATCTACATTTACATTACCTGCCATACCATAGTAAACTCTGAAAAGCAATGTATTGCAACTTGCATGTGAGTTTGCAGTTTTTGTTTCACATAAAGCCAGTTTATTTTGATAATGACATTTTTAAAAGTGTGTTTTGTGTATCTGCTATATTAGTGTGGTTTAATCTCAGAGTGTTGTATAGTAAAAGGGAGAAAGTGCTCCACAGGTCTGATACAGTAACACATTGCTGTAAGAGGCTGCCTACAGTTAGATGACCACTCAAGAGCTGAATTACTAACACAGGAATATGCTTTTTTTAATCAACCAATTCTTTAATTTGGTCACAGCAATAATACACACTACTTACCCACAAATAACACAATGAAGGCAACATAATAATACTATGCTCAATCCTGTCAAATCAACTATATGCTTATTATGCACACTGCAAATGGTTTATTCAAGGTTCTTTAAAAAATAAAAGATAAAAAAAAGGTTTCAGTACATTCAATGAAGATGCAGTGAAAAGTCCATACCATGATCCACATCCAAGTATTACATATTACAGAAAAAAAAGCATGCTAAGCTGCTCTTCGCTCTTCAGATCTTAAAACAGATCTCCTGGAGTCATATTTTTGCTTATTATATTAAATTAATAGCTTGGCTTAATAATTGTTTCGTTTTCTTAATGGTGCTACAATACATGGATTATTTAAGACATGTTTAACAATATTACATTATCCTTAGTTCTTATACTTCATTATTAGTAAAATAAAGGAATGCTTGACTTAAGTGCTATTTTTTCCCCATACAATAGCAATTTTCAGTCTTTCTCATTTATACTTTTTGATTGTGGACTGTATGATCCAATTACATGTGAATGTGGTTACTATTTCTATATTGCTCAATGTGCACACCCTTATTTTACATTATGTTAATACAAGGTAATCAAAAATACATTTTCTTAGAAGAATATTTATGTGTGGATTTCATAACATTTAATTTTTCTGAGGTATGCAGCTTGCAAGCCAGTTCCTCAAACTATTGGCACAAGCCTACTGTGAAAAATCATGATGTTCAGCCCATTTAAAGAACTTGTCCTGTTTACCGCGTGCTTCTATGCTTCCTGTAGCATGCCTCTCAAAACATGCATATTTATATTCAAGCCATAACTTATGCATTGACCTACTATAAAGAGACAACTCGGAAGAAACTCTATAAAAAGATTCATTATCCACAGATGGACAGAAGATGCCAAATGTCTGCTAAAATCCCTGAGGTTCTTCAAGACTCTTATATGGAAAGCTGTAGTCATACCACTGTTAAACTGGTGACAGTTTACCTCAGCAGATCATGCAAAGATAATTAGATAGTATCCAGGTAAAAATCTAAAGAGTATTGGGATTACTTCTCTTGCACACATATGTAATGTTACCACAGATTAAGTGCAAATGATCTTTCAGGTCAGGTTATTCTACCCTTATACTGGCTCTCGCATACAGACATGTTACATGCTTTAGAATAGATTACCCCCAAAGGGGGGCATTCTTTAGCTATTTATTCTCTCTTCAGCTATTATTTCTTTTTTAAGCAACTATGAACATCTGTCTGACAAAGCAGATGTCCTGCAAATAAAACCTCAGGCATCTAAACTAGCACTCACCTCCCAGGAGGGACAGCAAGTATAAAAACCAGCAAACTAAGACAAAAGGACTATGAACACGGCTCAGCCCGTGTTCAGGTGCTCCACTCAAGCCATCTCTAAATACCACATCAGACTTACTCTATTGAGAAATTGTGGGGAAAATATTTGATATACCATGTGCTTAAACTGTAAGATATAGCACTATCAAAATAGATTTTTTTTCTCAACAAAAAAAAACATCCTGCTCGTGTTCTGTGAACATTCCTTTGATGAAGAATGTGTTTGCGTGCAGTAACTCCAAGATACACAGCTGATCCAGCTCATTCACAGATCTGCGTTTGATATTGAACACATCCCTCACTAGGGGGATAATGACAGTATTTGTAACCTTCTTCAGATGCAGTTGTACTTCAGTGGAGTAACAGGCACCTACGAGTCACAGCTGGGGACTCCTGTGGTAAATACAGTCTTCCTTTGTAAAATGGCACTCATGAGAAGCCAATTCAGTTTTTAAAGGCCCCACATTTGCTGGCTTTGGAAATGAATTCCTTCAGTAGTGCCCCGTCGATCTGCCAGAACGCTGCAGTCTGAGTGACTTCTGTCAAGTGATTGACACAAAACTTGAAGCAAAACTCTTCCAAATCCTAGACACAAAACGAGAAACATTATCAGAATACCACAGCTTCCGTTTTCTAAATCTACCACAGATGCTAAATTATATCTCATGGTCTCAATTTACGTTGACTACCCTCCGTGTTTGAAACTGCCAAATTTGTGTTTTTAACATCTCATCCTGCTGCTCCAAACCCCACAACCCCACACATTGGAGAATAGGGGAGGGAATCTCTGGGCAACTAACGATTTCGTGGCTTTCCAAGCAGAGGGTGCGGGCCGGAGTTTGTCCATCTTCACAAAGCGGTAGCTTAGCTTAGATCAAGTATAAGCATGGCGCACTTGTCAACCTATAAATCTTCATGTTTCACCACACAATTAGTTTAGTCTTAACCCCCAAAAACGAAACCATTATTATTTGCTCTATTTGTCCTTTACGTTGTATTGTTTTTATCTGAAATGTTTAGTACTGTGCATGTAAAAAAAAACATTAAAAATTCGGTTATGGAGTTTTGTGCATCGATGCAGAATCGTACAAGAGACATGGACAGTCATGCAGAGCAGCCACTGCTTGTGTTGCAGCAAAGAAACATCAGAATTTACCTCGGCGTCGTATCTGACTGCAGCAGACAGCAGGGAGAAGGCATTCTCTACAGTGATGCCTCTCTTGATAATGTGCTGGCACAGCTTCTTCAGGCGGTTCTCACAGTAGGACGTGGCCAGATCCAAGAGTCCTGTAATTAACAGCGTTGAGGGAGGTTTCTAACAGGGTAAAGAATCGAGCAGCAAATAAGGCAGAATCACTAGGGGTATTTTAATATTCTGAAAACGGAAACTTTATAGGGAATTTAACTGAAAGGTTTTTTTTTTTCAATTTCAGGCACAAACATATTCAGACGTACTAAAACAAATGAATTTTAATACTCAAGACGGTATAATGCTACAGTATGATTATTTCACATCAGAGAGAAAGAGCTTCAGAATCCACCACTGTCAGTGAACCTCACCAATGGCATCTTCTGGAGGGAGATCGACACTGTCAGTGTACAGGTACTCCAGAAATGAGCGATACACAGGGTAGGAAAACTGGTCAATTTCAATCACTTCCTTCATGTCTTCATTCCAGTGGGACTGAAACATGGAGCGGAAGTGCTCACACCTGCACAGAACAAACAGCAAGACATGAACAGATAATTAAAAAATAAACCTTCAGTTTACATGACATTGGAAAGCAGATACCTAAACTTCTCTTCTTTCATAGCACCTTTTTCTACAGATGAATTACGCCCTTAATCCTAACAATGTCAACATTGTGGGTGGGGACCACTACTCTGCTACAAATATCTAAATGGATATTCAGGGTGTAGCTCTACAGCTTCAAGACAGATTCTGGTCCCAAATCACAAACACCTCTGTTCTTTTCTCAGTCCCTGTGCAATAAGTTCTTTCAGATCAGTATTTTATTACTGAATAATTTACTCAATGTACCCATTCAGCAACTGACTGACCCAACAACTGAACACATTCACAATGCATATACAGACAGAATAAGTTGCCCACAAGCCGATTGTGTGACCGCCGCGGTTCTGCGCGGGCTCATGCCCTGCGCCGCTCCACCCCGCAACACCTGGGGCACGAACCCGGGTCTCCAGCCGAGAACCAGCCGAGTGAGCTAAAGGAGAACTCCCCCAGCCCAGGCTGCTGCGCGCAGGGAGGGCGATGACGTCACCCTGCCCAAACTAGCTCCGCTACGCCTGGTTATATTCCAGATGTATTTTGTATATTCCCCCACCACCTTAGACTCATCCACCTTTTGAAAGTAAAACACTTGTTACCACTTGTCTGGCATTGTTGAAAAAAGGAAAGACACTTTCTCAAGGACATTACCTTATTTTTAAAACGGCTTTGTGAACATGAATGTATTTCCCATCAACGCTAAACTTGAGGTCAGAGGTTTCAGGGCTATCAAATTCCTTCTTCAAAGACTGTGCGACTGTCAAGAAGTCATCGTGCTCTGGAACAAAAAGTCACAGAAAACGCATAAGCAAGGATTTCCTCTTCCTTTTTTACAAATTTGAACCTTTATAAGATAATGATATCAATATTGATAAACCAATTCAAACTGTAACAGTGGGGGGGGGGCACAGGTTCCAAGTTTTCTATAACTTAAATTAGGAGTTAAAGAACAGGATTATTTGCCAATTGTACTTGTACTCTGTGAAATTACATCAGAAGATACGGGAAAGACAGTGGGAGCAAGATCTAAAAAAATAAACTGTCCACCATTCTAAAGCACTCTTAATCAACATCAAATCTCGATCTCTGACACCACACCACTGACAACCACTGTCAGGCTTGTACTGTGAGGTATTAGCTTCTTCGTTTGGAAACCTGTAGTGCTGTGACCTGAGCTCAACTCCGCATTTTATAATATTTCAAGATATTCTTCCCCCTCGCCCCCAATTATATTTACTTTATCAGTCTACAGCCTCAAACGTGAGCTTTATAGCAGGGACCTATGGCATTCACAGAAATAATACAGCAGGGCCCTTGAAAAGCACTGAACTCCTTAACTTATCATCTTTTAGTATCTCACGAGCAGCTCGCTGCTACTGAAGCAAAATGTACCATTTCTTTGAAGTGGCACAACAGTCATGTCATTTACCAAACCCTTACCAACAGACAGGAGGCGCCACATGACGGCTGGGGTGGCGAAGCAGGCGAAGATGTCGTCGGTGCAGGAGAAGTGAGTGAGGTGGGGCAAGACCACAGACTGCCCCCGGCACTGTCCCCACATGTACACCTGGCCGCTCTGCGTCTTGGCCGCCGAGGTGTGGGCGGAGTGGCAGGCGGCGATCTCCACGATCCTGCTGGAGTTGGAGGAGCAGCTGGTGAGCAGCTGTTTCGACCGTCCCCTGCTTCCTCACTGTGTCACTCACACAGATCCACCCCCCGCTTCCCGAGCCCAAGTTTAACATGAACTGTAACAGTGAGGTAGTGGGAGGACCAGCGGCGAACACGGGCAAGAGTCGACGACCCCGTCTGAGAGGGCGGAGGCACCGGTGTGGGGTTAGCAAAACCCAAAATGCATCCAGACTGGACTTACCCTATTTAACAGGGTCCAGGCTGGGAAAAAGAACCACTTGGCACAGAAATATTCAGACTGGAATGACCCTATTTAACGGGGTCCAGTCTGGAAGAATAGGGAGCGCAAGGCCAACCTGAGAACTATACTGTCCCGGTGGTAGATACACAGCGGGCCAGGCGAAAAGAAAAAGAAAACGAGGAAAAACGTAGCCTTAACGCTCTCGTCACAGTCCCCTCCGGGACTGGTGCTGGAAGACTCTCCCCTTGCGGGGGTCTGCTCACCCCTCCCGGGAGGTGCTCAGTGTGTCTTAAAGGGCCTCAGAGCTGCAGCTCCTCCTTAATCAGCCAGGGCAGCTGTGGTTGCTAAGGTAACGCGTCCCCCTTCTCCAGGGCTCCGCCTCCACACAGAACACGCCCCCGCATAATGCCGCAGAATCGAAAAATAAATTTCCTGTTTTCATTAATTATATACAGGAAATCAAGCAGCGAAATCACCCCCCCCCCCAATCCTACAGTGAAATGGTATGAAAAATCAGCTTGTTAAGTTGTTAGGTTTGCATTTCTGCTGATAGAAACTAAGCTTCTTACTCACATTCCTAGGATTTTATTATCTGAGCCAAGGTTATAAATCAGTTTACAATGTACTTCCAAGTTGCAGACGCAAGCTTCTGAAACACTGACCTGAAAAGTTTTTAATTATTTTTGCTCACAACAGGTTTCTAGGTCTCTTTATATTGCTGTCTTTGATCTTGAGTTATCACTTACTTACGAGATCTGTTTTGTTATTTGTTGTAACAAAATTGCACAACAACAGATCATACTGTAACTCCAACAAAAACTTTTATACATTAACTTTGGGACTGTTCTGCAAATTCACTCGGACTCTAACAAAATAATCCAAAGACTTCACAGAAAAATAATTACTTATTGCCATTTAACGGAAATTGGGAAAACAAGATTATAATAAAGGCTCAAGTGTGAATAGACTGCTCTACAGAACTGCTTTCAGTCTCATTCTATTCTTATCACAATACCCAGAGCATGCTGAACACAAAGCAGGCTCCACACCACAAAAAAAAACAACAAAAGCAGATCATTCTAGATTAAACTTTTGTGTCCAAACAGTAGAGATTATTGGAGAATTATTACTGTTAGATGTATAACTAACATATATATACACATGTTAACATGTATATAGTATAAATGTACTATATTTCCTACAAGGGTAGACTATAACACTGAGTATTCAAATACAATATTAGAATTATACAAAATTTCAGGATACTAGTTCTTTCTACTTCCCTTTGAATTATTGTGGGAGCTGAATTCAATATTTTCATCCTGTCAACACTGCGCAGGACTGAGCATAAAATAAACATTTTGCTCCACCCCACCTGACACAGCACCACCTTTCTTTTTGGCTGCTGTGCTACGCGAGACTTTCTCTTCGTAACCCAGGAACTCTGGGAATAGCCATTGCTCCGAAAGTGATGGCTGCTTTTCACAAAGCCATGAGTGAGATGCTCCAAGTCCGATTTAAAAACCCCTTTTGTGTTAAAAATCCTCTTTTGCTTCCCAGTGCCCTTTCACCTGTGGAACGTCCCCCTCATGAACGCCAGACGTCCGATTCGACGCCGATGTCAGAGTGAGCCCCTCTAAGAGCAGGGCTGGTAGCCTTCACATTTGACTTGGCACAACATCCTTACCTTTCCTTGTCTGTCATTATCGGCACAGGGCTAAGCTGGTTACTCTTATTGCCAGTGCCCAGCTGCCCGTAGGTGTTAGCTCCCCAGGCATACAGCAAGCCCTCATCTGTTAGTGCTAACGAGTGCGCGTAGCCAGACGCGATCTGAAAATCAAACGTTAAAGACCATTAGACCATGTCCACAACAGAGGGCAGCAAGTGGCTCAACTATAAATACATGACACTGTACGCAGCAAGACATAAGCGAAAGTAGCCCTGGTCATAGGCAGTAACCAAATGGAAAACGATATGAGCATGTGGCAAAAAAGTGGTATGTCATGCTGTGCTCAGGTAACTGCTGCACACAACAAAACGACAAGTTCATTCTGGAAGCACTGTAAGGTTACCGTAAAAGAGAAAGTAAGATCTTCCATAAAGAAGATTTTTTCTAAAAATTGTTCTGAACAAGTAAGAACTATGACTTCAGTTCATTTTTGATGTAGTAGTCCGGCTCAATTTTTGGCACTTTCATAAAAAATGTACTCGTTTCGCCAGTTACGGACGTTCTACCGAGGGTGTGTTCAAACAATCATTATAAAATGTACACCAAAAAACACGTTGAGACTCCCCATCTTCTTCAGTGTCACCACTGATCACAACACATCCAGTACACTGTAAGAAGAGAACCTGCTCCTCTTAGCCATTTCATGTCAGCACTGGCCATCGAAGTCTGAGTGACTGCGAGCTTGGTCAATATCCATTTACTGTGCTGTGTTGAAATGCAGACAATTGCTGTACTTGTCCGTGCCCGAGAGGTGGAAAGTGCAAGAATAATATAAGCTCGAGGGAATAAAGGTCTGATACAATACGCTCTCTAGCACCTGTGTTGGAAAGGGAGTTCTAAATCTAGAATGGTGCTCCAGCACATCGATGCAGCTGGTTTGTTCAGGGGGTCCCTCACCGTCTCGGGTTTGGAGAGGAGTGGAAGTGTGGTGTTGCCAAGGAACGCGTACTGTATGTTTAAGAAGGGCTGTAACGTCATCGGATAATGGAAAGCGTGCCGGAGCTACTGCCATCTTACCTGAAGGACACAGACGCCCTGCAGAGCTACCAGGCGACAAGGGGTCAGCTGGTTGCCATTGTTGCCCAGACCCAGCTGGCCATTCCCATTGTAGCCCCAGCCGTACACCTGAAGCACAGAGACAAGTCCTCAGCTCTCCGTACGAACACAGGCTTCAGTGAGACCAGCACAGGCTCAGCAGAGCCACTCTCATGCGCACAGGGAATTGACAGGACCCACGTCAAGCAGTGGGAAACAAGCAATTTCTAGGCCTGAAAAATGTTAGCATTTCCTGTATGAACCCACAATACAGACAACATTACCGCAAGTTTCAACAATTAATCTATCCCACCACACACAGAGTCCTTTTCATTCCAGAGGTTTTAGGTCATTAAACAGCTCGTCTACAGCAAGCAGTAACAACCTAACTTCACAATTAAACGATCAGTGGAAACCACAAACCACTGGAATTGTGGTTCCACGCCTACCAATATTCTCAGAATATAAAGATTACAAATGAGAGAAGGCCTGTTTGTTCGTTAATAGATAAGTGACCCGAGGACCAGATCCAGCTGTTACTTGAAAGGAACCAGGGTTTCAGCTGCAACAACATGGCTGGGTAGCTTGTTCCATGCTCCCACATTCCTTTGTGCAAATAAGTGCATTTCCACAAAGTGTTTTGTTACTTTATGACTTCTAATATGTGAATTAACTTCAACAGTTATCCTTATCAAATATTTCAAACTATTAACTTATTTAATTAGGAAACTGGTTAGTGGATTGTATCAAGATGCCAAACTGAGCCCACCTTCGTCATTGTGGCTGGGAATAACCAGGTACCCTTTTCAAACTTTCCCCAGGGTGTACCGAGACATCTCAGATTTTGTCCTAACATTATGAGATGTCACTGAGGTGAAGCACTTCCAGCCCCAAGCCAAACCAAACTAGTTATCCTGACAGTTTGCTTCTGTACCACACAGTAGAACTTATGAAGGACATAATGTATAAAGGGCCTGTCCATGCAGGGGATTCAAAGGAGATTCCTTCTAGGGGAAAAATAAATAAAAGAAAAATCACAAGACCCACATATTTTACTCCACCTACATAAAAACCTCGTTCTCATAATTCAATCTGAAATCCTTTTAGGACACTGGTGCAGAGAAAAACTGTTCTGGTGGACAGTTCTGCTTCCTGAATTTCAACACAAATTCAAGACAGTGAAAACAGTGTTCAGACAGCCTACCTCTCCATTGTCTACTACTGCCATAGAGGAAGTCTGGCCACAGGTGATGCTGACCACGATTTTGTTTTGCAGGCAGCTGGATACTTTGCGAGGTGTCGGCTGATTAGCTGTAGATCCCGATCCGACCTGGCCGCAGTTGTTGTAGCCCCACGCATATACCTGGAAATTCACGAATCAGGCAAGTTTATATCCGAAGTTCACAAACGCATGGTGTGGTCCCTGCCTTTCTCAGTCATCATGTAAAGCTGCTGATCTGTGACTCCCACTGCAATATCATATATAATGGCACTGTAATGCTAAAGAAAAACAATTATAAAAGGTTTAGATATTAATGACTGCAACTGTCCAGGTCTTTGTAGAACACATGCCATTGCATTTGCCCTTTTGCTAGATTATTTAAGTCCTAATATAGACCCGGGTTTCAATGCCCCTGATGACCCCTCTGCATTAAGAAGTGCAAAACAGAATTGACAACTTCCACATTTACTTTTTCCACAAAAGAGGACTTCTACGAATAAAGCTACTGGCCTGATACAACACAGACATGAAAAACGACGCACAACGAAAAAATAATAGAATAAAAAGCTATAGTCAAATTTCAAATAGACAGAACACACTCCCTACAATAAAGAGTCTGTTAATGCATGCTGTCCCTCGGCTAGATCAGTTTGGATGTTAGGACTGGAACAGACCAGGCAGATTTGAATATACTGATATGCTACAGTAAATGGAGCAAGGAGCTATTCAAACATAAGCAAATTCCTTGAAGTCCATTATTGTATGAAACTTTGAGGTCTTTTGAAGTATTACCCAGGTAACGAGTACAAAAAGAGTAAAAATGCCAGTCACATGCTAACACTGAAAATGTTAGGTAAGAAACAATGATTTGGAAAGATTTAGAACTGAATTTCTGTTAGCTTAAAGCAAGAAGCAGATTTTAACACACTAGAAATCAATAATATCTGTTAAGCACAAACTTAATAGATTAGTTGGACCTTCAAAGCCCAAGTAACATGACAAATGGCAAAATTTAGGCTGTTAAATATAAAAAAAAATGTTAAGGTCATAGGTCACGCAACCAAATCTATGTAACTGTCTCATGGGTCTTCGTGTCTCCTATACATACCCAGCTTCCCTATACTTCTTTACATGTTGTTTTGTACCACCTACTCCGTGCACTGAGTAAATGAATCAAGTTCAAAAACAGAAACGGACAGCGGCCATAACCAGTCTCACCTCACCATCAGACGTCAGTGCCATAGAGTGATGGGAGCCACAGGCCACCTCCGTCACCTTCCTGTTCTGCATGTTGGCAGACACCTGCACTGGCGAAACCACTGGGTTGGTGGTCCCATTCCCCAGCTGACTGTACCCATTGTGTCCCCAGGCATATACATCTCCATCTGCGGACCAGGAAGAAAAGGACTCAAACTCAAGTACAGCACCCCAAAACACAGCGCATTCCGCGATCCAATAATTCAGAGGCATCAAAAAAATAAAAAAGCAGGAAGGCTCTTAACTGACAAAAAAAAAAAGCTATAGTCTGCTCCTAATACAAAGAAGACTGCTGGTCCATCTATTTAACCTCTGGAAGTCTATGTACACAAGATGTGTTGTATTATTAGGTTAATCTGGAGGGTAGGACTGCAATAGCTAATGATAGTGTGAAGTCACAGTTGTGTTGGAGTGGGGTTATGTGTAGAGATATGTGAATATTGCTAGATTTACATCCTTTAAGATTCTCCGGAACATGCAAGAACAGGAACTCTGAAGCATGGTAATACCGATGTAATTTAGGCCATGCCACTCAGTGACCGTGGTATGTTCTAAATAAGGAAGCAAAACCAGTCAAACACCAGGGACTAGGCTGTAACAAGCACACTTCCATATTCCAGTTCACATCGAAGCCCCATCGTTCTTACTTCATACTTAGTGTGAAGAGATGCTACTGTTTGTCCGAGTCCAACAAGAAATAGCTTGAAACACGAACACGCCTTAGGCAGTTCATGGACATATTTGGAAATCGCGGGTCCATTTTAACCAACCGGCTGTAAAAAGGGGGACAATAGAGACATATAATTGAAATCCCAGGTGTGGAGAGACCTCAGTACCGTCAGTGGCGAGAAGCACATGTGGCCCAGTGCCGTAGCTCAGACTTTTGATCTTCTTCCCACACAGGCTGTCCAGCTTTTTTGGCACAATGGTGCTCTGACTGTCCCCTGTCCCGAGGCAGTTGCTGCAGTTCAGTCCAAACACAAACACCTAGTGGGAATGTTTTTCACAAAAACGTTAGATACGCAGAGCACGTCACAGAAAGCATCACAGCAATTCAAAAGCAAATCTAAGGCAGCTCAAAATCACAAAAGATGTAAAGGAAATCGAGCTCATTTCCCTGGCTGGGGACCTGTTCTCATTCTAGTGACTGAGGACAGAACAGGACAACAGAGGCGCAAAAACAAAGCGAGACAGAGCAATTATTTTTTGGAGGGAAAAAAGAAAGTGTGTTGGAGAGGAATACCAGCCTGGTGGAAAAACAAGAGAAGCTAATTAAATCACCCTCTGGAAAGTGACAGTGTTTAAATGACTAACACCCTGAGGAGTGACATATGAATCTGTGCCCCTTTAAGTGCCAGACACTGCTCTTTAGACTTTACTAAAAAGTGTCGCATTTGAACTCCATGCAAGTAAACTAGTCTGAATTATAACCATTTTAATTAGTGTCCTCTTTATCTGACAACGTAAACATCCCTCATCACAGCAGCGTAGTGCCAGCACCCCTGTCGTCCTACCTCATCCTCGTGAGTGATGTATATGGCTTCGTTAGCAGAGGTGCCGAAGACACAAGCCTGCCTGATGGAAGCGATCTCCTGTGGCGAGAGGAGAGTGAAGAGGGGCCATTTGCTGACATCCACCATGGCGGCACCCTTCACACACGCTGGCCAGCGAGGGGAGACCACATTGCGGCAGCACCTGCGGAGACACGAAGGTATGATCACCCCAGGACAACGGAAGAGCACAGGGGTGCATGTCCCCCACGGTCATTTCCCACAGCAGATCGCCACTCGGGAGGTTTTAGGTACCATTCTAAAAATTCTTAACAGTGAACACACATATCTCAATTCTAATGCTTGTAAGGCATGAAACACAGCTGCCTAGACCTGAAGTATCTACAGTGACATGGGTCTTGTGAGCTATTTGCCATTGTTAGCAAGCCTTTTAAGCAGCAGCCATATCACCCTGTAGCTCACCGCGGGCAACACCCTGAAGCTCAGCAGGTGTGAGCCTGGCCAGTCCCTGGATGGGAGACCTCCTGGGAAATCTAAGGTAGCTACTGGAAGAGGTGTTAGTGGGGCCAGTAGGGGGCGCACACCCTGCTGTCTGTGAGTCCTAATGTCTCTGTATAGCAATGGGGACAATATACTGTTAAAAAGGTGCCTTCTTACAGGCACTTCTGACATTAAACCGAGGTCCTGACTCTCAGTGGTCACTAAAACTCCCAGTGTGTTTATGGAAAAGTGTAGTGATGTTAACCCTGGTATTCGGGCTATATTTTCCTCTGGCCTTTACCAGTCATGTCCTCCTAATAATCCCATCTATGAACTGGCTTCTTCACTCTGTTCTCCTTCCCACTGACAACTTGGGTGTGGTGAGTGTACTGGCACACTATGGCTGCCGTCGCATTGTCCAGGTGGGGCTGCACACTGGTGGTGGTGGAGTCCCCATTACCTGAACAGCACTTTAAGTGGAGTGTGCAGAAAAAGCATTACAATAAAACTTAAATTTTTATATCTGCCTTAAAACAGAGAACTTTACTGGGTTTATTATATAAGACACTGAGAATCAGTTAATCAAGCCTGTGTTTTTTCCCCACAGGCTAGCAGGATTAAAAATGCACTCGCACCAAATGACTTTTCTGGACATGAAATTGAAAATTAAAAATCCCGAAGGCCTACTCAGCTGTCTAAAGAAGTACCGGCACCAAGAAAATACAGGTCACAGGCCGAGCTGTCAGAGCCTTTCTGATTTGTGTTGCTAACCTGAGTGTTCTTCCATGCCATCTTAATCCTCCAAAATCGAGTATCTGCAAAGGTCAATTATTTTGCACCTGGCTTTGTTGATTGTGTGCAGAAATCACCAGGCTTGTACAAGACACATTCTAATGCAAGAGCGATTTTTTTTACTGCAACCTACAAATCCAAATAAAAACCGAGATCTTTAAATCCAGCATCAATGTTTTCAAGAAATTGACTAATATTTTACCGAATATAGTTGCATTAAAAGTAATAATCTAAAAGGGCTTCGCGATACATACAAAGTATACTATACTATGATTAATTACAAAGCCAATAAATCAGAGCAAGAAAGGAGGATAAAACTATCACTAACAGCAGAAAATACACTCAGAACGTTCATTTTAAAACCAGGGGTTATTCCGCTACAGCAGTGGTAAGATATTTGATTCACAAATTAGAACAGGATATTCTTGACGCAGTTACAATTACATAACTGATTTATTTGTATAATTTGAGTGACATTCACCTTGAAGGTGCTGCTTTATTTAAAACACGTCTACAAGCAATGATAAGTTACTGCTTTATTCCCATACAGCATCATACAACAACAACAACCACTAACTACATAAGGCATGTAAACGCCTATGTATTGAAATACACCCATATTTCTGGCGAAACTGGAAACGTCTATAGTAAAAATCAAACACTTAAACGACTAAGCCTAAATTTAAGACGAAATTTGACACACATCAAACCCGTACCTGTACTCGGAACGTAAGAGTATCAGAAGCCAAAACCTTTGTCAACAGCTATGTTGAACAGTATCTGTATTCACCACGAAACAAGAGAATTCAGGAAAAGCACATTCAGCACTGCCAAAAAAAAAAAACAATGCAACACCTCAAGCTCAAAAACAAGGACCTTCTACAATGCTCTGTAATCATCAGATAAACTACACCTGAAAATAAAGAGTACGGAAATGACATGCAAATGAATGAGCAGTCGTACCTACATGAAATCCGAACTTCAGACAAGATTACCGAGACAGCAGCACTATTTTGCCACAGCGATGTGAAAACGAAATAGGAAGCGAGTCTGCAGGCCGGAATTAGTCGAGCAACTGCTCCGCAGGGGTGCGGGATGACGTAATCGCGACTGATCACATGATCGCTGCTAAATAACACTCCATTTTCTAACCTTTGTCTACGGGTTGCGGGGAAGCTAGTCTATCCTGGGGGGTCGCTGTCCATCGCGGGTCACACGCCGACACAGACACGCTTCTCTCTTCACACCAGTCAAGTTTTATCCAGTTAAATTAGTGCTCTCAACATTTAAGCATGAGCAGGATGATTTGTGTGCTTTTTGTCGGGAATCTTTGGTGCAATTATTTGTTAGGTGTTATGTTTGTGAAGTTTTGGTTGGACTTGTGAGAGTTTTGTTTGTAGGCAGTTAAAGGTGCTTTTTAGATTTAAGGATTTTGATATTTTATTGTACTATTTAATAGAAAATCTGGAAAAAGGGCATTTATTTATAGTAAATTTATTAGTCATTCTGGGTAAATTTCACATTCATAAATTAAAATGGTCTAATACTCCCCTTTTTAGTACTTTTGAGGTGGAGTTGAAATACTATTTAAATTCTATAAAAAAACCCTGAAAAATGCTAAAGCTAGGAAAACATCTGATATATGTAAAAAATACAATTTGATCACATAATTTACTGAATTACTTCTGGCAGTTAAGTGTTTTTTTTCAATTGTACTTGTTTCTGATCCTCTGGTTGTATTTGTATTTGTAAATTCTTTATACGTTTAATTAAAAATAAAATAAAAAAAATATTCCCACCAGTCAAGGCCCTGTTAAGGTGCAAATTGTAAAACTGAAAGGCTCGTGTTCACGACTCAAACGCCCAGTAGAAAGTTCTGTCTGCTAGAAATTTGCCGGCGATTGTAAGAAGTGATGTGTATTGCACGCTTTTAAGTTTGTGTATATCAAGAGCTGTAATATTTTTTTTTGTTTTTGCTAATACAAAAGCCGTATGTGGGTGCAGGGCGGTACAAAGTTCCCCTAAAGAAACCCATGCAAACACAACACTCGCGCAGATAGCACCCCAGATCACAGATCTGGAGCCTAGTGCCACACGCTGGGAGGCAGCATAGTTACCCAATGCATACCGCGGGCTAATTGAGATGGGGTTTTAGACGAAACGAAATGTTATAGTTAAAAAGGTGAAGAGCGTTTCAGCACCAGCCTGAGTGTTGCAGTTTTGGTCTATGTGACACAATCTCATTTAAAACTAATCCTTATTCCTTAGTTTCTGCGATAACTTATTTTTTACTTATAAATAATTATGTATTCATTTACAATGTATTAATAAATTCTGCTGAACTGGAGTTCAATAAGAAAGGTTAAAAAAGCACTACAATAAGAAAGGGCTAAAAGTGTTCTTTGTTATGTGCTGTCCTTTAAATTATATCTTATTTTCCTTTAAAACCATATGTAGAAGCTTTCAATTACCTGATACCACTAGTCATCTGTGCGTTTTGTGTGGCGCAACCACTTTGGTGTTGCAAGGGTGAACAATCGAGTATCAAATAATCGATAGTTAATTTTTTTTGTCAAGTACCGTTGACAAATAGTGTCAGCACAGACAAATAAAAATACAAACACAAAAAAACGAATAGCATTGATCATCGGGCAAATTATCAAGCATTTAAATTCTTGCCTATGTAAATTATTGTTTTGATCATAATCTCTTACACTTACATATCGTTTTTATGAAAACTCCACTCAAAGCGCTTTACAGGTAATGGGGACTCCCCTCCACCACCAATGTGCAGCCCCACCTGGATGATGCGATGACAGCCAGAGTGTGCCAGAACACTCACCACACACCAGCTATTGGTGGGGAGAAGAATGGAGTGAATTCATAAATGGGGATTATTAGGAGGGCAGGATTGGTAAAGGCCAGGGGGAAATCTGGCAGGACACCAGGGTAACATCCTTCCTGTTTTCAAGAAACGCCCTGGGATTTTTAATGACCACAGAGAGTCAGGACGTTGGTTTTACATCTCATCCGAAGAACAGCATCTTTTTATAGTATAGCATCCCTGTCACTATACTGGAGCATTCTGACCCACACAGACTGCAGGGTGAGCGCCCCCTACTGGCCCCACTAACACCTCTCATAGCAGCAACCTTAGTTTTTCCCAGGAGGCCTCCCATCCAGGTACTGACCAGGCTCACACTAGTTGAGCTTCAGGGGGTTGCCAGTCGTGAGTTGCAGAGTGAAACAGCTGGCTAGCTAGTGTTGCTTAAAAGTCCTGTCATTGAGAAACATCCTTTGAATATTACCAAACTAGTGGTGTTAGTGATTTCTTAATTAACCACTTCCTTCTGGATTCTGTTATTTTTCATTTTAGGGTGCTGCTGAAAACAGTTCTGCTTTGCATCCAACACTTGCAAGATAATATTCCAGTTTCCTGCAACCCTTCACAAACATGGGAGACTTGCTTGTTATGGAGAGATGGACAGAATGATGATCAAACACAGTCCCTAAAGTTGTTTTCTGTTGTTATTGATGTTGGCTGTGGATTTTGAGCTACACTCAAAAAGATCCCTGAACCTCATAAAGAAACACTGCAGCATTCATATGTGGAGCAAGTGCTGTAGTTTCTTTTTCAAAATGATCAAGAAAGATAAAAAAACACATCCAAAAACATCTCTCAGAAGCCCATAAGGCTGTTATAAAATCGCAAACAGAATTTACTTTTTAATGTCCCTGCTTACCCTGCAGGAATATATTTAGATTCACATCTAACATTCTTCACTTTGAATTCAGCTGTTTCAATGAGATTGGTAAGAACCAAACGATGTCAAATCATTTTTTAGTTCCATGGAATTGCAGAGGATTCCTTGCTAATGGAGAAGGCTTGGCAGGAGACCGACAGCAATATGACTTGATAATAAATGACGATGAGAATTACAATGCTTATTGATTGTTGTCAGGGAGTGACCAGGTGCACTCCCAGTCAATAATCTTGAGCCCATCATACAGTCACACACAGCTGAGCGACTTCCTTTGTGTGTAGCTTTGCCGTTAGTTCAGTAGTATCACCATGAGAGGGCAAAGGTTGGCAGAAATACACCTCTAATACTCCTTTCATGGTTACTTGCCTGTGATTTAGCAATAGATTGCTGGAATCCTACCAGAAGTGATGTCAGGGTGTATAGGTGTTTTCTGGTGATCACAAAACAGTTGTAAATTATTGATCTATTAAGCTAGCAGACTGCTTAATTAGAGATCTCTGGTCTGAAATGTGTTGAGTTCCTTGTTTTAAATGCTCTCTAAATTAATTTTAAAGACTCACTTTGTGTAGATGATCCAATTAAAATGTAAATTGTGTCATGTCTTTAGAACCCCACAATCTAGTAATTGTCTGTAGGAGAGTTGGGGCCTTCTAGGTCCAAAACATTAAAAAGGTGACACCTGGTTCCATTTCTTTAAAGTCAGTTCCATTTTCAGTACTAGTTGGACTGGGAACAAATGCTCTCAAGTACTAAATCCATTTAGAGTTAACAATCTACCACCTCCCATATGTCTTTCAGACCATAGAAACCAGAGCAAACAACAGAAACCCACACGAACATGGAGAAAACATGCAGACTCCACACAGAAGGAGTCCAGTGATTCAAACCTATAACATTGAAGCTTTGATGCAGTAGTGCTAATCAACAAGTCACATCATATTGATATTTCTTATCTAGTTTATTGCAATTTATTGCAGTTAATAATATGATAGTGACTTTTCTGATTAGACGTTTATGTTAATAAATCATAAATGAAATCATAATTCCCAATGACCCACTAGAATAAAGCTGTAAGGTTGATTAGTTGTTCACTTCACTGGATCTGATCCACATCAGAAAAAATGAACAGCCACACACTATTACAAGTTAATGGCACATAGCCATTAAGCGCTAGTTTTCATCTAAGTTAAGGTGTTATACTTATTTAACTTTAAGTTAATTAACTTTTTCTAGTTTAAGCCCAATTTTAAAATGCACCCTGTCTTAACGAGTCCTAATGAAAATGAACTCCCATTCCTGTGGAAACAAATAATTTAGAAACTCTGTCATACCTGCTTCTGGTTGCTTAGTGATCTTCTTTGCTCTTAATCCTAAACTCTCAAATTAATGAAGCATCCCACTACAAAGAAAAGGTTAGTCTTCAAGTTTCAAGTGCAGACAAATGACTTTCAGAAAATCTCTGTCACAGAGGTGTATAATACATGTATTCATTACATCTCAGCTCTAAATGCCCTAAATTATCCCTTTCAGAAAGTTATAAAATTTGCAAATACAAAGACCCTCTAGGTCCAGAATTGGAGAACCTTTCTCTGCTGTGTTCAGGGGTAAATATTCCACTACTGACTTTCAGAAAAATCTCTTTCGGGAAAATTTCTTCCCTTAAAAAAAAAACTGCTGATGTGCTTCAGTAAATTATTTAATGAGCTGAAACAATAGCTATTAGAACAAATACACAAATAATAATGCCTGCTGCGAGGGAAAAAAAAGCAAACTTTAGTTCTATATACAGTTCTTCTAATTTCACTAGCAGTGACTGTTTTACCTGTTGACTTTACTGTAGCCAATAACATGCATTCACCTAATGTCCAGGTAACGAGGAATTAGTTTTGTTACTAGGCTACAAACACAAAAAAAGGAAAGTCGAATGTCCGGGGGTTTCTTCTGTATATTTTTACCATACAAATTAGCAGATTCCAACCTTTAAATAATGAAAGAAAAAGAAAGAAAGACACGAGGAAACAGAAACTCCCCTTTAAAGAGATGACAGCATGCAACGATAAGATCTGAAGGACCAGGGGACCATTGATTGCTAAGCAGGTGTGGTGCTGGGTGTTTACTGTATGAATGACTGGGATCAGAGGCACCCGTCTCTGCATGGCACAACGCAGATAAAACACCGTACACTCGCATGTTCCGCCCACGTTCATTTTCTCTGCTTTGCATCTCACTTCGCAATCTGATGGCAAAACAAACATACAGCACCGAGGTCAGGTGAGATAAGAGGAAAAGCTCAGAGTCTTCCTGTTCGAGCAAAGCAGAGGACTGGTTTCTGACACCTCAGCGCGTGACGCCGTGCAGCGTGAAGTCTGGTGTTGCAATAAGGGCTGTGTTTTTATTGAGTAACAGGAAGAGAAGTCTGCTCAGTCTCTGGCCTGAGAGCTGCACTCACAATGGGATCGGCCATCTCCAAACGTTATCAGACAAAACCAGCCAGCGTTCTGCTCCTGGGCCTTGACTCCTCAGGCAAGTCCACTCTGCTGTACAAGCTTAAGGATGACCTGGCAGTGGAGACCTCACCCACTATCGGCTTTAATGTAGAGATGCTGGAGCTGGCCCACAAGACAACCTTGACTATCTGGGACGTTGGAGGGCAGGACAGCATGAGGCCCAACTGGAAGCACTACCTGGAAGACTGCGACGCGCTGGTGTTCGTGGTGGACAGCGCTGACAGCTCCAGGCTAGACCAGGCTAAAGCGGTCCTGAGGAAAATCATGAAGGACGACAACATGAAGGGGGTCCCCCTGCTGGTCCTGGCTAACAAGAAGGAGCTTCCCCAGTCGCTGAGCATCCGCGAGATTTCCAACAAGCTGGAGCTCTCCAGCTACGAGGACACTGACTGGGAGATCCAGGCATGTAGTGCCTACACAGGGCTTGGGCTCCAACAGGCTTTACTCTCATTGGCCAAGCGCATTAAAGAACGGTAGCGAGCGACAGCTTCATCTGCAGTGAAGGATGTGACACTGAGGTTTTTCAATCCTAGGCTTTCCTTTCACCATTTTGTGTCCAGAAAGACATGTGTCAGAGCTTCCTAGTGGCCAGGGGGTTTGTTTCTTATCTTCCTCATTCAGAACCAGAGCCGGACTGAGAAACAAACAGCAGTAAAGCTCACAAATTGCAGCTCACACAGACAACAGCTCTAGAAAGGTGAGATTCTGCTTTTTAAGGAAAACTCTTGGATTTTTCACACACCGTGCAGTCTACAACGAAGTAAGTTTAAATCAAATTTGAATGCAATAGCAACCTTAGGCTCCCCGGCATCAAATTAATTCAGTGTGCAATCCACTAAGGAGCCAAAAATGTCTCGATTGTTACAGTGCTGTTTCATCTATTGTATATGTACTTTGTTGTGCAGGCATCAAGATGTGTATATTCACAGTGAAAAAAATAATTTCATTGTTATTGCCATCCTGTTATTTGTATATTATTTAATGATGCAGTGTTTTAACAATAAATTGTATTTTAAAAGGACGCATGTTGGATACCTATTTATAAAACTTTCCTAAGGATTGTGCTACTGCATCAGGATGTCGGTGACACCTGCCTATAGCTACACAGTGACTATGGCATCCAAGCCAGCTCTCCAACACAGTGAAAGACACCTGCTCTTAGATCTCTCAGGCAGGTGTGAAACAGAGAGCCATGGGCTTTCCCAGTTCAGCAGTGATTCATCAATTTATAGTTTTCAAACATGAAGAATAAAGGCTAGCCTGCTGGAAGAGTGTCATGTTTGCATTTAACTTATAACTACAAACTGGATACATTTTCTCAATTTACAGGAACCTATAACCTCAAGGTCTTAGTCATCAAGACAGCTTCCAGTTCCTTCTCTTATGAAGCTGTGTAATATAACTCACAAAGCAAAAAGTGGTGAAAAAAATTGTTACTGATCTTGAAATATTACCATTTGCATTTATTTCAGTAGTGAGAAATACCATTGTCTGTACATTTAAAGTCACAGAGACTTCCTACTCTGCCTGAAACCGAATTTTAACAGTGCTGAGGTACCCTGTAGTGATTCTTAGTCAGGATGAAACACTTTCTGGAAAAACATTTGTTCATAATTACTCTGTATGATTTTGAGAGTTCTGAAGATTTCTTTCATCTTTATTTGTTTAAAGGTTCACAGGAATGCATCACGAATATTCTCTCAGAAATGTAACACATGTATTTTGGATATTTTATTGATGTTTCTTTGCTGTTCTCATGAACAGTACCGATACTGTAGTGTTGTAGCATCTTCTTTCTGTATTATTTTCTTCCTTTACTGAAAGAAAATTAAGTACTGCTGAAGAAGATTATGGGAAGCTTTAGAAGTGCTTAAAGTATTGAAATGACAAAGAGATTTCAAATGCTCTGCAGTCGAGCTTTCTGAAGTCAAGTGCATATGATCCAACAACGCGTATGCTCATGTCATCCACCCAGATACAGGAAGTGAGAGCTGCTTTAAGATGCTGAACTAATGACATCTCCATCATTGGGCCGGGTCTTCAGCTAAGCCACAGCATGGTTTCAGACTTAAGTACAGTGTTTGCTCCCTCTGACTGTTGAACTATAAAGACACAAGTCTATTTCACCTTCTTCTCCGCCAGCTGCGTGTGAGTTCTTTGAAGTGCCATCCATGACTGCCACAACAGGAGTCCTGGCACAACCACCCAGATCCCATTAAAGAAGACCAGGTACACCCAGAGGAAAAGCCAGTTGCTGGTATTTAGATTGGGGCTGCCAACCAGCCAGTCAGGACAGAAGGTCATCCAGCCTCCGTACAGCTCACAGACACACAAGGTGATCTGGATGAAGTGCCTGAGAGGGACAAAGACCAAGTTTACACAGGCTGACTTGTTTGTCTTTGCTAATGATTTCTAGGAGGGAAAAGCTTCTGGAAAGAGTTGCAATGTGTATGTACAGTAGATCTGGGTTGTAAATGAAATTCAATGCATTGTTCTTAGCTGTGGACTTCAGAATACCGTGCAACAACTAGCCACACACCCTCAATTATAACTAGTAGCTTTGAGAGGGCTCATAAAACTGCTTTTACTGGAGTAGAAAGGTAAATTTACAGAGGCAATAACAGAGGAAGACGAAGCCTAGTACACAACTCAAAATAAACAATTTCAAATGAAACACCATTACATTTTGAACTGTAATTTGGCTAAAAGCGACGTTGTGCCCAGAGACACCCCACACACACACAACAGAGTAACTAAGGAGTTAGTAACTAAGGAGTTATAAACAGTCTTGAAACTTCGACTATAGGCGAGGCCTTCTTACAAAACTACCACAAAACACTTTTTTTCTTAAAGGACTTAGTAATTTGATGCATGTTCGATATATTTATAATTCTAACTCATATCCCACGCAGGGTGGGGTCTTCTTGGTGCCTTAGGAGCTCCAGGTTGTCTCAACCCTTAATAGGAAGGAGCCTTCGTCAGGTAATAAATAATTTACTCAGGTACAAATATTTCAGGGGAACTTAATCTTGTTGTTTTTTTGACAGGGCAGTTCTCAGACTCGTAGTATTTCAGTAATGCTTTAAAAGAAAGAATGTGCTTCAGTCACCTGTAGTGTTTATCCTTGACTATGGCATAAATGAGAACCACTGCTAGGAAGCCATCTAACACCACAGTGAGCAACTCCAGGGACACGATTGTGGGATCCGAATGGAGCCACCTCTCATCTGCTTTTCCATATTCCTTCCCTGTTGATGACGACAGAAAAAAAATCAGTTTAAAGGTCATGAACTCCTGGGTCTGCTCACCTCGCAGGCAGGAGCAATGCTGCACAAGTGGCACATATCACAAGAGAGCAGGCAATGTGCTCAGGTTCTGCTGCTGGAACTTGAGCTACGCAGCAGGTTTGAAGTGAAGCCAGTCACACGTGCAGGGTTCAGGGTGCAGGAGGGTGGCATTGCTACAAGCTGTGGATTGTCCTTCCTGTATGATTAAGGGGCTGGGAGAGGATTACCAGTGCATCATTGTGGTTCTGAGCTCTGGCTTTCTAATAAGAAGGCTATTGGTTCAAATCCCAGCTAAAACACAAGTTGCATACAAGGTACTTCAATCAGTTTTATCAAGTGTAATGTCATATACTGTATATATAATATGTATAAGTCTCTCTGGAAATAAGCATTGGGAAAATGGATTGTACCCAATCCTTCATTATAATTTATTCAGGTATAAGCTTTTGATGTTTGCTCAGTGTTAAGCACCAAGGATCTGTTTGATTATCATGGAAAAACAAGCAAAGCTGTGATTTTTTTTTCATATTAAGGCTATCACGTTTGTTGACAAAAGGTTGTCCATTAATGAGATGAATATTTCTCTCCGAAATGAAAATTGACTGCAATTGCATTTTTTGTTCGGCTTTTCCAGGTATGAAGTAACCCCATGACGTCTATAACCATGTCTCGCCACTAGAGGTCTCTCTATAACGAGGCTTAATGTGGCGGTTTGCGCCTTGTCAACAGCCAAATGCTGGGTCTTGCAAACGAATTCCGATCATTGCAGGCGTCACATTTTCTGCTTGCAGTCGTCACACTGCAGCGGCAATTCTAAGGCGTACATTCAAAACTAAAAAAATGAAAAATCTGTAAATAATTAATATAAAAGAAAAATGGGAGAGTCACGATTTGCACAAGCATACAAACCCTAGGTACACAAACATACCGTAACAAGCCACACAACTAGCTGAGGGGCCTCTGTGCGCAATAATAAGGGTTCTCATTAAATTAGAACAAACACAAATGTCTCTGTGAGGTTCCCTGTTCAGGTAGTACATTTCAAGCAAGACTTCAAGCATGAAAACTAATGAGCTTTCAAAGCAAGTCGGGGATGAGGTTATTGAAAAGCACAGATAAGGAGGAGGGTAAATATTGACGTTTCTGAGGATCCCAGTGAGCACAGACTACTCAATCATGAAAAAAATGAAAGGGGTGTGTCTCAGTGTGTCTCGCCCCCTCCATTGTGAATTTACACTACTCCCATATGTGAGCTGCCTCTGTGCCCCCAGGTATAAAGTACCAGACTAAGGACATCTTTCATCGCCGCCGTAATATCTCTCTCAAACAAGGTCAAATAACTATCATATTTTGTATACAATCCTTCTCTATTGGTCATGTTTGTCTTCCTTGTCGTATTGTTGTATTGGACTGTGCTGTAAAACAAATTTCCCCCAGAGGATAATAAAGCAGAAAGTGAATTGCAGTTGCATTGTGACTTCAGACTCAGCCACAGGGTAAGCAGGGCACTGGGGGGGGGGGCTGTATGAAACTGACAAAAAAAAATCCCACATGGGGTTTGCAACAAAGCACCTACGTGATACGACACGCATGTGGCAAAAGATAAAACTGGAAAGTCTGGGCCCAAATGCAAAGCATTACATTCAGTGCAGACTCAGTACGGTGCATCAACCAGTCACAACACCATTCCTACCATCAAGCACGGTGCTGGCTGCACTGTGTTCATGAGTCGCTTCTCCTTAGCTGGGACTTCTCAAAACGGAGGGAAAATGGATTAGAACTTGAATATAGGGAAATCGTAGGGGAAAACCCTGCTCAAGTCTGGAACCTCCCATTCAAAGACCAGACTTGAATCCCATCCCAGGCGGAGTGTTGGCACTGAGGCTAAGGATCTGTGCCTGTGACTTGAAGGTTGCTGGTTCAAATCCCATGGCTGGCAGAGGAATCCTACTCTGCTGGGTCCCTGAGCAAGGCCCTTACCCCCAACTGCTCTGGGGTGCTGTATAAATGGCTGACCCCAAGCTTTTCTTCCTATCTGTGTGTCTCATGGAGAGCAAGCTGGGGTATGTGAAAAGACAAATCCCTAATGCAAGAAATTGAACATAGCCAATAAGGTTATTTGATCTTATTGAGAATCTGAAGAAAGTCATGAAAACTGCTGTCCTTAAGCGGCCCCCAAACAACTTTGAGAGAGTCCAAGCAAAGTTGTAAAGAACAATGGAAAAAAAAAACGTGCCTGTGTGCAAAGATAGTAGAGACTCACCCAAAAAGACTTGCTGCTGTCCAAGGTGCTTCCACCAAATACTGGGTTCAGACTCTTAATGCTTATGCAATCAACGTATTTATTTATTTTTGTTCGTTTTTGCTTATAATTAGAATCCTTCCCTTTGAATATTTAGATTTTGAATACAACAGTAATATCCTTGACCAGGTAGTTTGACCATTGTTGAAAAGAAAACTGTCAACTTTGTAATTTCAGAAAACGAGACGCTCTGAATAATTTTGTAAGGCAGTGTATGGGCACTGCTCAAACCTTAGCAGTTGTCAGTAAAACCGACAAAGGTACCAAGTGCAGTACACAAGTGCAGTTTCATATTTATATAATATTTCATTAATAAAGACGTTATAGGATAATGTATATATGTATAATGTAGGACAGTATCTACTGATTCAAAACACCCGCATGATACTTACACAACTCGGCAAAGACATTGTCAGAGGTGGCCACTGTTCCAACCAGTGACATGTACACAAACGGCCCTTCCTTTAAAAAAGAAACATTAAAATTACAACCCAACACATATTACGTGGCCTGACGAAAAATGCCTGTATAAAGTAGTGTTTCATACCCATAATGCCAAAATATTTTAAATATTGAAATATGTAAATAATCAGCAGCGGTGACATTCTGAAACCTGACGAAAGAAAAATCATCAACTCGAAATAAAAATCGTCATGTTGACGTCTTTAAGTGGGGTTCAGTTTTCTTGCACGTCCGGGACTCACCAAGGTGAAATGTACGATGGCATCATAGAAGAGCCAGATTAAGACCCATCTGTCCGCCCGGCAGCACCGCCCGCCGATCAGCCGGGCCAGCCCGTACCCGGCTGCGAGCTGCGAGCCGCAGGCCAGCAAGGAGCCCACGGTCACGGGCGTGAGCAGCGCGGGGGCTCCTTCCGACTCGGACAACATGGTATTCAGCAGACTATCGCTATAAAGGATTTCAGGCTCGTTTCTAAAGGAGGTCGGGCTGGGCAGAGCCCCGGACGGACACTGAAACAGAGAGGATCCGCGGCGTGAGGACCTTCGCTCCTCCCCGCCTGGCGGCGGCGGCGGCTCCGCACTCCGGCCATTGGCTTGATCGCGGATCTCCCCACTTTACAAGCAACGTCTGAGGGGTGGGGGGAGATAAAGAATGGGCCCAGGGCCAATGACACTACGGTATCGCAATATATTTCAATTTACGATTATTGCGAATATTTATCTGGATCCACGTGAAAATCATAATTCAGAGCATTTGCTTTTCCGAGCGCTTTTCTTGTTGCTGTATATGTCGCACCAAGCCTTTTGTTGCTCGGAGAATGACGGGGTGTGTGTGTGTCGTGCTTCACTTGGATTGGTTCGTAGCTCAGGTATTTCACCAGCTTTTGTTATTTTCGTGATCCTAAACTAAACAAAATGCAAACGAGAGGGGTCCTCTTGGTCTGTCTAGCCTGCTTAGCTCATTAGCAACTCATGCATTTACCACGATCCTTCCTTGAAAGAAGCCAAGGTACTGTATCGGTCTCTGCCGGGTGTCTGGCAGTGTGTTTCAGACTCTCACAGCCCAGTGTGTAAAGAAGTGCCTTCTGTTTCAGTGTTAAATGCACCTCCGCTTCCCCGTTTTGCGTTTGCGTTCCCTGGTTTGTGTAGAGCGAGTGAGCCGTATTTTATTGACAGTCACGGAGACAACATACAAGCTCCGTACAGAAGACCACCCCTGGCAGGAATCAAACCGTGAGTGGTAGTCCTCATCGCCATGCCTTCATACTGCTGTATTGCGATATTTAAATTGTACTGTCACAAAAAAATAACCTAGCTGTTTGGAGGTTTGGAGGTAAATGACCGGCAGTTTTTTTTGTTTTCACCGGAGCAGTTATTGGAGTGAATGTCTATTTAAAAGTGCACAAAATGGTGGCCAGGAAGTCGCCCTGGTTTATCAATGAACCTTACTGATCCACATTCTGCTATGCCACTAGAGCGATACCTCTCAGGTTGGGAGTTAATTGACCTGTTTTCAAAGAGCAACTAGAATTATAAGGGCACATTTCAGCAAGCTCTCCTTGTGGGAGAGCATCAAGTTATTTCTGCAGACTGAGAGGCGTGATTCTACAGCAGTTTTGGGTGAGGTGACAGTTACCAATATTCAGGTCAATGAGTAGAGCATTCCCAAGTTAATGGTAGTTTCAATCTTGATCAAAGAAATTGGCCACAAGGCTCATGTAAAAACTAATGTTACTAGACGTTAACTATATTGTCATTAGAATGACAGTCAAACTCCATACATTTGGAATTTGACTGAACAGCCTTGAGCAGGAAGAGTTTCCAGAAGAAAATTAGTTCTATCAAGTATTCCGTGTGGCCAGGAAAAAGATCACAGCAACTCGATCCAGCTGTTTCAGAAAGAAACAGGAAGGGTATTGGCTTCAGGTCTCTACGTAATCTCTGTTCAGGTTCTGTTCCTTCAGTCTCTTAGGGTAGAACATTCCGGTAAGCCCCAGTATGTGTTCATACTTTAAGTTCTAACACTTGCATATAATTGTAAACCTTGCACTTGTCTGCATCAAACATCGTCTGGCAGGTGTTTGCTTATCCTTGATTTCTTTTTCTAAGTCTTTTTGAATTTAATCTGCTGCTTCTACAGTTTTTGCTCATTCTCTTAATTTGGTATCACTTGCTCACTTGACTAGTTTACTAACTACATGGGAGTCTAGATCACTGATAAAAATTGAGAAGTGCTGTGGCCCCAGTAAAAATCCCTTTTGTACTCCACTAATTACAGTACATTACTCCAGTTTGAGTAATAACCAATTCTCAACCCAAACACTTCCACTTACCTGAATACCCACTGCCTACCACAATTTCATAATAAATTGTATATCCCTATCTTTCTTAAAATCCTTCTGAAAGTCTCACCACAGTTTCAGGCCCTATGTATATTTATAACTGTTATTGCTTGCTCAAAGAAACCCTAACAAGTAGGTTTGGTAAGACCTTAATTTTCTGAATCCATGCTATTTCCTAGGATAATATTCCATATACTGTAGGTGATCCTGTAATTTAGTTTTTATAACTGTTTACATAACCTTACATGCACTAAAAGTCTTATTTATTGGTCTATAATTGTTAATTTCCATTTTCTCACCCCTTTATGTATTTGTAATTTATTTTTGTTAAACTGTGTCCTGTTGTATTCTAGTCATTTTGTAAAGTCTTTTCTTTCCCCGTTTATTTCAATCAGTTTCTTGAACCTTATTAGGATTCTGTTTTTTAGCTTTTTAACTCACTTTTGGAATACATTTGTTCTAAGATTCAAGTAGAATCTGTTTCAATTGTTAAAATTGTTTGTATCTATTTTCCACTGATTTAATATCTATCCCACTCCATTTTACTTCTCTTATTCTGTTTCATTCCTTCAAAATTGAAACATACCATATTATGATGACACTCTTCTATTTTTTTCTGTCTCTGTTTGTCTCACTGTCTTGATCGTTGGAAAGATCTATAAAATTATTTCCTCCAGTAGATGTCTACCATTTCAATTTCTGCTCCTGATATTCCTTTAGGTCTTTCCCTTTGTTGGGAAAGTTGAAGTCTCCCAAAAACTATTTTTTCTTTTGCCCTTTAATTCTTTCATGTGATGTGTGAAGTATTAATTGTGTATTTCATGGGTCCTGAGGAATTTCTATTACTTTTGCCAGTATCTGTATTGTAAATAAGATCTGGGATTAGAAGTAAAGCCAGATTAGGGTTCCAAAAGTATAAACATTGATTCAATCAGGAATACAGATATCCTACACAATGACCTTTAAATAGTGTGCTTGTGCTTCTTTGTCGGTGGTTCCAGGTGTTACCAACAGGTGGTTAAAATGCATGGTACTTGTTCTTTTCTGTTTAGACTACCTGTGACACACTGGACACATCATAAGATGTTTCAATGCTGATTACAAAGAAACATTGAGGACATGGGACTGTTATTAGACAGCGGAGTCCTTTAGCACCAGACTGCTCCAGCTACGGTGTTCAAGGGAACATTTCCGCAGGTCCTTCCTCCCGGAAGTGTATAACACTGCCCTAGGCTAGGCCTGTTAGCCCTTCATCTGCTCATCTATGGCCAGCATGTTGCTCTCATGTACTTTTGGACACTGCAGTAATATGTTTATACTGTGGTATTTTCAGTCTGTACATACCTATGCACATTTTGCACATCTTTTGTTTTACAGTTACTATTAGCATATTTTGCACACATAATTTGCTATTTTATTTTGTATTCAATATACTTATTTAATTACTGTAATGCTGTATTTTAATTGTAGCCTATTCTGATGTCTGTCTTGCTTTTCTTGGGCTGTGCTGCTGTAACGCTTCAGTTTCCCTTTGGGGTCACTGAAGTCTTATCTTATCATCTCAAAGCAGTCATTCCCATATGCAAAATATTTTCCCTTGCCATGCAACCATTTACAATATGCTCCTCTAGTATGCATGGAAAGTGTATTCAGAAGATGTTTATAGTATACCAACTTTACTCACTATACAAGGATAACTCAAGAGGGAAGGGATAAGAATAAATGACCTGGAAAAATAAATGACAGATCACTCTTAAGTTAATCAAGCTTACTCCCTCTATGGGTTTAAGTCACACCCTCTATGGGTTTTACAGGGGACTCAGATTTCATAATGAGCACCTGACGGTATTGCAGGTATGACTAATAAAGTTACTTAGCTGATTTAATTAAGCCTTTAAAAAAAGCTCGTGGCCCCAGCATCGTGACTCTAAGGCTGTATAGGAAAGGAAATTAAGATCACTGCTCTAAAGAGATGGTTTACAAAGTTTTCCAGTCCGAAGTCCCCCATTCAGGAAAGCACTTCCCAGTGTAGACCAAATCAAACCGAAGTCTGGAATTATAATTGCCTGCGTCTACTGTAGTCCTAAAGGACAATAGTCCTTTCCCCCCCACAGAAGACGTGAAAGCGTTTTACTTACATCAGTAAAGAGGAGCAACCATGTGGGTGACCTGTGAGAGCTATCGAGTACCATTATACAGCAGATCAGGTGAACAGGTGAGAAATGACCACCACAGAATAAGAGATCTCAGAGAGGGCAGAATGTACAAGACCAGATTCAGGCAGGACACTGGCATTAACAGTCGATAATGGTATTCTGCAACTGAAGATGGTCACTCAACCTCCTACAACATAGAGCCTCCAGTCATCATACTGAGGAATCAGTTTTCTTTGACTGTGATGCAGGGACAAGAGAGCCACCTATGGCTCCAAAAGCCCCACTTATAGCGGCAACCTAGTTTTCCTTGAAAGCTTCCTTCCCAGTGCTGACCACGCCCAGCCCAGCTTCTGAAGAACTGGAGAGCTCAGGCTACAAGCTGGAAACACAGCTGGACGACAGTACTATTCTCAAGTACTGAACAGAGAATTGTAGAACTCCACAGTGCCCGAGTTGATTTTACAGATTGTAATTAGAAGGTGGAAAGTTTCCTCTTTTCTAAGACCCATCCAGCGAGGAGGACACCTGGATAAAAAACCCTTTCTCCAAGTGCTGATCCTGCAAAACATTTAAGAGCTACCTTGATCAGGACCCTGGACAGCATCACTTGACCAGAATCTAGCCTGATCCATTTAATGGAATATTCCAAACAAATCAGGAACAAGAGACAAGGAAGGAACTTAAAGGCCCTTAATGTACAGTTCAGAACCTATGTTGTGCAGACAAATACTCAGGTATAGTATACTTACTCTTGATGAGGGTCTCAGGCAAACAACTATCTCAACACGGCTTTCTCATTCTACATATTTCAACACACGTGGATTATTGCTCATAACGAATGCAGCAAAAGTGAAAACTACTGAACTAGAATAGGGAAACCCCTAGCTAGTCTATTATTAAAGTCAGAATACTAAAGCAGATCAGACATACAAACTCGAGTCATTTAACCACTCACACACACACTGTCCCACTCCACAGTGTCAATTAGGACACTAAGAAAAAGAGCTAACAGCAAGTTTATTTTTGTTAGTGTAACTAATACAGAAACAATGCTCTGAAGAGGGAAAATGTGAACGGATGTTATGTCACTTAAATTAAACCTTAAACAGAGAAATTACATGAACGCAGTTAGGATTGGGAGTGAAGAGGGCATAAGGGAATATATATACACAATGTCAAGTGCTACAAATTTATTTTTTGCCAATCTACAGAAAAGCCCCATTGCTCTGTGTTCACTCAATTGCTGTTTTTCAAATAACTCCATGCTAAATGTATTTTAATGTAAAAAGTTTAAGAAAATGAAAAACAAAGGCACAATGAATTTCAACTCATTCTTTAATATGCACAAGAGTTGAAGGAAACAATGAGCCACCTTAAAGAGAAATTGAATCTAAAATTTATAAAAAGATATAAATAATCAGAGGCCAAAATGCAATCTGTCACATTTTAAAACAAGTTTCTTTAGCAAGTAAAAATCTTGCAATGTACATAAGCTTGTATCAATTTCTGATACAAGACAACTCTACTCTTTAAAGTGGCTCTTTCTAGGCGTCTAGATAAATCATGAATGTACACCTGCTAAAGATTTTGTTCATCAGTTATAAATGGCTACTCCAGAAAGCTCTGACTGCATTCCAAATCCGACATCTTTGCAGTAGTTAGCAGCCAAAACATAACTACATTAGTCCAAACGCAACTTTTTTAAATCCCTTTACAAATAAATGCACAGGGAGACGAAGACATTTATGCCCAGTCACAACAGCAATAAAACCCATTCCAATAATGGTATCATCTTTATCACGATACGCATGTTAAAAACAAAACTCCCCGTTAATTTGAACAGTAAATACAATATTATTCTGCAGAATATCCCAGATGTACAGTTAGCAGCCACTGCAGCTTTTATACAAGCCTTATATATGACAATTGGAAAGATATACTTTTGTACAATTGAGTTGTAGCACGAAACCTTCTGAAAAAAAGTATTGCAAAGGTCATGGGCCACATGATTCAGTTTTTTCCTTTAATTTTTAATACTCTGTAATTGCTGCCTTTCACAATTAAGCACAGGTTACAGTTTTGATGTGTGCGTAAGACTGAATTACTGCAAACTTGGAAGATCCACAGATTAAACCCAGTACAATCCAACCATTGTCACTACTTTTTTTACTCTCAATTTAAACTAAAAATATATAATCAACCCTAAAAGGAAAAAAAACAGCTGAAAGCAAGATTGGTAGTTATACATATTCGGAGAGGAATTATCAGGACACTGCTCAGAACTTTTACATCAGAATCAGAACTCCTGCTTTCAGTTTAAAAAGCTTAACGGAGATTGCATTTCAAAAGACCATGCACAGCAGCTGACTACTTGAATGAGGAGGAACACAGGTTGAAATCAGTAGTCAAGCAGGACTTCAGTCTTCAATATTAAGTGTGATAATTTCAGTCAAAAGTGTCGGCTCCAACAGAAGAGTTCAATTCTTAAATTTTCTTTTCATTCTCGTCCCCCAGACCTACAAAAAAATGAATGCTACAAAGTCCTTTTCTGAAAGAATTTAAGTAAAATGAACCTTTTCTCCACTTAATTGTGTCATTTCTTACAAGTATTTTTTGTTCACATCGTCTTTTTTACATTAAAAAAACCTCATTCTTCCATGAAAAAAAGCTGTGGCGACAAATGACAATGTTCGTCCATCCATGTTGAACTTCTCCCCTCTCCCCTTTTCCTTCTCAAAAAATTCAAAGCTCTTTCAGTCGAAATCCACATATCATTTTGCCACACACTGAGTTTTAAGTTTCAACATCTTAAAACGGGTTACTGGTTTTAAAAGTGATTACTGGAGTTGGTGGCGAGGATGTGATACCAGGGAAGGAAAGGCAAAAAAACCCATTCACAAATGCTGGGATTTTGTTTTCTTCACTGATATGATGGCAAATAAAATGGGTTTATATTCATGCACACTTAATCCTTAGTCTGTGTGGTAGCAACTTTTGGCAACTGCAAAGTGACTGACAAAGAGGCTTTTTTTAACTGTAGAAGCATCGACTGAAGATGCACAAATTGTCTTTGATCCTTCAGTGCTTGTTTTATTTTTTTTTCTGGTTAGTGAATCTCTTGTGGTGTTTTTGAAGTTGGTAGGTGGTGCAGAGCAGCTGAAACATCCAATTTCCTTAAAATTTGAACTCCTTGGTTTGCAAGTTGGACGCAGGGTCAAAATTAAAGGTTCCTCCTTGGGTAGGCTCAGGAATCAGGCTGGGATCCTCGTCAATCTGAAAAAGCAAGGACATTAAAGAGCAAAATGTCAGTGATTTGGAAAACATTTTCCACACACCTTAAGCTGATAAAAGTAACTCCCAAAGAAGAATACCAAACATGCAATCACGAGCTCAGCAAATGCCTATTAAGATACCCTTAAATCACCTCAAAGCCAAGGGAAAAGCACAAGACAGTACAAAAACAAATGAAGTATGTGCTCCTGTAAGCTCTGGCACTTACATCATCTCCTGAAAAGTACTGATCAATAATTTCAAATGCTAATTTGTAGATGTCCTCATTTTCATGCTGCTGCAGATTTTCTATTTTCTCCAGACCTATAATCAGAAAAAGAAAAGCATTTAAACCAAAAACATTTTAAAAGGTAATGTTTATTGCAAACTAGGGCACATTAGGCAATCTTAACTTGTGTAAACAGACTTCTTGGATCCAAGACAAATGCAAAAATAAAAGCTTTTATTTCATTCAGAGAAGTTCTGTAAAAAAAAAAAGCTGACCAACAGCAAGAAACAACATTCCACCTGGATTTTACAGGATGACGCAATGTGCTCATCAGTGCCGCCTCCATGTAGCTGAGCCTAACTCAACCTGAGTCATTACAACCAAACAGACGTGTTTTAACATTAAAAAAACGTGACAAAATGCACAGTATTTACAAGCCTGTGTCAGAATGAAATGTGAACTACTGGGAAGTAAATGCAAATGACAATAGCAGCGCACAGCCACATATAACGAAAAAAAAGGTCAACCCAGGCAAAAACGAGTAGTCTTGTTTGTTTCCGTTTCGATTAATTTGGCAGTTAAGGTTCTGGAAGAATATTCCCACAGGACCTGGTAGAAACCGGGTTTGCGAGCTTGGGTGTGCCAGTTGTACACCTTCGCTGTTGTACTCAATGTTGCCAGCTGCTGTACCTTACCTCCACACTCCTCGATGATTTCAGCTATTGTGCTCGCCTCTTCCCCAGCCATAATTAAGATGTTTTTCAGCCCGTCTAGGACCACCTGGACCACCTGCGAATCCTTCACCGACAGCAGGTTGCAGAACGGAGGGATGACATTCTGCTGCACCAGGTACTCCACCTGGAGAAATGAGTAAGACATCAGCTGCAGCCTTGGCTCATCCAAAGCACATGATTTTGCCTGCTTTCTGGACGCAAGCATGAAAAATAACTGCTCAGTCCTAGGAATTCAACACTGGTGGGTAGGTAGAAAGTAAATGACTGAGAATGACAGTGACACATACATCTGATAGAATTTGAGATATCATCTAGTTATCATCCAGATGTTGACATCTGTGCACTATACTAAACTGGGATGAGTGTACTTCTGAAATAAAAACTATTCTGTAGCAAACAGAATGGAGAATGAATTAATCTCTAGCAGAGAAAAAATATATTTGGAATAAAGGGGAAATGATTAGGCACTAAGTTAGAAAATTTAGAAAATTAATAGGTTAAATGCCATTTCTTAAGGTTAAACTCACCTGATCTTTCCTTCCGCTTATTGTTAGGTTACTAATCGCCCAGGCTGCTTCTTTTTGCGTGCCAAAATCCCCCTATGTCCAGATACAAACAAACATCAAATGAGCTAGAAGTCATCATCGGTATCACCACAGACACTCCTACCAAACGCGTGGTAGACGGTGCAGAAACCAGGGAGGATGCCTTAACATGACTTGGGGCTTTGGACTGTATCACTATAACGTATAAGCGCTGGGAATGAGCCTGTTCAGCATGACCAAAAAAGGCAAAGGATACAGTCTGCGCAGGAACACGACAGACCAGCAAATACCTTGGCACGGCAATTCAGGCCTGAGGCGTGCCTGTGAAGGTTAAACTCTTCAAGATGGCTCACTGAATGGCGTTGTGGAATGAGTCACACTCCCAAGACGTGAGGAGTTTCTGTCGTGCTGGAAGGCACTGATCTCAGCTGGGCACATCCCTGCATTTGCAGGGGCATGAAAGTGAGGGCAGGCTTCCTCCACTGGGATGTTAGCAATGGTTGGACAAGTGGCGACAGGTTGTACGACCCTTCAGGCTCAGCTCCAGCCTGCTCTGCGACAGCCACCGATCCACATGGAATTTGTCGGAATTGACCGAGGCAACAATCTCAATTCCTTACACCAGTGGAGTTAAGACTCAACGAATATCAAAGGGGCTAAAACGAATTACAAAAGTTTCAAACTGCATTTCTGAAATGGACCTTACCGCACCTTAGCCAGCTGATGTATGATCATTGGAATCAAGCCAGCATCTATCACCGCCTGGACCTGCTGCTGGTTCCCAGCTGTGATGTTCGAAAGGAACCAGACGGCTTCCTAAACCACAGACGCAAAGAAACAGAATAAATTGTATAGCTAGAGATTTTAAGTTATAAAAGCAAAAATTAGACACTTGCATCATCATGCAGTCATCTGTGACTTCTTACAATCAGGGTCACAAGCTGAACATTACTACTGCTAAACAAGGTCTAGAGGAGCTCTGCTTCGAGCCTAAGCTGTTTAAATATACATGAAACTGATGAAAAGCCTGTTTAAAGATTCAGAATTCAATATCAGCAAAACAATGTACCCAACTGTCAAAATATCTTAAGTCAACTTTCAGGTTTAATAAATTATGCCACTATGATCCACACTTCCATACCGACAAAAAAACCCTTAAGCATAGTTTTATTTAGTATAAACAGACTGTAAGGAAGAAATATGTCCTTGCACTCTAAATACAAGTGCCACGTCCTCGAGAACAAACCCTTTTCTACTTTTTTTAGTATAGGGAATTAAGTGAATTACAATGCTTTAATTCAAACCAAAAAGCAATGTAACAAGCAATTTTGCCACTCTCATCTCAGGCTCGACAAGCAGCCTGAAATGTACTCAAAGGGGAAAAAAAGCCTACTAATGGCTCCTGGACTTCATAAGTGGTTCCTTTACCTTGAACAACAGCTTACCTTGTTTATCTTCTCTTTCGGGTGTGTTAGCAGGTTGGGGAAGTGTGAGAGCACATCACAATTCAACACCACTTGAGTCTGTTCATCAGTGCCAGTCACAATGTTCCCCACTGCCCTCAACGCAGCAGTCTGCAGGAAAGAGCCCATGGAAATTTCACACAGGTAACATGAACACGCAAGACTGCGCTTGCAAGGTCCCACGTTTAACACAACACACAAAACATTAGCTTACGAAGAAAACACAATCTGAAGCAAACGTAAATGTACCCTGTGTGTGGTGATGGCACTATTTTATTAGAACACAGTGCGCAGGGATACCATACATGACAGGGTTCTGGGGTCAGAGGTCAGGAGAGAAAGAGTGGAGAGCGGTCTGTCAGTCCATTTAGCGATCGGTGTTATGTTATACATTTACTTTATTAAAGCCATTTAAACATCTGTACACCTCCGAATTATTTCTACGCATAACACTACACCCTGGAAGGAATTCAGAAGAAGGTGTAAATACAATCCCACACTGTGATCCACTATCTGGGAGTCTTGAGACAAATATTTCACTTATTCAAAGGATCTGGCTGTTTGCTGCAGTTACTGCTTCAGGGATTAATTCACAGCCACTGGCTCTTTCTCTACAGTCTACATGCTCTCTTGATGGCTTCAAAGCTAGCCGAGATGAAATGCTTCAGAGGGAGAGGAAAAGACAGGAAAAAACGGTTCACATTTTTAGCCTAACATGCTGGTAGCATCCAAAGTTTTCACTGCTATGATGAAACGGTATTTAATTTGAATGTTTTATATAAACACAAAATATTATGGTTAAAATAATCAACGTGTACATGGAACAGTAATTTAATTTACACCTGCAATGAGCTTGCAATTTACACAGAAGCAGTCACGTGTTGTGAAAAACAGAATTTCTTACTACCCTGAAAAGCTGACACGCTGCCATAAAACCAACATTGACAAAAAAAATCCTTTGAAGACTTTAGGATGAAGGAGTATTTTTTTTTTATTTGAAAAAAGAAATCACTATACGTAGCTTAACGACATGATCAAAAATGGGTTAACGTGAGGAATGAGAATGGGAAGAAATTTTTCACTTGCTTAACGCAATGCTCAGAATACAAAGTTTTGTCTCACAGGGGGGGGATACAACTCTCCAAAACGCAGTCCTTGAGTCTCAAACAATACAGCATTGTTTGAACCACTGAGCTCCAACTCAAAAGCACAGCAAGACAGCGCTGAGGCCAAGCCTGCGCAGTGATGACTCAGCTACAGTCGACAAAAACTACCAGACAGAACCAGGGTGTGAATCATGTGCTAATTCCCCAAAGGCACCTACTGCCATCACACTGGGGCTGCACTGTCTGGTTCAGAATAAGTGAGCACGCAACATGAACTCCAGCAAAAGATGCTTGACTACACTACAGCATGCTTTTAACCTGCACAACCTGATGGACAGCATCTTAGCAACTATCTCACGATACGTTTCACCTTTCCGATGATGGGCTCAAGACATTCTAAAACGAAGCTCTGGAATCCAAACGGAAATATTCAGAAATCACAGAAATAGAAAATGACAAAACGTTTTGATACTTCTAAATCAGCATGAGCCCATGCAATTCCTACGAACGTTAAACCTTGAACCGAGTTAAGAGCTCGAGGCGTAATGTAGTTAAAACTCGTCTTGCAAGCGTTTAGCGCAGTGGCACGGCTCCTAGCCCAGCTGCCTCACAGCTCCAGGACTCAGGGAAAAATTCCGTCCTGGACTGCCTATCTGCGTGGAGTTTGCAAACGCACGTTTACACCAGGTGCTCCGGCTTTCTTCCATTTGGCCTCGTGCATTCTGGGAAGATTTGATTGGCTGTTCTAAATTGTCCCCTTCTGAGCCATCCCACGACTGACTGGCATCTCGTCCAGAGGGAGAGGATAGCTAGGCTGTCGGTCCTGCCTTGCACCCTGTGCTCCTGGGATAGACTCCAGATCGCTACGAACCTCCTCAGGATAAGCAGCTTACTAATGATAATGGACAGGGCTTAAAAACGCAGCCAAAAAAAAAAACCAAGAGAGAAGCACAACTAAAAACAGACTGTCCTAAAACTTAAAACTTTTAATAGAATGGCAGAAAACCTAGCAGCTGGGAAAACTGTAAAAATCTGAAATCCCCCCACAAGGACGGTCTCCCATTACAAAGTTTTTGCTACGTTCTGTTTTCATGCAACACCACCAAGCATCTTCTCTAACTGCATCTTTACCTGAACTTTGACCTCTTGATGGCTGAGTAGTGGGACTAGGAAGGGCACCACTCCAGAATCAATGACCATCTGGATTTGTTCATTCCCCCCATCTGTTAGGTAGGATAGGGCCCAGACTGTGTCCACCAGGATCTGCCAGAATTAAGAATTTCAGAATTAAGCGCGCACCTTTATCCCCGATTGAATTCTTCTTATTACAAGACAGGGCTTGCACTGGATCCACTGTATACTGCTAAATACAGAACTGGAACATTCCATTTCTTAAAACCGTTTCTCCAACTCTGGTAGGCCCTCCTTGGAATAATGTTATAAATAGTACAGCTAATGAGAAGCCTTGGCATGCTTTCGATGTCAAAAAGCAAGCTACAGTGATCTGTAGTGCACTCCGATACTTCTGTTCAGTAACAAAATTAAGATATCTTTCTTTCGAAAACCACTGAAATGGTAAAAAGTAAAATTAACTAGAGAAACACCTAATACTCATGTCGGCCAAAGTTTCAATACAAGAAAAACTACTGAAGAATAAGAAATTGTCTGCAAGTTTCAAGTTTAAAACCATATAAGTATCTATTATCCTAAACTTCATGCAGAAATGCAGCATTTCTGTAGTATTGATGTTACTGATGCAAACAACCACAACAGCATTGAAATCTGAAGTCACATGGGGAGGGTTTTTGTTTTTACTCTAAGAAGGAGAAGTTAAGGACAGAGAGGATGGTACTTACATTGATGTCCGTATGATATATTAGAACACACAATGCTGGCAAGATCTGTGAAAACAAAACAAGAACGTTAACTAGCTCTGCTATACTTCCTTACTCCTAATGAGCAGAGACGGCAACTAATGACTTTTGACCCCCGGAGTCCAGTGACTCAGTTATGACTTAATCCTTAGGCGGCACATGTGGGTGGTTCTCGTTACAAAATATCAGGTAAAACTTCCAGTTTTTGCATGAAAAAAAATCAAAGAAATGAAGGGCTCTTTTACCCTGTTCTCTGCTGTCTGTGCAGATATTTTAATTCTTTGGTGACTCAGTAGCATTTGATAGTAGAGAGTAGGATGATCAATTATGCACAAGAGAAAGTGGAGTGTTTTGTTTTTAAATATTCTAAGGACGTTTTTAATGAATACTTGTTGCTTATACTGAATTACACATATAATCCAGATTGTGACCGCTAAAATGAAAGGAGTAATTTGTATGTCACAAACTAAGCAGCAATTTTAAACAGCTCAGTTTCTTTTTGTGTTTGAGGGATAGAAAGCATTAAAATGGGGGGTGGGGGGGGAGACACCTTGTGCTTAGAAGAAACCAATGTCTTTCTAAATTCAGTATTACTAGGTCAATAGGTTCTTCTGAGTGGAATGGATAGGAATGAACAATCCTTTTTCCCCTATGAAGCTATTCACTCCTTAAAGACTTACTTAATAGCTGATATTGATTGGGATAGCTATAAAATATATTAGCAAACTCAAAGCTGAATTCAAGTGATTTAGTTTAGCGGAAACCAGCATTGCTGCCTTGTAGCACTGGGGTCTTGGGTCCAGTTCCTGGGGTGGTATCTGTTAGGGGTCTGCATGTTCTCCTCACGTTTGCGGGCGTTTCATCTGGGTGCTCCGGTTGGCTCCCACAGCCCAGAGACATTACTGCTAGGGCAATAGGCTTCTGGGAAAACTGGCCCTGGTGTGAGTGTGTGTGCCCTGTGATGGCCTGGTGCCCTTTGCTTGCCAGGATAGGCTCTAGCTCTCCCACCACCCAGAACTGGACAAAGGGGTTAGAAAATGGATGGATGGATGGCTCAGTGAAAATCTATTTGTTAAAGTGTGCAATGGAACTATTACTTAATATATGGGATTTAATATTTAATGTGATCATCCGCGTTAAATTTAAGTAACACTGTAATCGATTTCTACGGCAATCCTAAACCTTTAGATCACAAAAGAAATGCCTTTACATTGTTCCAACTGAATCAGGTTAAATCTTAACATATGTGCGTCATACTTATCAAAACTAGAAGACACTGTGAAAAAGCATTTTAAATCGTTTAATTCTTCAACTCCTCGGCTCGCAACAGACCATATGGCTTGAGCTGTAATGCCTTTACTTTCTGAGCTGTCTTCCCAATTCACTTTCAACTCTCAGTCTACAAAGCTCAAAACCATCAAGGATCTAATTAATGCATTACATTTTGTAAAAACTGTACAGTCATTTTTGCAACTCCAATATTAAAAAAATCAAATAGCCACTTCTTTAGATTCTGGTTCTAGATCAAAAATAATTCCTGTATGCTTTTAATGTACCCAAATTTCACGGTAGCATACCTTACATCTATCCAATAACCCAGACAAACAAAAAGTATAATTAAAAAAAATTAAAGCCTTCAATATAAGATTTATGCACATCGTATGGCAATTATAGCCATCTAAAAGTCTCGGTCCCCGCATCAACACTTTGTGGTAATATTAAATATCAGACTTGGATTCATAGTTTGGAATCCCATTCTCACCCCTAAGCAGTATCCATTATATTACAAACAGACTGAATAGACAAAGCAGATTAATTAAATCTGTCTATATGGCCTGATTATTACTTTTGACAGCAACAGCACACTCAGAATTGTTTAATGGTTTTATGTGGGTTCATTCTGGAAAAGTGTACACCGACCAAACAGCCAAGGCTTATAATTTCAAAACATTTAGAAATTATACATTCTCCCTTAAAACCAATTATTTGCACATTTTAGAAATTACAACCAACACTACAAATTCTCAAAACATTAGACTTGAGAGGTTTATTATTTAACAATGGTATATTTAATTCATCAAGGGCTGGCTGTTAAAATTGACAGACTTTGCTCTACACAACACTTATTCAGCTGTACAACTACTTCAACTAAATATGAAATCCTCCAGCTAAGAAGTGTAAAATTTAAATGAAGGCAGAATTAGGCCAATCTGTTTAATAAGCTGACTTCCAAAAAGCAATATTAATGTACTAAAATACTAAAATATACTTAAAACACTTAAGACAGAGATCTCTTATGGAAAGCTTATGAATAACCAAAATGATAAAAAAACAACTGCTGCACTGAGAGCACGAGGCTGTCACCCGGCTGGAGTAGTCCCACTGTTCTGGCTGCTGGAATACGGCTCTGTGGCTAAGGATCTGCGCCTGTGGCTAGAAGGTTTCCGATTCAAATCCCGCAGCCAGCAGAGGAATCCTACTCCGTTGGGCCCCTGAGCAAGGCCCTTAACCCCAACTACTCCAGGGGTGCTGTACAATGGCTGACCCTGCGCTCTGACCCCCAGCTTCTCTCTCCCTGTCTGTGTGTCTGGGGTATGGGAAAAGACGAATTCCTAATGCAAGAAATTGTATAGGGCTAATGAAGTGATGTTATGTTACGTCGCACAGCCACAGCAGGATCACATCAGAGCCTGCTCAGTCCTAGCCCTGATCCTTACCTCCTGCACTGTCTCCATGGGCGGTGGGGGGTCTTTGTTCCGGCACAGGTTGACGATCACCCAGGTGACGTTGCGCAGGAAGGTGATGGGAATGGAGGGGTTGATGAAGGACAGGAGGGGCTTGACGACCCCCAGAGAGATGACGTAGTCTCTACACTGGGGCCCGTCCCCTGCGAGGTGGGGAGACAAGGGAACACCGTGAAGGTGCCACCGGGGCTGGAGTGGCTCCACTGGTGTGCGGTTAGGCACGCAAAGCAACGTTTTTAAAAAGCCTTCCCATTTGACTAAAAAGACCGCACAGAAGTGTGATGAGCACAGCTGGATTACTTGCTGTAGACGCCATACCCAATCTCAACACTCCTCACTGTTACAAATGTTTTTTTGCATGGAAAAAATGCAAATAGGAATATCCAGGACTTGACTGCAATGTTACACCCCCAAGTGATTAAAAAACTCTGTTTGTATAATCCACCATGAGGATTAGACCTCATGTGCAAACTGGAATGTCTACACAGCTGTACACGTTTGCTCTGCAGTAACATCTCTTTTCTGGGATGTGTTAACTGCAGCTACTAACAACAATGTACCCCTTCTGTGTTTCCAGGAACCCCCCTATTTTGACTGCTAGCTCTGTGTTACATGGACAGTAAACAGGTCGTAACTGAGGATGATGAAGGACGGAAAATTAAACTACAGGGCCAAGCTGGAATTCACCCAAATGTCCAACAGGGAGCTAGCTATTCAGAACCTTTTCCCATTCATTTTAAAACACCCAAGGTGTGCTGCAGCTATTGTCAGTGCGCAGGCAATGTTTTAATCTGATGTTACTCACCAATGATATTTCCCAGAGCCCAGACTGCTTGCTCACATACATTCTGGTGAGGGGAATGCAGAAGTCGCAGGAAGAGTGGCACAGCATCTGCACAGCAATATGTCTGCATGTCAGAGACCCAATACTTTTCCATGGAGAAAACTGCTAAGTGCTGTGGAAATCTTTTTCAGGACTGTAGAAGCCATCTAAAAAACCTACACAACTTAAGCAAGAAGAATTGTTCACAGATTATGGAACCAATACAAATTTACAGCACCAAATCAAAGCTGGAGGGGATGATGATAATGTTGGTGGAATAAAATCTAACTTTAACCCAATACAGCAATTCACAACACAGGTCCTTTTCATCTAAAAAGCATCACACAGTAATGAAGAAAAGAAAGGCAGGGACATTCTCCTTACTGGATTTGACCACAGCTTGGGTTTGTGCAGAAGTACCAGATGCAATGTTAGTCAATGCCCAGGCAGCTTCAAACTGCAAGGATGGACTGCAAAAAAAAAAAAGGATTAAGGGATTATTCACAATCAGTACAGTCAAAATGGGACTGAGAGAAATAACATACTGCTCACGATGACTCAGAGGAGCTTCTGCACATGAACTGGGACTTTCCACTGGCTTCTGTGTAGCACCAGGCACTGTTTTAGTTTCTGCCAACAGCATAAGTTCCTGGGAAGCAACCTACATTCTTCTGCTTTTTAAATCGCAGTATAACTTGGTATAATTTGCTATGAATATGCAAAAAAAAATCTCATGGCAAATGAATACAATATTACATACTTCTGTAAGTAGTGAGTCAGTCTGTCCACTAGTACAAATTGTCTTTTGTGTGCTAAGTTCCAGCTATTAAAGGCATGGGAGAAACTTCCCTGAAATCCAGCCATTTTTTCCACAAGTAAAAACAGTACTTTGCCCAGTGTGGCTGCAGGTCACTTTTAACACAAAGCCCACTTGATGGATTCTTCAGAGACACTCAAGACTGGCTCCATGCTCAACACTGACTTCTTTACAGCACTCAGAATCTGATCACTTTCTTTTGAAGCAATGAGTGACTTTTAATTATAGGGGAGAAAAGTAGTCTACAAGCATTCCAGGGGCTCGTTTTGCCGTTTTCCCATGTACGTCAACAGGTTTGCTTGAAACAATGGCCATGAAATTAACTTCTACAAACTCTCCGTATTACAACACTTATTCATAACCATATTTTGGATGATTTCCATCACTGATGAGTTTGTGGCCAACGGCCAGAGCTGAAAATAATTACCAAAGCCCAGCTCTTGACAACTTTAGCTGAAATTATACCCCCAACTACAAGAAAAATGAAACAGCTTGACTCTTAACATAAGAATGGAAAAAGAAACTGCGAAGGTGGTGAATTTAGCTGGTAGTAACCCGATATAGAAACAATCCCAATTCTACTTTAGATATTTACTATTCCTATTTTATGATGTATCCCTCACCTAGCTCCAGACCTGCATGTCTTTCAGTATAAACAACGGTCTCTTGTTTTCTGTCCTGAATGCTCCTAAATGTAATTTCCACGAGTATGGCCAGCATCTCAAATTGTTGGTGTTGGATCTAGCTGACAGGCAGTGAGAAATTAGTATGGTTCCTCTCCTCTGTACTGGCTCTAAAGCTCTACTATTGCAGAGCACTGCACCATTTTAACACTGGTTAAGTTAAATTCAATAACTTAACTACGAATCCAAGCAGCCTTTTAAGTCTTTGTATTTCTCTCTAAATGCCCCAAAGTTCTGCAAACATTACCCGTTTCAGTATAATGATGGACATTTGGAAAAAAAACGTACTTATCGTCCCGCTCCAGGCATTTCACTAGAATGGGCAGGATTCCAGATTTTATCAAGTCGTCGATGGGGGGGTTTCTGTCACTGGAAAGTAATTTTCTGCAAGCACAAAACATGCAAAACAAAAGTTAAACCCTAAGACAGCACATCCTGGATTGCGCTGGTTCCAGCAGGTGCTGTAGCCAACACAACGAAAATGAAAACACACGAGAAGCGTGTGCATCTGCAACTACTCCAGCTGCATCAGAATCGGGAGTGTAATAAGGAAAAAAAGTAAAAGCTCTTGTGGGGGGGGGGGGGAAACAAACACGTACACAATTTGCAAGTCACAATTTCTCCCCTCATATAAAGCCAATATGAAAAATGTTGGGCTAAGAACAGCCCAAAATACTTTAAGTATAAAAATGTGCTTATGTAAATACATTCTTTTTGAGAGTCATTCTGGCCAATCTTAAGAGGAACCTCTCCTTTTACACTCTACCAGAAGCAGTGCTCGAGTCCGCATGGGCAAGCCTCCAGCTGTTATGACCATTCGCCAAGTTGTTCTCTAATACAGCAGACGACATCCCACACACTTCACTCTGTCAGACACAATGGGCACGAACACAGGCAGCACACACTTTCGACTGGACTCCATTCACTTCAGTACAAAAACGGTAAGGATGGCTCCGTCACACTGACTCTCACAGTGCCACTAGCTAGTACCACAAGCTTCTGTTCAGTTTCATATGAGCCACTTTTATTGTAGAGAGTATGAAGTAACAGCCTCCATCATGAAAGCTGTGAAAAAAGGGGTAGGATACACAAACTGTAAAAGACCTTTTCTCAACCAAGGCTACTCAATGGCCAGAATAAAAATTCACAGTAAAGCATTTACAGGTATAATTCAAAATTTAACTCAATACAGCTACTACAATAAAAGTTAACTAGAAAACTGCGTCAGTTTTGCAGGCTTCCCAGCAAACCCTTATTTCCCAGCTCACTTCAGCAGCATGAATGAGAATCTAGAACGATACCTACTGAACCTGGAGTTCACAAAGCAAAATGCTTTTGAAGAGCAGCGCTAGTGTAAACTGGAACATGAAGCAGAGCAGGGGATGTCCCACTAGGGGTGTAAAAATATATCACTGCAACTGTGAAGGGCCAGTATAACGCAGGTCCGACTGTAGGAGAAACTCTGCCTAGTTTCAAGCTGTGCAGCGGTACATGGAAATTTCAAAACAAAAATGTGCTGAAGTGCACACTGCCTTTCATACAGAAACCTCGGCTTTCATTACACAAAGAAAAGCAAACACCAAGTTGTCTACTTAAACTGAAGGAAACCACCTACTATGCTCTTGCCCTGTTTTCAGGTAATGCGGGGAACCCCAGCATGCTTAATGGATAAACTAATTCCATTGTACTCAGGAATCTCAACAGATATGCAAGTTCCCCAGTGCCCTGCTGTCAGGACTGATTCAGGCCTGAGACACTTGTGTCCATACCAACTGTCCAGCATCAGGGTGGCTTGAACTGCTGGGAGCCAGGCTGTGATGAACAAAACCCTTTTACTCCCCTCATGTACTTCTCTGGGAAAATATCCAGAAAGCCCTCTGGTTTGGAGCTTTTTACAGCGCTCTTGGCATACACAGTGAGATCATGAAGAGGGCTAGTGGTGGAAGACTGTTGTAGCCTCTATAAAGCTCTGCAGCCTTACACTCTCAGGTGAACGGCCATAAATGAAAAACTCCAGTGAGCCCCCAAACAAAAGTAGAATTTGAGGGCAAAGTTAAAAGCCAAAATTGCCCACAGGGCTGGTACCGATTCCTCCTCCGTCCTGGCATAATTCAAACAACCTGTATATTAGTTTATGGGAAGCGAAAGGTCACGTTCACAGTCAATGAAAGCTTTTGGAAAAAAAAAAAACACTACAATCACAAGAACACAAATGAAGCCTTAGGGTATAGGTGAGGTTTTATGCCTTTGTTGGTGCTGCAGTAAGTATGACACCCCCAGTCCTCCTCACCTTGCAGCCTGCACTGCGCTCAGCTGTACCACTGCATTATCACTGGTGGCGTTCTTCAACGACAAGAGAGAAGGGAAAAATCATGTTATTACAGCACTGTATTCCTCAAAATTAACAGCTGTGAAACAAGAAATGACATCCATCCAACCCCTAGAGCCACTTATCTAAATGGATACTTCTGAGTCTGTCACGTTATCAAGTTCGAGTGAACGTTAACGTTAAAGAGTCCCAAGAAAACAAACAGCTGGTGCCACCTACTTCTGAAGCTGTAAGAAGACCTCCCACCCCACCCCCTCACCATTCGTCTCGTCAAATGGAAAACACTGCAGTGTGATGGAGTCGAGGCTTACCTGTAAGATGGCATCTAGTGTTACATTTTGCTGAAAAACAAACAAATGAGAAAGTTAGGCCAACTAGGCCTAAACATGAGAATCCAACACACTTTTTCCACAAGCCAGGTAAAGGAATAGCAAGAGGCAGTAGTTAAGGCCCCGGGCTTTTCAACACAGGGCCATGGACTCATGTTTGCATTGTGCATATTGTAGTTGAATCACTCTGCAAGGTACTTCACCCCAGCTGCTTCACAGTACCCCATAACCTGAGAGGTCTTGGCCCCACTGCGTCAAGGGCATCTTCACTGCGGAGGAACCAGTGCAGCTGTGTGGTTCAATTCAGGAACCACAACAATCTTACCCCTTTGAAATCAGCATCTACATCAGAGTCTTCTAGGCTTTCTTCTTGTGGCACATTTCGCTTCTTCAGTAGGTGCTCATCTCTTTTGTTCTGAAAGAAAGGGGAATGCAAATGACACATCTGAAAGCACAAGCCCCGCACGTGCTCACAGCCCAGCCAAGACCATATGCGTGAATGTCCGCTTGACTAGGACCATCGATGGCCCTACAACTGTGCCTGATTTCAGGCATCAGCTTTGGCTAGAGCAGAGAGCAGTCACTCCTTTCAACATTCACTTTTAAAGCTTTGCACCTATAGCTGCCTGGACTGCACACAGATCGACTAACGACTAACAGGTCAATTCCACCCTTGTTTTCTCAATAATAAACTACTATAATGTGCTACAGACTGCAAACTTTTAAGTCCACAGTAGTGACTTGTGTTTTATGGTGACAGCACAATCTCGATCGCATACCTCCAGCTCCTACTAGGCCTTCTGACACTTGCCACGCATTTGCCCTTGTCACCTGACTTACATCACTTCATTTCCTGTTGTATTACGGTCTCCCCTGACCTGGCTGGGGAAGCCAGCAGCAGGTACTAAGACCACAACATCTGGCTTTCGGTGACATTGTTTCCACTGAACATCAAAATTGAATCTATCCCTGTATTTTTTTCCAAAGAACAGCGCATACAAATTTTAGATCTCGCTTCAGTGTTTTTGGGCACATTTGAACTGATTATGCATGCCAGCAGCCATATCACTCTGCAATTCACAACTGGCAGCCCACTGAAGCTCAGCAGTTGTGAGCCTGGTCAGTACCTGGATGGGAGACCTCCTGGGAAAACCTAAGGATGCTGCTGGAAGAGGTGTTAGTGGGGCCAGCAGGGTGCGCTCACCCTGTGGTCCATGTGGGTCCTAATGCCCCAGTATAGTGACAGGGACACTATACTGTAAACAGGCGCCGTCCTTTGGATGAGATGTAAAGGTCCTGACTCTGCGGTCATTAAAAATCCCAGGGTGTTTCTCTAAAAGAGTAGGGGTGTAACCCCAGCGTCCTCGCCAAATTTCCCATTGGCCTTTACCAATCATGGCCTCCTAATAATCCCTATCTATGAAATGGCTTGATCACTCTGTTCTCCTCCCCACTGAGAGCTGGTGTGTGGTGAGCTTTCTGGTGCACTATGGCTGCTGTCGCATCATCCAGGTGGGGCTGCACACTGGTGGAGGTGGAGGGGAGTCCCCATTACCTGTAAAGCGCTTAAATAAAGTATCCAGAAAAGTGCTATATAAGTGTAAGCAATTATTAATAATGCATGATGGCCCCTTCATTACAGTTGTTACGGCACAGAGAAGAGGCGATTTCACCTATTGAATGGGAATATTGAATATTGAATAGGAAAGACATTCCCTCTTATCAGGGGAATGTCTTTGTGCCATGAAGGTTTAGTGCGAGGGGCAGCACGCTGTTACAGTTGTTAGCATTTGTACCTCGCAGCGCTGGGGCCCTGGGTTCGATTCCAGGTCTGGATGCTATCTGCGAGGAGTCTGTACATACTCTTCATGCTTGCGTCAGTTTCCTCCCACAGCCCAAAAACATACAGGTCAAGTATCCGGCTTCTGGGAAAACTGGCCCAGGAGGAAATCTGTGTACTTGTGTCTGTATATCCCTGTAACGGACTGGCTAGCCAGGATAGGCTCCGGCTTCCCTATGACCCTAAATAGGATGGAGTGGTTAGAAAATGGATGGATGGATAGTGCTCGACAGAACCTGAATGCACAGTGCTACAGTGATAAAGGCTTGGGACTTACTGTCAGCATTCCAGCAGGACAAAGTATGTCATCATTCTGCTCACATAACTACCTCGCGAGAGGAGAATGTGACTTTTATGCCGGGAACTGCTCGCCGGGCTTGAATGACATTGAGCGCTTGTGGGATGAGCCGAGACAAGCGAACAAGCACATACCTACTGAGGCTGAGGATTGAGAGAATCCCCCAAGACAGCATCTGCAGCCTGGTGCAAAGCATATGTGGCAGATTCACAGTATTTCTTCCAGTGATGGCTGCACAAGCCACTAGCCCGAGTCTGTCACCGTAAAACCCCCTACTGATGACAAGTGACACTCAGCGTAATGAATCTGCCTGTATCCTGCCATGTCTGTTCAATAAAAAAATCAGTGTACCTGATACAAAACGGACAGCTGCCTTCCTGACGATAACTGTATTTGGTCCAATTCTAAGTGAATTTTGTAGGATGACTGGTATATTTCAGCAGCCTGGTGGGGTCGGCGGGTCATGCGATTTGGTCATGTTACTGCGTTATTGGTGGCGAAAGTCTTCATGCCACAGACATTTAACTCCAATTATTCAGCGTCAGATGCTGGAGGAACCCAGCGAACCCCACATGTCCTGCACACATGTTAGATGGGTCTTCATGGCAAAGTGCAGCAGCCTGGCAGACAGGCAACCACTTGCACTAATGGACACAGAACACAGGAAAGGACTGTTCCCGAATCTTGTCTCCCACTTGGTTAAAAATTAATCACCGCAGGTTCTGCACCTTCCAAAGTCAAATATTTATCTCATGCCACAGATTACATGTTGGTTTTGGCAAAATTTGTGTTAGAAGTAACCAGGGACAGAAGAATCTCTTTCATAGGCTCTACTTAAAGCTTTGGCCACAAAGCAGTAGTATTTAGTTTCTACTTGGTAAAAAAGAGATCCCCCTTACATGGTATAGGTCATTTAACATACGTGTTTATTGAAGTACAAGCAATGTGATTCTGCCATTCATGACTCATGCGCATTAAAAAAATGAGTTAGCATAAGGACTAACATATTTTTAAAACCACCAGTCATCCCGAGTTGCAAGAACCTATTTTAAACCCACAACCTCACAAGCACTTTCATAAACAAACTGACCCGCATGTAACGAAGCACCGGCTCAATGTAGCATTAATGCAGGCTTCCTCTCCTGCACTGCTGCTTAATATAGCTCAGTTCTGTCAGCTGAGCTGCAATAGCTGGCTCATAGCCTCAGAGCTCCGTGGGTCCCAGGTCTCCGAGCATAGAGGGGAATCCTTCTGCACTGCATCCCAGCAGCAGGGCTTGGCCACCAGGTGCCAGGTTAAGACCTCATTGAAAGACGTAAAAAGCTGTGCCACAAACTCCACCTTCTCTTATCCAGGACCTAATCAATAAGCATCCCCCCCGCCCCCACAAAAACCAACCCAATTTTTCAGCCTGGGATATAAAACAATCCAGCTCCTATCATCCAATATCTCCCTTACAGGGAAAAAAAAAAACAGATGAATTTAGCCTGTTTTGTTAACCATCTGATCCAAGGATATCATCCAGCTTTTTCTTAAAAAAAGCCAGGGTACCAGCTTCAACGATCAAGAACTACCCCTTGATCTTGGTCACAAGTTTATCATACATAAGTGTTACCCTAAAGTGACATGAGCACTACATCACCTCGTTAGAGAAAGCTGAATAGGTAAGAATGATGGTTAAATACTGAACTTGTTGAATCCAAACCTGCTGTTAAATCAAGAAAGAAAAACACAGTGGAACCAATTTGCCATGCTTATCAAGAGAACACTACCTTCAGGATGTTAGAGGCACACGCTCTCACTGTCTCGAGTGTTTAAAGTTGGCCATTTCTAACCTAGAAAGACATTACAGCCAAACAGCCTGTGTTGGCCATAATCTGGCAGACCAGGAGTCACAACACCTTGCCAAGAGTACTGGGAATGTCAAAGCATGACTGGACTAGACTGCTCTGTGCAGCTGCTAGAGAACTCCTTTGCTCAGCACTGACCCAATCAGGTCAAAGGATCTCGCCTGCTAATGTTCCTACGGGCTCATCCTGACGTGACCACACTTCAGCATGGTTGTGCAATAACAGCTTTCTAATGAAATGTGCTCCATGCCTGTCCAAGGTCTAGGTAGCATGTTCAGCCTCGTGCCATGAATATATAGTTTATATTGCTTTCAAGACAGGCAAGTCACACTCACAACTTGTCTGTCTTGCACAGTGGGCCCCCTGTTGATCAACCATGTTAATCATGGTTAACAAATGTTTATCAGCATCATCTGCTCAAACACATGTGGTGTGCTTGCTATAAAAAATCTGCCATTTTCCCGATACTTTTGCATATTAGTTGCAGCTTAAAAGCATGAGAATCTTTTAATGCTCAGTATAACAGAATGGCAATGCACTTGACAGCACTGGGTTTATTAGTACGCAGAAACTGGATTCCAAAAGGAACACTTCACCTTTAAGGGTTTTAATAGGCCTGGAAACAGCCTTTAAACACCACTTTGTGTCTAAAGCTTGATTTTCCCCCCTTTCATTTGACGTTAAACTGCATGGAGTGGCCAAGACTTGCCACACTGACTATTTTAAGCCGTGTGAAGCTGTTAGTGTAAGGGCTTTGGATTCAAAGCAGAAAGAAGCATCAAGTGGAAGTGGGTTATATTTCTCGGGGTGAGGATCAGCACATGTACCCTTAGCTTCAGCACAATGGCCAACTGTGTAAAGTGGTCCAAATGTTACATTGGCAGGGACGAAAGTGTCAAACTAAACTGAAATCCTGGCAAGAGAATCTTCTGACAACATGACTGAAACAGGGAGGGGACTTTGAGGCAGAAACAGCTGATGTAGATCTTCATTACAAACAGCAGATCTTAACCCAATATACTGAAGAAAAACCCAACTAAGCACATCCAAAAGAATATCTAAAATGCAGATCACCTAACTGCTTGGCGTCAGTGTTTTAATTGCAACACGTTACGTGACGTAAATTAAAATTGTGTGTGAGCTGGCCGCATAGTTTTCTGTTGGCTGGTGGGACCTAAATAAGCCAGCATGTACACTACCCAGGAACTAACAAGTAGGTGAAGGGGTGAAAGATCACCACAGGAAAAAAACATCTTAGGCGTTTTTAGTTTGCAAGATGCAAAACAGCTCAAGTGGTAGGACATATATAAAAAATGACTGTCCTGTAAGCATAAACACTCATTTTCAATGTTGAGATATTGGACATCACACCAGATTTGCTGCTCACAGCAAAGAAAGCTTGAGGGAAGAGAAAAGAAGGCCCTTCAGCTACACAGCCTACCATAATGTAAGAACACTGAATACAAATCATCAGGAAATGTATTCTTAATATTTGAATCGTCCACTCTGAGATCATTGCAAGCACTTATCAAGTCAAACACTACATTTCTAAAACCCAATGAGTGCAGACACTTCAAGATAACAGGTCATGCACTAAGTATTTTAAGACAAAATGCTTTAATTTGCACTGACCATAACTGGGCCTACCTTATAAAAAAAATTGGAAAATACCTATCCTCCAGTACATGAAAATCCTTTGCTGCACAGTTGGTTTTCAAACACTAATAAACTATAAAAATTCAGAAGTGTTATAAGAATGTAAACAGACTTTTATTGACTTTAAGCTCCCTCTTAAGTCCAGTTTGATGTAATCCAGCACTGTAAAATTTCAAAACAGAAGCAGCAAAAGGAACTTCTCATATTCTTCATTTTCACACTAATTCTCAACAATTAAAAACTACAGGTTATACAAACATCCACATTTGCTTACTGTTGGTAATAGCAGCATAAATTAATAGCATATATGCTATAAATAAAGTCTTGGTCAAATATCTCTCTGAAACAGTTCCTCAGAGTGAGTGAACTCCATATCTACATTTGCAGTGTCGAGGGCTACCGCAGAGTAGACACCAGAGAGCCTGTGGCATTCTTTTCTGCTGCATTCCTTCGGCTTGTGTGAATATTCCAGTGAAACTGCGCAAGTTTATTCAGATCTGTGACACACTAACATGCAAACGCTAAACTGAGAAGAGAACACGCTATTCTAAGTAAAATACGGCCAAAGAGAATGAGGCTAATTTAGGTAGAGAATCTGACACAGTTAGTATCGAGTTTATTATTTACCCTTTTCTTCAACACAGCAGAAAAGTAACAATACAGAAGAGCCTGTGTTGCCTCATTTTAAGATCTGATACAATGTTCGTCTCCAAGTACAAAGAGGCTTCTTCAGGGCAGCTATTCCTCCTAAAGTAAGCCAGCCCATAGTTCCCAAAATACTTGAAATACTTCGGCAGAGGTCTAAACAAAGTTCCATTGAAATATCTTACTGTTCCTCAAGCTTTAGAAACAATTACTTTATGAACTAGGATGAACGCACAGTACATATGAGCCTTATAACGACGACTACAGCTAGGTGACAAGCAAGCTCAAAGGGTAGTTTTGTAAAGGCATGGGACAAGTTTATTTAGAAAACAGAAATAAAGGTCATTAAACAAATATCTTGGAAAGAAGCTAAGAAATTCAATCAAGTGGTAGACAGCCTTTTAGCTTGATTTGTAAAAAATTAACTTTAGACTGCAAGTTCACACTTTTCATAACTAGTTTAACTTCTAAAAAGAATATTCCACTAATAAATTAAATCCCCCAAAACAGGCTTTGCAACTGACAGCTATATGCTTTGGTAAGAGTAAATCTCTGTTTCTTTGATAAAACATGTTTGAAAATGAAGAAATGGAATGAAAAGATTATAATGAAAAGGGAAAATGCCGTATCTGTGATGCAAACTTCTTCTTTCCCACACTATTTGCCAAACGGAAACAGCACAACTAAATTGGCCGATAAAAGGCACAGATGACCCTTTCAGCCAGGTTGGCTAAAGATTGGGTTGATGGGGATTAGCCGATGGGTTCACTGCTTAAAGTCCCCTTCTCCACAGTGCACAGTGCTAACCCGGGATAATCCTATGACACTGAGCAGCTCAGCACGAGAAAACTAGTGGCACAACAGCAGCCAAAGGCATCTGAGGCCCACAGGAGAATGGCACCACCAAGGTACCCAGCCAGGAAACCGCAAGCTGACCGGCTACCATATTATTAAAAAGCAAAACCAAAAATCTCCCCCATTCCAAAATCCTGCATTTAGGCCTGAAATGTCTACTTATCACGGGATGCCGAGTTGTTTGAAAGTGGTAGCTAAGATGTTTGCTAAAAAGGGGTAGAGGAGAGGGCTGTTTGTGGTGTTTCAGCTGGGAAAATTATGTGCCACCTTTACTGAAAAAACAATCTTGGGAGCAGCTGGTCATGGTCACACTGACTGCAGCTGACAGGTGACTTTAATTATAGCTATTAACCTCAATTTCCCCTGGGTGATAATTCAAAATGAAATCTATTAATAATGTGTGGGAGGCTCAAATTAATTTAAAATCTATTTAATATACATTCTTTACCAGAAAAGTTGCCCAAATCATCTTGGCTCTAGCTACATAAATCAATTCTTTAGCCCTTGATTCTGAAAGTTTTGTCCAGCAGGAGGGCCATCAAATATACATCATACAGCACATACTGATGACAAGCTAACTTACAAGGTTTTTAATAGCTGTACACAGGATATTAAACCTAGCAGATACCCAGCTGCTCTCTACTCTACTGTCAACAGTAGAACAGTTTAACCACAAACGCATATAAAAACCGATATGCAACATTTGAATACTATGAGAACGATTTTATGATTAAAGATTAAATCTTTTAACCTTGCGTTTGTCTGAATGTGCAATGAAAATAGAGAAATAACAATTTATAACAAATTAGCAATCTTGGCATTCTCTAGCAATGTCTCTAGTTATAAATGTGACAAAAGATTAGCTCCTGGCCAAGAATGCACACGTTTCCTTACCTTTCTCAGTTCTACTGTCACTTCATTCCGATGTCTTCTCATAGTCTGAAAGAAATGAAAAATAGCAGCATGAAATCAACGAGCATCACAAACCCACAACACAACTTTCATATTTCATTAATATGCTCTCTCTCAAAAGCTCATTTTTACGGAGCTCAGCACTACTGAGTCAACACAACCAGTAGGGAAAGGGGAATGCAGAGAGAGAAGTGCCGAGATATCCTAAGGACTTATATGAGTCTATTCGTCTGTGGTTGGGACCTGGACAGAATTGTTACAGCAGGGACACTGGACACTCTTGACAACCCTGCAGCTTCAAATAGTCTCTTCTCATATTTATGAGCCTCACCGAGCCTCAACTCACCAAAATAAGAACCACTAGAGGTGAAGGCCACAGCACTTATCATTCCACCTCAAATAGACCCTGCAAAGCCAAATGTGTCTCGTAAGCCCAGTTCTGATTCCCCTTCGAATCTCACCAGGCCCTCGTCAGTCGCAAACCTTTAGATTTCCCTTAGAAACAAAGTGTCAGATTTTAAAATTTCACCTGTGAAGCGCAGCACTGCCAGAAACACGTCTGACTGTCTCGCCTGTTCCACTGCTCTAATCCAGGCTGTTAAGTTATATTTTTGTGACGCTGATGCTGCGATTCTATGACCCCTTCTATTCTATGAAAGTTGGCACAGAATGTCATCATTCAGAGGTGCTCTTAAACACAATCTAGAGCTACAGTTCACCTACTGCGTTGAACTAGAAAGATTTACAAAGAGAAACGGTCTTGTAGAGGACCTTGAAACACATCGCAAGAACTGCAAGACAAATACCATATCACTCAATTCTCAAGAATTGATCAGTTTTACTCTTATCGGCTGCCAATAAATGAAGGCAGACCATGATCCAGTAACCACCATGACCTGAGACGGCAGCCAATAAGGGAAAGCTGATTTGAGCAGGTTTCAATTTCAGGTGCATAAAATCTTAATAAACAGTTTGCCCCCAAGCTGTAAGGTTCCTGAGGTCTGACAAACAAGAACAATAAGCTTAAAACAAAAGAACACTATACCAGCAATACCCTAGAAAGTGACAAGGACCGATTTCACACATCAACTGAGCTGTCCATGTTAGATCACATTAAACCTTGTGACCAGTGATCTAGGTTCATATTACAATCACAAATAGTCCCAAGCATATGGTAGGTGGGGCATCAATCTCATCCCTGAAAAGGCACTCTACGAAGCACTGATTTTTCTATATTTTACTATATTCACCCCCAAAGCACAACTGTCTCTAAAACATGTGGACCTATTCCGCTGCTAAATTCCTAACAGTTTTCAGCTGCCACTGCTCAAGAGAACATTACAATCAGCACAGCATAAAACCTGTAACTACAGTGAGTGTGCTCCTCTTTAGCTTAATGGGCACTGAGAGACCCCTACGGGCACCTACACTCTATCCAGGAAAATAAAAATCACCAGAAACTACATTCTAAGCTCTGCTCCAAAGAAGTCTTCTCCCACATCTCGATGTTTCAAAGAAAAACATTTCTCTAGGGGAGATTTGAATGTCTAAAAAATAAGCAGTTTGCCAAACCGAAGATTTATGGAAGGAGCACACCAACTAGGCGTGAAATGTCTCAAGATTTAATGCCGAGTTTCATTTTTACATTAAATAACTTGGAAGAATGACCGATTTCCACAATTTAAATCGTCAGCTGCCTCAAAACACACATTCAGGGACATGTGCTCTTTCCCACAGCATGAAGAAAGCAGGACAGCCTCACAGGTGAGAGAAATGTGTTGTTCGGCCTTAGGGGCTCTCCAAGTTGGAAGAGAACAGCAGAGGAGCTGTAACATGACCGCGTGTGAGCTCTGACGCTTTGGGACCAAAGCAGGGCAGTCCAGAAAGATCAGACTATCATCTCGAGTGCTGACCCCTCAGACAAAAAGGAGTTTCTATGAGTACGGTGCTCCAGGCGGGACCGGGTCCTGGCGACCCCGAAGCTGGAAATATTTCTGCAACATAAAAAAAAAAATTGGATTCCTGGTTCTCTTCCGCAGCATCATCAGTGAACACTGTTCAAGTGTTCAGTTTCTAGAGAAGGTTCCACGGGCAGGTCAGCTGCAATTGACTGCTCAGCTGCTACAGCCTTGTAAATGAATGCATTTCCATAACCAAATGAGTGCAATAACTAAATAAAAATGTATCTGGCAAGCGCTTAGAAACCAGAACCTTTTGAAACTACTCCACCTCGTGGCAACAGGGATGCTTCTCAGCTGGGAGCCCCACTCCCAGTTAGCCTTTATCCCCTCTTCACCGAATGCGACTTCCAAACAAACCCAAAAGTAGCACAGAGGAAAGCCTCTCCTCTCACTCGGACAGCCCTCGGTCATGAGCGTTTCGAGCCTGGCTAGGACAGGCACAGACCACTGCAGTCATGTCTTCAGGGAACCCAATCTGGCAGTCCAGGATATTTCACATAGCTGGAGCAGAGATCTAGCCTTGTTTATCATCTGTAGCCACGTCGCTGGTACTCCAGAGGCACCTTTTCTGCTCCAAGCTTCAGGCAGCTAGCACAGGTCGTTCTGTTTGACGCGTGCTGATTTAACAGTCCACCAGCTTCAAACAAGCTGATCAAGTGCGCATTCCCTGTCAGAGTTATGTAGGGGTTTTCAGTGTAAGTTCAGTACCATTGTTTCGAGAGCCGATTGAAAACATCACCCTCGGCTGCCACCTTAAGCACTTTATTAAGGAGGGGTCTTTATTTTTACTTTCTTCTCTGCTGACAAGTTGAAAGGGCTCAATGGCTTTGCGACATGGTTTTGCCGACATGCCTTGCAACTAAATTTCATACCGTTTTTAAAGAAGCCAAGTGAGACGCCGACGTGTTTTGGTGCAGCAAGCACTTCTAGATGCTCTGCCAAACGTTTGCGCACTCCTGAAGAGAACACACTGTCTTCAGGGGACTCTGTTCTGGAGGTCTGACACAAAACAGAGATTGAAAGTCTCATCTGATACAGCGTTTAAGCCCTTTGCAATAATAATCCATTAACACTGTTGAAGAAATACAAACTAATGCAGCTGTAAGGTTAAGAATAACTACTGTCTATAGACAACTTTTTAACATTTCCACAAAATTATCTATTTTATTAAACCCTTATTGACAAACTCTAAAATGTGACCCTCGTTAAGACAGTGTGCCAGAATGCATTTGATAACAGCAGCAGACGGCCAAGGATGTCCAGAATGTGTCAAGCATAATGGTCACCTTACACTTGCTCTCAGCGAGACTGCTCTTCGTTTGAGCCATCCTTATGAGAAACTATGGACTAAACTGTAGCAGGGGCAGGGCAATTACACTTAAAAATAAGGCTTTGGTATCACCATAGCTTTGTTTATTAAGTAAACAATCAGACTGTGCAATAAGGTTAAAAACAAACCCCAGCACCCTCTACTTCAAGAACAATGTTATTCACTTTTTTATTCACTTTTTCTTGGACCATCAGATTTTTCAAGCTGAGTGAAACTGCAGTCCCACTTTTTCAGACTGGTTATTAAATCTTGGTAACAAAATAATTCATAGTATTGGAAAATCTTACAAACTGCAATTTTGTTTGTGTACCTACACAAACATCCAACACACCACATTTCTGAAGCACTCCACCTTTACCGAGCAGAGGCACCTCAATAACCACCGGGTTCACTTATGAAAATAAGCTTCCGAGAGGATCCTGGTTAGAGCTTGGAAACAAAGGCCGCTTTTATAAAACTGCCAGCTACCTGCCATCAGCTCTGCAGCACAGACAAGCACTGTACATCTTCTCCCTTGTCCTCCTGGATTTCCAAGCATGTCTAAGAAAGAAAGCTTTTGACATTATTAAATTCCCTTTGATTAAAAAAATCATAAGCACTTCTGAGTTTTTCGTGCCATTCTGGTATGCTGAAATGAGCAAACAAGAGTATTGTCAACACCGTGTACATTGTGGCATTTGTTCATCTTTCAAAATGCCATTTATAACCGCACAAAAAATCAACTGGCAGTAATAATGGGAGTTAATGGGAGTTGTGGGATTTAAGTTAACCTATAAATAAGCTCTCAAAAGTAATTCGCAGGTTTTTTTCACCCGTTGTTACAATGAAACATAAAGCAGTTCAAAACCCAGGTTTACCAAAATCTGCATAATGAAAACACGAGACAGATATCATGTCCAATCTCTACGAAGAACCATATATCATTTGCACGCAGCACAGTGTGATGATTCTTCTCAATTTTGTTTATTTAGATTCTTGTAGAAATCCAATTCATAATGTAAATGTTCTGATAGTTACTTCCTCTGTTCTGCAAAGTATGATGATCCTTCTTGAAGTTATTTTGCATTCATCAAATCATATGCCATTGTAAAACAAAAACAGAGAAAAGGCAAACAGAAGCCAAAGAATTTCAAAAAGACTTAACCGACTTTAACCCAAACTCAGGCACTGTGATTTTAAGGGTTGTAAACAAGAGCCCAGTGACCAGTCAACTGATTTGCTCCGAGGGAGGTTTACTTGTTGTGTACGAACAAAGCTATGCAGCAAGTCTCATGCTGTCAAAAAAAAACATCACAAAATAGATTAAAAAAAACATCTTGGCTGAGGAACATTTTCCTAAAATGCTTTTTAGTATAAGCAAAATAAAAGATCAAATCGATTTTAGGTCGGAAAGCTTTTAAAATGATAAATTCACAGTCATAAGGCCGTTCAATTAGAATCTGTCCTACCTCTAACAAAATAGTCGTGCTGTCAAGTTTTTAACACTCTGCACCCTGAACACAGCCTGCTTTCAGCACTCCACAAGGTGCCTGGAGAGGTGTCTGAAGGTGCAGATGGTTTTTCACAGGCATAAAACAGAACAAAGGCTCAGTAAGATCTGAATGGAAGATCCTAAGAAACCAGAAACTGGGTTCCATGGGGCAGATAAAGCACTTCCCTATTCAGGACAAGTGGACTCACAGGCTTAGTGCCCTATAATTACCCCCAAAGCCTTCTGTCCGGCCAGTCGGGTACATGCAAACTCTGCAGGATCAGACAGGGGCGGTCATTTCATGTGAAGAAATAGTGCAATCAGGTTTTTACATGAAGTAAACCCTTCATAAGTAGAGTTTCAGTTCAACAACACACAGTTGCCAGAATTTCCTTCACTGGATGCAAAAGGGTTCTGTTATGTTTCTGTTTTTCCGAAAAGCTAAACCAAGATGTAAGATTATACCAGACAAAGACTCTCAAACACTACACTCATAGAAATAAGATCTGAAATGCTGTTTTTCTTCCCCATATTGATAGCTGAACATCTTTTATGTGTTCTTTATTATTTACAAAGAGGTTCAATGTATTTACCTTTTTGGCATGTGCCATTGTTGATTATCACTTGCTGGAGCAGACAAAAACATAAAATCAAATAGATCAGCCTCAGTGCTTAATTTCTCAAGGGTTTTGTCGGCAAGAAGCTTTTCGGTGTGTGTAAACGTAATGCTAGATAACTACAGTATTATATAAACCTTGATGAAGAAAAGCATCTCAATTCCAATGGTTGCACTGCTTGTAGAGCAGGGACAGGCAAATTCTGTTCCTCATCATCCAGGGGGTCACTGGTTCTGCCTCTTAATTACTTGACATTAATATCTGGAGAAGTCACATCGTGTTCATTTAAGTCTCGATGAGTTGGAAACTGAAATGCACTAAATCCTACAAAACACTATGGCTGCCCAACCTTGTTACACTGCACATTTTTTATAAAATGCTTTGAACTCATAAAAAGAAAACATGACCAATGATCTTTGCTTAAAGGTTGCGTAGATATTTAACAAGTCTTATCTTCAGGGATATTTGCTTATATCCAATGCTGTTCCATGGAAACAAATGATTTCTCACCTCCTTAAAACAAAGAATCATCATTATTTACAAGAGGTTCAATATATTTACCTTTGTGGCAAGTCCTATTGCTGGTTGTTGGAGTAGACAAAAACAGAAAATTGAATGGGTCTGCCTTAGTGCCCAATTCGTAAATTAAACATTATATAATTTTGTTTTAGAACTAAAGAAAATAGGTTTCACCTATTGTGAAGGAGCAATACTCCAATTTATTACAGCTTCCAACCACACAAATGTAACAGACCAAACTTCAAGAAGCCTTTAATACAAACATTAGAACTTTTTTTTAACTTTTTTTTCTACACAAGCAAAACTAAAGGTTCAGTACTGCAGTCAATCTAAGACAACACAGTGACAGAGAGTGAGTTCTCCTAATCCGAGACCAGGCTGACACAATGGAACAAAGCCTTCTCTTGTGTCACCGCAGAACTGTGGAACCGTCATCCAATCAATTAGAGAACCATTACTGTGGACAGTCAAGAAAGGCTTGAAATCTTTTTTTTTTTTACTGTGGTGTTTAATGTAGAATTGCTATACTTCTGGTTTTTAACCTTCTTCTGCCTTAGGCACATACTACCGTACAGCGCTTTGAGTTATTTGAAAAGAACTTAATGCATTATTAAAGGCTATATTGTTTCCATATACCATGAAATATCATATCATGAGACAAACAAAGCATGAACTCAAAAACAGCCCACTGTGCGTTCCAGTTAGAAAGTGTTAATAAATGCACTGCACGCAATCCTAGGACTCTTTATCAGGACTGGTACAGTGTATTAGAAATGACATCTCCACAAACTGAACATTCACACCGGCCATGTGATGGAAGTGTTCCTGTAGCAAAACAGAGCTGTGGGACCTGGTTTCTCAGCTCCTAGTTTTAGATACACCTTGTCTTTTCGTTTCTACTGCGGCTCCAGCCATAGTCACCTTCTTCGTACCCGAACTGACCAAACACCTTGCCCGATTAGCAGGTCTTCCATTTCCATCAGATGAGGCATTCAGGTAGCTCTACCCTTATTAAATTAACCTGAAACACGTGACTGCGCCAGAGCGCAAACAATCCAAAGGATTCAAATGAGGCAAAATGAGCTCAATTTTAAAAAAAAACAGCTGCATAAAGTCATGAATGCATAGGTGTTCCCTGAAATCCATAAGAGAAAGACTGCTCAGTCAAAAAAAAAACAATTCTAAATAAAGATGAGATTCTACAACCATTGAAAAGATACACATAGACGGCATGTTAAAGTCAAGCTGTCACAGCTTCAGACTGAACAACTACACAGGTAACTACAGTTGCTACAATAGGCAAGTTCAGAGCCCAATGTGGCAACAAATGACAAACAAGAGCTGGTCAGAAAAGACTGCACAGTGCCATGGTCATCCAACAACCCTTTAAACGACAGATGTGGGTCAGCCTGTAATCATCTTGGTCTAAAGAAACAGCAGTCCAACCTAAAATTAGGGGCATGTCCTAAAATTGAGATGAGGTTGTATGTTTCCCAAGAGGGCTGTTCTTGTGTGTATGCTGTGATGAACAGGACACAGAGCCTACATATCTCAGGAGATCAGAGGTGTCCACGCGAAATAGTTGTGCAAACAATGCCATTATAAAGCAATCGCGCTAGTCTCCCACGAAAAACGCTCAGCATTAGCAAAACCTTGGAGATCTTAAGTGGATTTACCTCATTTTCCAAGTATTGCAACACTTATCAAACCAGGCTAAGAATCGTTAGCGCAGTGAATGAATAATCCCCGTTTGTTCCTTCTCTGCTTGCCGATTTGTAACACCAATAAAGTAAAACGAAACCGCAAAAGCTTCAATGTACGAACTTCAAGGCAGAACAGCTAAACGCAAAACGTACTTTGAAACAACAGGCACCCGCACTAGCACCTTAGACGATTTTTTGAATTTTAAATTTCATTCAGCACGCCAGTGAGACGTCTGCAATCATATCTCCCAGTCCCTTAATTATCAGCACCAACCGCTATGCCTCTTTCTAACGAACTGTGTCCTTACATCTTCTCCCACTGTGCCGCACATATTGCTTAGATCTCCTCCCAAAACAGCGCAGGTAAAAAAAAAAAAAAGTGAAAACGCACCTGAGTTACAGCGACTGATGTATTCATTTACCGTCATATGCATGCCAGGCCCTTAAAAACTAGTTGTGTGCCCTAACCTAATCAAACCACGGACGGAAGCAATCCTGCATACAACACAGCAACAGAGCTACAAAACCCCATGACTTCGGGGCCGGCTTTTACCGCAGTAGCACAATCCCTCACGGGCTGCACACAGGTCGCGTTTCAAATGTTACAGGGCCCATCGTGATCTCAACAATGACAATCCATCACATTCACTCTGCATGTCGCCGGCGACCGGCCGCCTGAGGAGCCGGCTGGGTCAGGCGCCGTCTCTGTCCCTGCAGCCGAGTCAAGGGCTTACGGCCTGCTCGGTTTTCTACATCTGGGCAGGGAAAGGCGTGCTACAGCCGCCCCTTTCAAATGCGGAAAAGTGCGCCGTTTGGCCAGTCCGGCTCTTGGCTACGCTCTCCTTTCTAGTCTCGTTTTTTCCCCCCCTCTTTGCTTTTTTTTTCCTCCAAATCAGGGAAGATTTGAGAGGGGAGGGAAAAGGCTAGGACAGAACCCCATTTTTCGTAGACCGTTTTGTCAGGAACACCATTACCAAGAGCAGAGCAAAAAGAAAAAAAAAAGAGGCTCAACTGAGTGTGATGCTAACTAGATTTTTTTTTCCCCCCACAGCAATTAAAAAGGCCCCGAATAAAACAAAAAGAAGAAAAGCACAGGTTAATCGCTTTATTATTATTTTTTTTCACTAGGGAAAAGCATAAGACGGTGGAGGAACGATTAAAACGCGGTTTAATGGCACAGAGAAGGCCTTTCCTTTAGGCCGCGCCCGCACTGCATGATGATGGTGGTGGCGGCGGCGGCGGCGGTGGGGGTTGTTCCGGAATAAACGCTCCTCTTACCCCCAACAGCAACAGCAGCAGCAGCAGCAGCAGCATCCAGCAAAAAAAAAAAACCCACAGCCGGTCGCAAGGCCCGGAGGGCACAGCCGCTCACCGCCCGCGCCCCCACCCCGGTTCAGCCCGGACCGGACCGGCCCGGCCGGGCCCGCCGCGGCGCCGCCACCACCACCACCACCATGCCGCCATCCCCTGGGCTCCCCCCTTACCTCGACATCGCGTCCCTTGTTTTTAAAGCTCTTGATGCGGTGGTTCTCCAAGCCGGCGTTTTCTGCCATGGCTCTGTGTGTGCTCGGTGCGAGTGCGGTCCGGCGCTCGGAGCTCCAGTGAGAGAGAGAGAGAGGGGGTGAGACAGTCCGCTGTGCAGCGGAGAGGGGGGCGGCCACACGTAACGGAAGGCGGCGGGGCAGGAGGGCCGGGAAGGAGGAGCCACGCTCGGCAGCTGGAGAAAGCCGGAGAGAGGCCCCGGCGCTGCGAGCGAGCGAGCTGTTGGTTGGGGTGCGATTGCACAATGGATGTGCGCATCGACAAATATAAACACAGCGAGGGCCTTCAGCTAGCCCGCGTCTCTAGCCGGCGGATTACATCGGCTGTTGGCTAGATCGCTCCCGAGTTTTCTCCCCCAGCAAACGGGGTTTTGAGGTCGTTATTCCAGCCTACTTGTAGACTTGCGTCAGTGTATTTCACGTTATAAAGAGTGCGCATGCCTTACGTAAGTTAGAAACATGGACAGTTCCGATAAATACACAAGAATACCGTTGTGGTGCATAGATTCTTTACATACATGTTGGTGTTCCCTCTACAGGAAGTTAACAGTCGAGCTGTGTCGTCTTTAACGGAGTTCAATTGCACCGTATATATCAAAGATTAATTGTGTCTTTAAAGCATCACATCTGGTGCGTTGAATCCATGGAAACATGCATATTAATTCAGACAGCACAATACGGAATAGTAAAGCAACTAAGTACACAACATGGGGCGTTAAATTTCACAATTTATAGAGCTAGATTTAAGCAAATATGTCAAATTATGGACGTCTTTTGTTAAATATTAAACTGAATTCAAGTTCAGAATTCCTCAACAGACGGAAACGTTTTAAATGCGCCTACATTTCATACAGAAAAAGCAGATGTTACAAACCTAAAAATACTGTTCCCAGATTATTTTTAGTGTCTTGAGGTGGGAAAATGTGCTTCAGCAGAGTAAAAGATAGCATAAGAAATACACCCTAGTATTTTGGACGAGCATACTGTACCTATCAAAATTGAGATATTCGCTTAAAGGATTATTTTCTGGAGAAGATATGTAATGTTTTCAAATCAACACCCATTTTCCAAAAAAAAAAATCAAACGAATAGCTTTGTCAATCTAAAATCATTTAAAAATGCAATTTCAACTAGAACACGCAACGGACGAACTTCTTTCGGTTCACAATACGTATGATTTTCAGGGTTCTCATACTGTCTGAGCACATGGAGAATTTAAAGGTGTGATGTAAACATTTCAGCCTACACACTATATAACTATACTGAAAGGTATATACTAGTTCTTGATTTGTATAAAAGAAGCGAAATGTGCGATTGTCATTCCAGGATATGCCTGTATTAAAATTATTCCTGCACTAGGATACCGGATCCTACTATCAAACGCGTCTTCTTGTTCGCCTACAATTCCCGTGCACATTATGCTAATGTTGAAACGAGACTTGTTTTTTTTTTTAAATAACTGCTCACACCTAAACCGGCCTGACTATATTATTTGAAACCGGGATACAAGAGATTGCTTGAGCAAATGTTTTCTTACGGCAACACGTGCCCAGAACACGCGCAACTGAGGCGCGTCCCCGATGAAGTGGAGCCCAAGGTCGCGCCCAGCCCGCCCCTCCCTCACGAGGGATGGGTGACAAAAGATACGCGAAGTGCGCTCCCTAGAGGCTGGGATGTACACTCTACCAGATAATGGAGAGTTACAGGGAGGCAAAAAACTATCGATTCTATTTCCCCTCCCGCTCCTTTCATCACCTTCCCTCTGCAAGTAACTTCAGTTAGCTAGTGCAAGAAAAAAAAATCTTGGTCATCTGTGCATATTTAATGTAGGAAATATAAAATGCATTAGAAAACAAGAGTTGAGATGTCTTTAATCTTCATTTAATTGCAGCTTGTGGGCAGGGCCACCTGGAATATTGTGATAATCTTCATGCATACCAGAGAGGATAAAACCTAAGCAAACTCTGTAGATCTTGAGAAATATGCTCAGAAACCCGAGAGCTTTCATATTTAAAGGCCAGTAAACCAACTTGCTATTTATATTGGCAACCAGCGAAATACTTGCATACTGAAATGAGATCTAAAACCAAACCCCAATGATCTTCAAAACTGAGAAACTCCTTAGTCCAGGTGCAAATTTTTTATTTTAGTGTAGACTTACAACAAAACCCATTTGGATTTTTAATACTCAACACATCAAGTTTCATTAGTGCAAACAAAACATTGTTTTGAAACATTTAAAACGGATGTCAGCAACAAAAAAGGAAAAAATTGTCTCCATAATGGGGGAAAAAGAACGGTTTAAAATGTGCTCATTATTGAAAAAGACCTCCCTGAATTTCGGCAGCCAAAACTAATGAGACCTATTTTAGCGAAGTTGTCGGCGTCCAGGATTCATTTTGGATTTTATTTTTTCCGTCACAAAACAAGGTTTGAGAGGGGGAGAAAAAAAGAGATATTGGGGGGTTTATGTAAAAGGAAAATCAACAGTGAAAAGTTCTATAGCGTTTTACAACATACATTTTATATTCATCAGACCACTTTATGCAGTGAGCTAATCGGTGAAACGACAACTCATTATCAGTATACTGCATTTGTGTACCATCTCCCAATATGTGGAACTAGAAATGTTTCATTAATGATGTCAAATTCAAGTTAAACACCTCAAGAAGTGAGGCAATGTGGACATGTAGAATGTAGATTACAACAAAAAGCAAAATAATTTCAACACCAATAGACAGTACTGTATCACAGGCTTCATAACTATGGCTTCAACAGTTACTAGTGACACGATACCATCTTATACAGCTGAATTCAGTAACCAATGTGCAGAAATTATTCCCAACATGGTGCAAGAGAGAAAGTTTCATTCCTACATCAAAGGGGCTCAGTCAAGACTGCTGACAATATAAACCTAGTGTTTTTCACTGCTACTACTAGAAATCTGCACTGCTTTTTACACGGGACTTGAAGAGCAGGGCCGACACTATCAGTGCATTTTTCTTTCTTTTAAATATAGCAACAAAGCCTGGTCCACACTGAGACGTTGGAGTACTTTAACACCTAGGGTCTTCCAGTTGATCTCCAGACTGCGCACTGGGAAGAACAAGGCTGGAACATAAAGCTTTCACAGGAGAACTCCATACAAACCGGACAATGATACAAGTCACAGAGCTTCAGAGAAACACACAGACAGAGAGCTTTGGAAGAGTGCAGGTGCGTTCACGAGAGGCAGTGTTTTTTTTTTTAGAAGATCTGCTGCTCGAACAGGATCTTCTCAAACCCTTGGGGTGGCGTGTGGTAGAAGTCGCTGAACTGGCAATCCAGTATGGCACTGTCATCCACTGGAAACACACAGGAGAAAAGGTCATGAAGACAGAGGACTAAGGTGACTCTCTTCTGTCATCCAGGCTGAAACTTAAGCAGCTCCGCTAAAGACAACACCCAGAAGCCACTGGCTAAAAGTTAATCATAGAGAAGAACTGGGTGCAGCAAATGGCAAGGAAACTGCACCTTCCCATTAGACCCAGGACCTGTCAGAAATAATATTACTGTTACAGAAGCACTGTTAATTGGAGACCACGCTTCATCTTACAGTGATACTAGCTTAAATTGTGATTACAGTTCTAAACATGCTGAAGTGACGAACAAACACCGAAAGTAACAACTCTTACAAATGACAATGTTCCCCCCCCTACAGCCATTATCTCAGAATGCGCTGGGTCCAGTCAGTACTGGGATGGGAGACTTTTAAGGAAAATAGCATGGCTGCAGGCCAGTAGGGGGCACTCTTCCCCATTGTGAATCCAATGCTTGGAAGCCAGGGCACTGTGGTGTATCAGGCGCCGGCCTTAGGAGGAGATGTTACACTCAGGTCCTGATTACTCTGCCATTCCTGTGTGAGAGTAGGAGTGTTTCCCTAGTGTCCTGGCTGGGCCCACCTACCATCATCCCTCCATTTCCTAACTGCTTCTTAAAATTCTGGGTCGGAGTCGGAGTCTGCTCCAGCAAGTTACAGGGAGCAAGGCGGCATCCACCCTGGACAGGACGTTAACCAGGCCATAGGAGGGCAAACAGATACAAAGACAGACACACTCACATCTAGGGCCAATTTTCCCAGAAGCCAAGCAAGGATAAAATAATCCATAACAAATGGCAGTATGAACTTAGTTCATAAACTACAGTTCTGAAGTTCTCCATTAGCCAAAGATTTCTTTACTATAGTGCGTACACATTATTTCCAAGCTAATTATTTCAGCAGACAACTTGTGTTGGCCTATATCTCCCCAGTTAATGCAAAGCTCAATTGATTATGCACAGCTCCTTTCTGTAATGTAATGAGTGAGTACCTGTTTGTCAAGGGTGGGTTTGATACTGTCAGGTCTCTAGTGTAATCAACAGTCAATGCAGGTAAACAAAGAACACACCAAAAGCAGAAATACCTTACACTGTTTAAAACATTACCTTGTGTTCTGTGGTAGTCACAACTCACAAAAGTCACAAACGAATTTGCCTGGAGCCCGGTGGACTTGTTCGTGAAGGGGAAATGCCTAAGCTTGGGTTTGACCAAATCTTAACCACTAATCCAAGGGGACAGGGCATCAAACAGTCTGAGGAATCCAAATTATGGCCCTGTTGTAGCATACTTTAAAAATAATTCTTGCCTTAACAAATCTGTTTCTTAAGGGCTTTCTGCAGATGATAGAACCCATACAAAATCAAAGAGTTGAAGACTTTTAAAGTCAGCGTGCTGGTGCTAATAACGTTCTCTCTTTTAAAAACCAATTACAATTGCTAATTATTTTTGTTATATACCCTTGTACACTAGAATAGTTCACGGTGATTTCATGTCTCGTCTGTGATAGTGAGGAATCCTGCAACCACACATAGGGCAGAGAGAGGAAACAGACTGACTCCTCCAGATTGTCCACCTTTGACCTATTTGTCATCCACTATGTCGGTGCAGTCACGCGGACTGGAGAACAGCACCGCAAGTCTTCAGGCTTCTGGGAAGTTGCAAGTGTCTAACTAGGAGCTGAGAGAGCCCTGTCTGACTAATCCCAACCTTATCTTCGATGATGATAGATTACCAGCCCTATCCAGCTTTAACTAGAATCCTAACCATAAACCTAAGTCCAACACACTGAAGAGACACACTGAACCCAACCCTAACTCCATATCTGAAATAACTGTAATTCTCACAGTAACTCTAGGCCTATGTCTGCCTGTAGTCATAAACCTACATCTAACTGTAAACCTGAACGTAGACCTAAATCTAACTCCAAAATTAACCCAGACTAAAACCTTAACTATTATTTTAATCCTATCTCTAGTCCTTACTTGGACCACTCCTCAACCACATAACTCCAAGTGTAACCCAAACTCTAACCATAACACTGAATGGTTAACCTGACTTACAGTTCCACAGATGTACATGGGATCCGTAATCTCACACTTACAGGTGTAACTGAGCCTGGCTGGTTGGTGACAACCAATTTAAGTAAACGTAAACCAAACATCTTTACTTCTATGATACTAATAGTTTTGCAATCAACAATTTGAAGATTACTGTAGTGTTACAACAGTATGACAGCCCAAGTCTTCTTAAAACTACAACCTTACCATATACAACTGGAAACACTGTCCCACGGATCCCTGATGCTGGACAATGCATGTTCTTTCCATTCAAATATAAGTTTAGTTCAACGTGGTCATACGTGACACCCTAAATAAAGGGGAAAAAAAAACAATTATCAGTTAAGAGGCAAACTGCAACCCTTTGGAGAATACAGAGCTTTACAACGCGTACCCCACTAAGTGTTTACAGTTTCGCCTGTGAAATATACCTCGCTTTTCAAAAAAAAATAAGGTATTGACACAGTACAGAGTTTGTTCCTGTAATATACAGAATATGGTGCTTTGATCAGGGTTCTCAGGAGGTGAAACCTCATGCTCTTCTGTTAACAAGCTGGGTTTCGCCGAGACGTCGCAGGCCCGAGAGCCGGTAACTCACAACGATGTCTCCCTCCTGCGGGATGCTGTTGGCAGGCAGCCGGTTCTTCTCCTCGTTGTTGTGGTACACCGACCCGTCGTGCCTCAGGACCAGGCTGTGCACGTCGCGCCCCAGAGGAATCTGGTTCAGGTTGGCCTTCTGCGTGGCCACCCCGATCCCCCACACCCCTGCAGGAACAGCCACGGGCACACGGTTTCACCAGAGCTCAGCGTGTCTCACCGCCCCAGAGCAAGGCGCTCGGAGAGGAGCCATTCCCAGCCACGGCCTCGGCCGCATCAGACAGTCGCAGAACAGGGGAGTAACGATGCTGTTTTAAGACCATGCCGGATCTGCAGATTACATTTTTCTACAGCTCCCCCCCCCGACTCAGGCTGTAGGATGGGAGCACAATTCATCCCAAAAGACAACACCTCCAAAGAGAGCCAAGGAAGAAAACTTCCAAAAAGTCAAGGTCATCATAGCCAGGAATGCACACTTTCTTCCCCCATGACTTTAAGGCCCGATGTCTCCAGAGTGCTTTAGACATTTCAGCGTTGTTGCAATGATACATCTCTTACATCCTGTGACGGCAAAGAATGGGTTTTGCCTGCATGCCTGTTCGTGCACAAGGTGTGAGCTAAGACATATGACGGTCACAGAATAATGAGATCTACTGTCTCATACTCACCTCCCCCCTCATAAACATTATTATTATTATTATTATTGTTACCTGGAGTGCTCACCGGGAGTCAGGAGTGGTACTTCCTTACCTGTGGAGAAACAGGACCCCCCCTCGCCTGGAGTGCTCACCGGGAGTCAGGGGCAGTACTTCCTTACCTGTGGACTGGATTTTGAACTCAAAGTAGCTCTTGTTCTGATGCAGGGGGGCATTGGCTAGACACGCCCCTGTGCCACATATTCTTCTGCCACTTTTCACGATCACGACATCCGTGCCTGGGGGGAAAAAAAAGGGGGGGGGGGGTTAATTTGCCTTTTTTCCCCCCATTTCAAGAACATAAGACATCCTGAATATGAGAGCAGGCCCATTCAGTCCGTCCAGCCTGTTTGATAGGTAGTCTGATCCCGCCATTTCTTTTAGGAAGACTTCAGCCACATGGCTGGGTAACGTGTTCCAGACTCCCACCACCCTTTGTGTACCGAAGTGCTCTCTGTTCTAAATCATTTTATGTGAAACAGTCCCTTGTTAACAGTAATCCTAGACGTACACTTTCCTGGCTTCACTTTCTCCCAGGAAACCCCTCTGGCTCTCCCTCTCCATGGTCGTTAAAAATCCCAGGGCATTTTTTGAAAAGGGTAGGGGTGTTACCCCGGTGTCACAGACAAATTTCCCAATGGTCTTTGCCAATCGTGGTCTCCTAATAATCCCCATCTATAAACTGGCTTCATCACTCCTGATGTGTAGCAAGTTTACTGGCACATTATGGCTGCCATTGCATCATCCAGGTGGGGCTGCACACTGGTGGTGGTGGAGGAGAGTCCCCATTACCTGTAAAGTGCTTTGAGTGGAGTGTCCAGAAAAGCTTTATATATGTGTAAGGAATTATTATTATACAGATCAATACAAAAGGAGGAGAGTGCAGGTTTCAAATCCGTCCTGTAGCCTGGCCTGTTACTGGGCACTGAACTGTAACACTCCTTCCCAGTAATGCTGTAGTGGCAGGTGTGGGTTTTCCTAATCCAGGTTCTAATCCAGAAATGGGACACAAACCCTCAGATTATGACTGCTCAAGCTGCCTACATGCAAGTAGTACATTTCTTCTTCTTTTCATAGGTGAAGTTAGGTGCACAGAACTGGACGATCTTCTCAAACCCTTGAACAAGTTACCTGAGCAAATATTCCATAGACAGTCCGAGGCCATAAAAAACTATCGTATTCTTCCAATCATTTCAAAACATTGGCCATTAATGTTTTTGCGCTTGGAGAGCATATTTATCTCGTCCTATTCATAGTCAAATTGGATCAATTTCTATATTATCGCTACTGAATAAGACGAGAATTACAAAAAGTGCGCAAAGCTAATGGTGCTGTCAGGGACAGGTTTTTGTATTGATTAACATTAAATTACTATTAATATTGAACAAGTCCAGGCCAGGTTATTTTCTCTCGCCTTGGTCAATGTGCAAAACCGTTCATTACTGATCTATTGACTTTTAAAATCAGAGCGAACGCCCACGCCTGGTTTCAGACAGTCGCACTGTACATTCGTGTGATGTTTCCAGTTGTTTATTGACAATATGGTACTGACGCTCATGTGTAGAGCTACTACCGCCGGTAGAGGCAGCCGGTCGAGACAGACTGCAACACTATCGCCATATTCTTATACAACTAATACCTGCACTCAATACACTTGAATGTTATTATTTCTACATAGTAGATCTTAAAGTTAAGTACTGAGTTACAGACACATCATAACAGGCGTGGATGGCCAAGGCGTATGTATCACACCGCATCTCCTATTTCATCGTCAAAACTACACGCCCTCCACCGTTTCCCTCACCGGACCAAGCGTTTCGAAAAATACAACAATTTGACACAGTTTTAAGACGTCGACTAGCATCAGTCGTCCCCCTCCTAGCGATCACAAAAAAAAAACCTGAACCCTACCTGTTCCGACTTGGGTTTTCATCCTTCACAATTACCGATAGCTCTATAAAAGTCATCCAAAATACAAGTCTAAGTGACAGACACGTAACTTCCATACCCATGCGCTGTGTGTCTAGCTGGACGGCGGGCATCTCTTTCAGCGGAATATGGCCCGATCCCCCGTCTCCACAGCATCTCAAACAGCAGCAGAAAATCGCAGCCATGATCCCACAAACGACACTAGTTTCTGTCTCTCCGGAACTGAAAGGAACCTGACACGCCAAAGAGTTCAGCGTGAGAGCGCCTGAGAAAGACAAGGTGAGTTTACTGTAAGGGAAGTGCACGCCAACATTGATAGCGCCCCCTGGTGAGCGGTTACTGCCCTCCTGAATTGGCATTGAATCACAGAACGAGAGGTTTCTACAATATAAAAATCTATATGCGAAATACGTGCCTGGAAATACGTTTTTATTGTTTAAATTGGTGTTTCACTTGAAATGGATTTTGACAAAAAAGAGTAGAAAAAAGCAGCGCTACAACACCAAGTACAACTCGTTAAAAGGAGGCTATTTTGTTGACTTGTTATGGAGGGCAGCTGGTGACTATTACTCTTGGGACTGTTTCTGGGCTGGAGTGCTCCTGTTTTGAGTTTGCATGCTTTTCTCAGCGGCTCAAGGGTACCAAATCAAACCAAAGAAGATACCAAAAACGACAGGAATGCAGAAGCCTCAAGTGAATTTCAAAAAGACTAAGAAAATTCAAGACTGGGCAAGCACCTAGCAGCTGATATTAAATGTAGGCAAGTGCAGGTAGTCAAAGCATCAACTAAACCTCCAGAATAGGAAACATTGAGCTAGAAGAAGCTACTAATGAAGAGGACGTAGGTGTTGTGTGAACACGAACACAATGTGAGGAAGCAAAAGAAAAGACAAACTTCAAAGTGAGGAATTTCAAGGGGTGTCACATAATGTCCTGTCAGAACACGCCTGGGTTACACACAAGTTGTACTGTGTGCAGCACCAGTTGTCCTGTGCAGCCAGTTAAGCCCCATGATGCTCTTTGGGCTCCAAGTACCTGACATGGGGGCGCAGGCCTGTAGTCCAGGTATTCATGGCTCAAACAGCATTGAGCACTTAGGCAGCCTGGTGCTCCAGCTGGACCGCATGTACTGGGGACCTGCGGTTTGTAAAGCAGGATCAGGACTCATGGGGAAGATCACGCGCAGTAATTTGTGTGCAGCATCTTCCAGGCTATCGGCCAGAAGAACAGCTCCATTGTAGAACTGATGTGTCATAACTTTTTCAACGCCTGACTAAGGGGTGGCTCTGTGGCTCAGGATCTGCACCTGTGCCTGGAAGGTTGCCGGTTCGCATCCTGTGACCAGCAGAGGAATCCTACTCCGTTGGGCCCCTGAGCAAGGCCCTGAACCCCAACTGCTCCAGGGGAGCTGTAGACATGGCTGACCCTGCACTCTGACCCCAAGCTTCTCTCCCTGTCTGTGTGTCTCATGGAGAGCAAGTTGGGGTATGCAAGGAGACAAATTCCTAATTCGTGAAATTGTATATGGCCAATAAAGTGATTTTATCTTATAAAGCACCAACCATTAACCTAACAGAGCAAAAGCCCATTCTCTTCTCAAACACCCCAATAAACCACCCTCTCGAGACCCCTCACACAGACTCTACTCCAGGAATGGACTGCAGTCCTACAGGCCAGGAGTGAGGATCTCGTCTGTAATAGCTGAGTCAGTGCTACCTTGCATTAAAAAAGGGTAGCAAAAAAAAAAAGTTAACCACATCCAGAGATTGTAAAACAAAAGCACATGCCAAATCGTTCCTACTTATTCTGCAACTATACAAAACAGTGGCATTCTCTGGATGCAGTTAATATTTTCTGCTACCACTTTTTGTATTTTCACATGCCCATGTGTTCAACAACACAATATGGCCCAATTTATATAGGAGCTTTCGTATCGGGTATCTCAAACTGCTTCACACTAACCGCTAGAATATATAGAGAGTAAATATAACCGTAACGTGGTTAATGACCCATTACAGAAAATAGAAAATACACCTCACAGGAGTTATTCTTCGAGACGTTTATTTAATGAACCCTAAAACATCGATGAAAAGTGAATACGGTAGCGTTCCTTGGACGTCAAATCTAACTCTAACCCAGCTAGGCGAAAAGACGCTTTGCGCGTTTATTTGCACCGCTTTTTCAAACATGAAAAGGATTTTTGGGAACGTTGTTTCTCTCTGTGCACTGAGGAACGTATTCCCGGACACCTTAAAAGAAACTGTAACAAGTACAGACACAATTTTGCTATATTAAGTGCCTCCCAGCTAGAGCAACGTGAAATGTTTGCTCCGTTGAGCATCGGTGTTCTGGTAGTTATTGCATTATTTCAACCGAACTAAATAAAATGTCAAAAATGGTCTCACCCCAGAGACACAGGCTGCAACAAGTTTTAAAACGAATTCTTTCTAATAACGACAGTGCGTAAAAACTAGGTAAGTTAGACTGCCTTCTCTGCATTTCAACCTCCTATCTAAACGGCGCGAATCAACAACCGCCGATGAAAGTAAAACGCACGAATTCGTGTCTGCAATCTGCGGATGGAGCGGAGGGGGAACATCTTTTCTTACGTCTCCGTGATGTTTTGCATAGCAACAACCGCCCCCCTCCTCCCAGCGCCCCCTGCCCGGTACAGTAGGGCTATTCTCTGTTTTTGTGACCCGCCGTGAAAACGAATAACGGAAAAGGTTCGCAATCCCAGATTTCTTGATGCAACATGGATTGACGCGACGGCAACGCGATGCCCGTGCTTATTTCGTTGCGTAAAACCCTCAAGAAAGCTCGAGGTTAGAGGACTGTCCGTCGGATTGTATTGCTGCACAGGACAGAACAGGTTAATTTCCCTTCCCTCGGAGAGGGCGAAGTCTGCACAGCAACAAGCGCCATGATTGCGTTGCGAGCAGCTGGTGAGTGCTTTTTTTTTCTCCTCCTACTAATGCATGTTTTTTTATACGTGCACAATCAGTCATCATCATCCCCAGTACCTTCAGAGTAGTCCCTACCGCTGCACAATCAGATTAATAATTGCGAAGCATTTCTGGTGAGTGTTTTGAAGTATGCCTGGGTTTTCATCAAAACGTGGACTCCACGGAGAAATGCTTCCGCGTGATCTCAGGACGGTGCACTTGGTTGTGTGATAACGTTCAAGTGGGAAAAGCGGATTCAATTTAAGAAGTGTTTCTGCATGTATGTGCATGTCGAGTTAATACTCGGTTACGCTATTAACAGACAAAATATTCAACGCCCCCAATCCCTTAAAGGTTACCAGTAAATAGTGTATGCCTAAGGAATATATATATATTAAAAATGTGTTCATATAGATTTGTTCCTGGGATTTTGGAGACTTAACGGAAATGCCATCTAATACAAGATCAAGTACAGTACTGCAGATTTACTGTACTCTGTAGCGACCACACGGATAGGAGGCCGAGCTACAAGAGGAGAATTTATTTTCGGGAGGGAAAACGGGTTCAAAAGTTTATGACGCGCAATGAATAGAGGGGTGATGGGTTACCTATTAGCTTAGTGGCTACTGTTGGATTTGAAGACGTTTCGGTTATGTCCGTTTCTAAACTCGCTCGGTGCGTGAAACGGAAGTCTTAGCTGTTTCAGGTCAGAGGAGGGATGAATTGGGATAGTCCAAAAAAAAAACCGAATGCGACTGTGCTGCTTTTTTTAAACACAACCCGTAAGCGACCGTTGTGTTTGAGACCTGTTTGTCGTGCGAAGTGACGATTTCTCCACCCTTTCCTGATTGCAGAGCACCATGGAGCTCCTCGAGGAAGACCTCACCTGCCCGATATGCTGTTGTCTTTTTGAAGACCCCCGAGTCCTGCCCTGCTCGCACAATTTCTGCAAGAAATGCCTAGAAAGCATCCTGGAGGGCAGCCGGAGCCCCTCGTGGAGACCGCCCTTCAGGTGCCCCACCTGTCGCAAAGAAACATACCACAGCGGCATCAACAGCCTGCAGACGAACTACTCGTTAAGGGGCATCGTGGAGAAGTACCACAAAATCAAACTGACTCCGAAAATGTACCTGTGCAAGACCCACGGTGACCAGCCCCTGAACATTTTCTGCTCTACCGACCTCAGATTAATCTGCGGGTTTTGCGCCACGATGGGCGAGCACAAGGGACACAAGTTCTGCGCTCTGAGGGACGCGTACCTCAGGGAGAAGGCGGCGTTCGAGGCGCTGTTCCGGGTCTTGGAGGACTGGCGCAGCGCCGACGTGCTGTCCTGCTTGGAGTGCCTGGAGACGAGCAAGAAGAAAGCCTTGCACCTCGTGTCCAGCGACGCCGAAAAGGCGACGCACTACTTCGACAAACTGATGCGCACGCTGGAGCAGAAGAAGAACGAAATCCTGTCCGATTTCGAGACCCTGAAGCTCGCGGTCATGCAGACCTACGACCCCGAAATCAATAAGCTGTGCACGGTGCTGGAGGAGCAGAAGAGAGCCCTCAGCATCGCGGAGTCTTTCAGGGACCAGTCCGACCCGCTCTTCTTTCTGCAGCAGATGCAGGAGTTAAGGGAAAAACTCGGCATCATTCGAGACACCACCTTGCCTTCCCGGGCTGACATGGATGTCAGCCCCTTGATGAGAAGCTTCGACATTCGGCAGTGGGACAGTGTGAAACTAAAAGACATAGATAAGCTTTGTGCTCCCCACGAAACCAGTTCACCCTCCTGTACAAAACCGAGGTATTACAAGGGGTTCTTGGCGGGCGCTGCTTCGCTGTTTTTTTCCGTGTTGTTGGCGCTGCACTTTCTGGGTTCCGCCAATGTAGCATTTATTGCGACCCACGCTTTGACAACCGCCTATTCCTACTTACCTGTCGCTGCTGAACACGCAGTGCTGTTCCGGGATGAGGTGGCCAGCTTGTGCTTGCTTCTGTTCGAGTTGTGTCAGAAGTCCTTTTGGATGCTGCTTAACCTTACAGGAGAATTCATTTGCACTTACAAGTTACTTTAAGATAAAGGCTTTCCGGAGTGTGTCGTACTGTACGTCGTTTGTGACATTTCACATGCCTGCAAGATGAGACCTCATTTTACTATTAAAAATACAGCAAAAACCTCATGGACTACACACGTTCCCTCGAATCAGGATTGATATTTGGTAGAGTTCTATACTTATTTGATAGTTAATGCACTCTTGACTAAAGGCTTTTGCGGTGTTTACGCTTAATAGGGAAAACACTCCATTCCAAAAGAAGCAGTTTTTGTTTCTCCTGTATAAACCTGGTTGTCTCTGGTAGTATCAATTGGATTTTAGAATACCTAACGTTACGTTTCGTTAAATATTACAGTATGTTTATCGAAAGTCAACATAACGTACAGTGTGGAGGTTACAAATAAATACTGGTGAAACGCTAAAAATGAATGTGTTTTTTTTAGGCTGGGAGTGACCACACTTGTGTCATTAACGGGCAGACATTCATTTTGTTTTTACGTTTCAAGTAATTGCCGTTTTAATACGAAAAGAAATGCGTGCCAGCACTACAATTAAAGTTATTACGGGGAAAATGTTGTGAACGTTTGGCGTTCGCACTGTATAGGATCGATCCCGTATTAAACTGTCGAAACCCGCCGAAGCCAGTGGATTTTCGAAGGGATACTTGTTGAACCCGGTTTTGTTTTCAATTCAGAGCGTTTCCCGGGTTCTGTCTGCACCAGCAGAGATGTCCTACTTTTCGTGTAACATCAGCTGTTTGCGTTAGCTGTTAAGTAACTGGCACACTTCCGTATGCAGAACAGGAGATACTTGATTACACATAAAGAAGGGGGCATAAGACGGGCATAAGTTAATTTTTAAAAAGAAATCTAAAATGCTTTTATCGGCAGTACAAATACAGCGCATGCATTCATATGTTTGATATGGACCTCATATTCATACGTATAAATTACATTTTCTAAAAACATTCGTACATCTGAAATCTTTTTAGTTTGTGTAAAACCTACAACTAAATGGATCCCGGAGGCTGTAATTCAGTGGAGTGTGTACTTTTGTGGCTAATCAATTGCCACAAAGGATAAAATAGCCATTTGACTACCAAAGTTAAAAATGTACATAACTTACCTGAAATTAAAATCTAAGGAAATGGGTTTCATATATTAAAAAATGAATGCATATTAAGACTTCATAAAATGTGAATTTGCTCAATTCACTCCTGTTGTGTACATTAATCTGGAAGTCCAAATTCAGGATGTCCTGTGTTGTAAGCATTTGGGATTTTAAGGGGTTTTTTGCATTAGAAAAAATGGTGGCGCTGAGTAATTTGCAGAAGTTTTGGAAATGGTATGTCAGCATTTTTGCATTTTATTTTTTTTAGTTTTAAAGTCCGTATGAAAGCATATTTATTGAGCACTGGCTGTAATTTTGAAGACTCTTAAAACACTACAGATTAGGCCTTTAAAACGTTTTAAAATGAAGATCTAAACACATCTATTGTATTTGTTTTTTTTTTAAATTAATGTTGTAGGTCCCCGGAATTCAAATAAAAATAGTCATTCATTATCTTATTCCTGGTAAGGGCTCAGACACCCTAGAATGGAGCCAAGAAACACAAGGTGCTAGATGGAAATAATATACCCTGAAAAGGACACCAGTCCACTGAAAGGCACACACACACAGGTGATTCAGAAGTCCCAATAAAACACAGACCATGCAAACACCACATAGAACGTACCTCAGTCTGAAACCCAACACATTATACAAAAGATGTAAGGCAGCAATGCTAAAACTTAATATTTATATGAGTGAGATTTTGAGTTTCAAATGAAAAGAGCTCAATTGCATTTCTGTACGTTTTATGTTTTCTGTACTGCAAACCTCGTCAGTAGACCCAGTGAATTACCTAGAAAATAACTACAGAATGCTGCATCATTGTTATTTTATCAAATCCCTTGGGCCCAACATTCAAGAACTCTTCCTTGAATGTTGGTAAATGCTTTAAAAACATGCACAGACACATTAAGTTTAATTGAACTGAGATGCCTCTCTATCTCTCTTATCACTTTTTCTTTCCTGAAAAACAATAGAGAAATTTACATGCAGTTATATTTTTTGTCACGAGAAAATAAATCTATGATTCAAGCACAGTTTCAGAAAGCCAGCTGTGATAAGTTTAAACATGCTGTATTTCAATGCTATTTTTTATTCCCAACAGAACTATGGTGATTTTGTGACTACGGCTGACCTACAAGCAGTTATGCAGTGCCATAACTGCTACAACCTAAATTACACGTCAGGAAAAAGTGTGCTGTTACTATTGTTCAATTGTATTCTTTCTGTATAATTAAGAGTAGTGCATTCAATGAAAAATAATCAAATGAAAAATCGAGATTGTCATAAACTATGTGACTTTAAGATATTTTTAGCATAAATAAACTGGCATGCAGTTATAGTTCTCTGTGTTTTAAGAATGTTTATCTGCTGTGTAAAACTAGTTTTGGTTCTGCAGCATATTGTTCAATGGAGCGTCAGTAGACCCAGTGAATTACCTAGAAAATAACTACAGAATGCTGCATCATTGTTATTTTATCAAATCCCTTGGGCCTGTAATTTTGTACTGTTCATCACATGGCTTCCATTGTGGTGTGCTGGAACTTCATCTATACAGAGCTAGACACCAAGTCATACAGATTACAAGCACTTTTCACATTCTGAAGGTAGGAAGGCATTCCAACATCTAGGATGCAGGTTAAGGATCTGCTTACGTTTGAGCGGCTACATAACTGCCCTAGAATATTGTTGTGTCCTGGTATAGATATGGCATCTTTGAATATCTGACCACAGGATGCATAATATAGAAAATACTAACCCTTACTCCCTAAATAGGGCTGAAGATTTCAAAAAGATGTTTACATGCAGCATCTTGAAACATTTGCTAACATGATACTAATGATATTGTCTGATCTTATATTCCAACCAATCATAAGAAGAGCTGACCACCAAGAGGATGGGCCTGTCTGGTAATTAGACACTTATTGCATCACATCCAGCCGTTCCTTGAAGGAGGTATCACTTTAAACCTCATGGCTAGGCAGTTCGTTCCATACTCCCTCCACCCTTTGTGTAAAGACCTAACTCCTGTTCTGTGCTTTACATGGACTTCTACATAGCTTCCACTTGTCTCTTCTGGATCAAGTTTCATTTTTCATTTTAAAGACTTTGTCAGTGTTTGGGTTTATAATCTATTAAACATGGGACAATGTAATGTCAAAGAAGTTTTTTTTTTAAATGATGAAACGAGAGCCTTGTTCCGATTTATTGAAAGCCTAGGTCTTAAGTGCAGAAAAACTAAAAGTGTCAATATAAATCTTAAACCTGCACAACCAGTCTGATCTTAAAACCACAAATGTTCCAGGGATCATTGCAAAACATTTTGTACTTTTGCTTTGTTAATCAAAATCATCACAAAAGCCACAGTTAAGATACTGTACTTCTGTTAAATAAGAAGTGACATCACACTTAGGAATAATTTAATAAAAGTAGCTTTATTATAAAAAGGAAACCATACATATTATACAATGACTACAATAATCATGTCCCTTATTACATGAATGGTCTATTTTTTGGACTCAGAAGCCTGACACACATAACAGTTGTTCTTCTCTGCAAAATGTATATTTTGGGGGGTTTGCTTTCTATTAATCTGTACATTAATCTTTTTGCTTCTCTTGATCTTCTATAATCTGTACATATTACTGATACATGTACATCCTGCACAGAGCGTATAATTGAAAAACATTTAACAAGTACTTTTCAACCATGCAAGCCTTGAACCTGAGCCAAAATTATCATGTGATGTACGTGGATCACCTTTTAAAAAAGGTCTTAAACAGCAGAATAGTCCACACATCTCTCATAAAAACTTATATGCATACAGAATTGTTGGAGGTTTCGTGTGGGTATTTTGCACTTTGTTCGTTTCTGTTAAAGCATTCCTTTCATCTAGCAGTTCAGAGCGCTGTTGAGCGTGGGTCAGTCTCTCATCTAGTAAACGATTTTTTTTTTCTGTTAACTATGTTGGCAAAGGCCCTTTCCAAAACCCTGATGATGGCATTCCTCAGCAATATTTGTGCAGATAGTATGATTTATATATTCCCTGTAATCAGCCCATAACTTCTAAACTGCTTACAAGCTTTGTCCTGCATCTGATGGCAATATCTAAATTGTTTTGCTCTTCCATTAAGCTGGTATCTTCTACCCACAACTCAGCTCTTCTGCTGCATTGAGGAAATTGCCTGGTTTGGGATGTGGCCTGTTTCTCATGTATTATCTGCTGCTGCTTTTCATCAGTGCAAAACAAACATGCTATTGTCACACTTTAGTTGTCCCAAAGAATTATGGATTTTAATAATTGATCACATTTTAAATATATAGCAACATAAATAGTATTTTACCAGTAGTCAAGCTACTTTTTACATTTAGCATTTGTTCTGTTAGGTAAGCACTATATTAATTATATATTTAAAGGCATAAAATCGAAATGTAACAGCTATCAAAAACTGATGTGGTAAAACAGATGTACAATGAAAAGCTCCATAGCAACAAAACGCAACTTCTATTTTGTTTGCTGTTGGTGTTGCCAGGATATATTAAACAGGTTCAGCACTCCCTTAGCATTTGGTGGGACTTCCAAACGACGGGGCTTCTTTACTCCGAAACGAAAATAAAATGAGCAACCAAGATATTATCACCTTAAACATCGGAGGGCAGAAATGTACAACCTTTGTGTCCACTCTCAGAAAACACCCCGACACTAGGTTGGCACGCATGTTGGACGGAGGGGACCCAGAGTTCAGAGTAATTAACGGGCAGGTCTTTGTGGACAGAGATGGGAGTTTGTTCAAATACATACTGGACTATATGAGAACTCATCACATCTCTCTGCCACCGGACTTCGTTGACTATGAAGGTTTGATCAGAGAAGCCGAGTTCTATGAAGTCCGAGACCTGGCGGAGATCCTCAGCAAAGACGGCGGCCGTCAGAGGATGGAGATTCTAGAAGTTCGGTTTTCTGTGCAGGAGACGCACAGCTTCTTCAGAATTTTCTGTTCTCACTGCAGCACCGTAGAAATGCTGGCTTCGAGGATATCTGTGTTTGCTGAGCAACCCACCCTGACCTGGAATTACGCTTATCAGCCCCAAAAGCCAATGGTGTTGGTGCCGCTACAAAGGCCTTCCCACCACGATCTGGTGTTTCACTGTGGAACAAGCTTCTCCGCCAGCGAGGAGTTCGCGGCAAGGTAATGAATAATACACAAACCACTATGGATGACACAACGGCATGATGCAAACCTCAGAAATAACTTCACATCGAGCTCTAACCACACAGAAATACATAAAGCAAAATCGCTGTAGTACATGTTACTGTATGTAGCAGTCTGACGAGAGCTGTGAAATACTGTAAACGCTCCTTCGCGTCTTCATTTTAAAAGTAAAAACTCATAGTGAAGCTAGATGACTCAACATTCTTCTTCGTAACAATAGCAAATCTATTAAAGATGGATAAAACCCCTGTCGACGGTTATTTTACATTTAATTGTTACATATTTAAACGTCACTTAACACTGCACACAGCACACATACCACTATTAATGCGACGTTCTCTTTCAGGTACGTTACTATTAAGCCCGACGAAAGGAAGCTGATAAACGGCACCAATATTCTGGGTTTACTTGTGGACCTGCTGCTCAAGGAGGGATTCCGGCTCATAAGCACAAGGACAGTGTCCACTGAAGAAAAAATCGAGTGTTTCACTCTCGAAAGACGCACAACGCCACAGATATTGACTGTACGCGACGGCTATCCTGCAGAACAGATTTCTCACCAAAGCAAGCATGGCAAGCTCCTCCGGAAGAAATGAAGCCGAAAATAACGAAAGAATGTAAAGGCCTGGTTTGTCCTTTGAAATTGAATGTCATACTGTGCATATAAAAAGAGTACATCAGTAAAATAAGGGAAAAAATGAAAATGTAATCGCCCAGAAAAAAAACCGCTTTTAATACATTAAGAAGTTACACACCAATTTCCTCAGAAAGCGGCAGTCCTGTAAAAATAAGATTGGAAAACTTTGGAAGTTACCCTGAAGGTGGCGATGCTGCGTTGTCTACGTCCTCCAGTTACTTTAATTTTGCTTAATTCAAAGTAAATAAGTGGATGAAACATTCTAGAAGCTTACAGTTGTACATTTCGCGATCCCCGCAACATTTATTGAAGTCTTTGTAGATTTTGTGAATTGGGTTTAGTAAAGATTTTAACACCGATTCCAAGGCGAAAATACCTCACGACGGATATTAAAGATGCCCAAATGCATTTGGTCCAATCCCTTTCAAAAGCGTGAAATTCCAAAATGGATTAAATGTTTTGGATAATTGCATCCGAATTTTCCTGACGACAAAAGGGCACCTTAAAACGCTATTGAAACCGCTCTTCCCTTCAAAAAAGCTGCACAGAAACTAGTCTAGTATATATTGCATACATGCTACTCACCATGAGCAGCAGCTGACGTAATTACACTGTAAGAACAGTTAGTTGTATTTCCGTTTCTATTACAATCAATTTAATTAGCTTTGCTTTTAAAATAGCTTAGAAAATTATACTGAAAATCAGAACACTAAAACGTCTCCATTTCACATAAGGTGCTCCCCTCAGTGCACAACAAGATAATTTAATAATCCCCGTCAATTAAGTTCCTGTTAGAATCTGGCTTCCCCCGAGAGAATACATTTTACTGAATGGTACATAGTAGTGTTCTAACCCGTCTTCTCTCACTCTAATAAACTCACAACTCCGAAGTCATCTTTTCACTTGTTTGCGAGGTTATTTAGCGCATATAATGTACAACTTCATACGCGCGCACACATCTAAATACGTGAGCGGGTTCAGCAAATTTAAATATTATGTGTCTGTTTTATCCTCCTGCACCTAGTTCCATGACACCAGGCAGATTGCAAGCCGCATGAAATAAGGTGAATATATTTAAACCCTACAAAATGCCCCCATATTCAGAAAATATCAACCCATTATCCTGGCTAGGCTAAACCAACAGTTTGGATTTCAAGATCGTTTGCAGTGTATCTGCAAAACTGAACAAAGCAGATTTAATAAATAGTGGGTACTGTAATATCTCAGTAGTTTTGACTTTTATACCATAAAATAGCCTTTATTTCTTGCAATGCTACATCTCCCAGATATCTATTGAAAGTTCATAGTTCACAATTTGAAGAATACCACTCAAGAATTCTAATATCCCTGCTGTATGAAGGTCTCCAACATCTGGACCAAATTAAATCATGAAAGCTGATGAACTGACAATTCAGAAGTAACAAGTGGCAAAAAAATCAAAAGTATACCGTAAATAAAAATATTTTAGGATTTAACACAATATTAAATGTTTCTAAAGATTAGAAGAGCAGGAAAGTGTGCAAAAGGATTTAAAAATAGAAATTAGAGCTTAAATGACCCATGGAGAATCTAACTATTCAAACTGCCTAGTCAGCAAATCTTTCAACAAGGTACAGTCCAAGCCAGTTTAAAGTGCAAAAATTAGAAAGAAGGGAAGTTGTTTCAACTAGACAAATATTGGCCTGGATGAATTTTATCATTCATTGAGGAAGGAGATACAGTTTACACCTGGAGGTCTCCCACTCTGCTGTTAACTGTGTAGTTAAGTGGGATCCGGACACGCATTTTGGCTCTTTAGTATTAAAAGCTCATTTGAAAGCACAGAAAGTCATATTGGGCAAAAGCAAAAATGTTTTTCAACATCTATGAAGAATAAAAGGCACAAAATGAAATGTTTTCATGGGCACAGGTTATATACTGCACAAAGTTAAATCCTTGAAACTTCTTTGGGAGGAAATTTACAAAAATTAGATTTTTAAGAAGTTTTAGACAAGGCTTTTGGAAAATGTAGGTATTTAGCACCAATGTAATTTACCTACAATAAATGATTTTACACACTGCATCAGTGTGCAATGAAAAAACAAAGGTAGGTATTTGCAATTCAAGTACCTCAACCTGCAATGAATTCAAAATAAGTAAAAATCTCCTTACTGAACAAAACATGCAATATTCAAAATGGATTTATTTAGAATTCAAATATATACCCATATAAACAGTCCAAAGAATGATTATAGAGTTACATACTGGTGAACCCAACATGAATTCAAAAAGGGAAATAAAAATCATTTCAAATGACAAATTCTAGATTATCAAATCACTTGGGAAGGCAAAAAATAATTCCTGCAAGATCTTCTAAAGGTAAGTGTCGATCTAAAAATAACCGGTTGTATTGCTACCTCTGCAGGCCGAAACCTAGGCCTATATCCAGCTGAGTAACTTGCTACCAACCCATTAAAAGGGATAATTAGAAGCACGTGAGTTTAAAGTAAATCACAGCATTACTGATACAAAAAATTACAGGAAACTTATTTAAATCTATGAAGTTTAATGCTTACAAGTTCATTTCAAAGAGAAAATTACTAAACTTTCTAAACTATAAACAGACATCTGCACTAAAATAACACAGTATATAACATTTGAGGTATGATTTCGCATATTAAACAGTAAATTAAAATTTACATTTTTTCACATGGAGTACAAGACAGACATAAAAAAACATGGAACTCCATGATTTCAGGAAACCCCAACAATGACTACTGGAAATACACCTTGAATACATTTTTAGAAAGCTTCCTGAATATATTACCTTCCCAGGAAAATCCTGAACTTATGTGAATTACCTTATACATTATATTGCATTAGGTGACTGTTCTGACAACAAGAGGTAGTTTTATCATGCACATGTTCAATTTTGTTGGAGCAATTCTGAATTGAAAAAGCCAATGACTTAAACTAAGTGATAACAAGCCAAGTAAAATGTTAGAAAAGGCATGAAAAGGTGCACCAAGTTTTACTTACAGTTTCCATAACAATCTTAGGTTTTCCAGGTTATGAAAATAAAATCTCATCCACAACTGGCTTCTTCGTGATGACAAATGAACAATCTTACTTCAGCAGCACGATCAATACTGGAGAGATATGAAGTGGTTTAACTCCAATATTTACGTGCTGCTAAAGCATGGCTGCCATTATAAACGTTATGCTATTTTTCACCGAAGTCCGATTTCCAGCATTTCCAAAGCTGCTTTGCATAACCTTTGCATATTTCCAGTATGGCTGGAGCTCAGATCCTTGTGTTTTTGCAGCAGCACAGTATGGCTTGCATCTCCGTACAACCAACAAACCATTATGTGCTGCTACAACACAGCAAGGTTTTTAACAAGCCTTCAAGGGGGACGAGATATTGAGGTCTGTAAATGTAAACAGAAGAAAAAAAAATTAATACAAGGTGAATATTCTAAACCTTCACATACAACACAAGTTATAAAGTTACACACGCTTGCAAAACAGTAAGTTTGTAGATTGCAAACCTTTCAACACCTTAAAAACAATCCTTTCATTTAGTGCTATCCATGTATTATCAAAACAAGTTCTGAGAATCTAAATGTATTTTACTAATAACTATGTACATAAAAAAATCTAAGCCATGTACAGACAATGCAACCTTTAAACCAAAATAACACACACTTAACTTCAACAGTTAATATGCTTGTTCACAACACTTCATGTTTTGAAAGCTCACATGTAACACGATGCATTCTTAAGTATAATACTCTGAAGGTCAATCATGTGATTAGGTCAAATGTCTAGTGTAATTCCAGTAATGACTAACGTAGAATGACAGGGAAAAATTAAACTATTCTTATTGCAGAAATTTAATAACACTAATAACTGTATTGCCATTACATCTAAATAAAGAAAACACCCATCTCAGGTAGTAATTGTAATGAGACTAAAGAGAACAATGTAGGTAGGTTTTAAAATGCAATTATCCATTTAAAAACATCACACACACGAACTTACATTTAAATGTGTTAAATTAAGAAGATAAAGTATGCTTATTGTAAGACCTAACTAGCAAATTAGGAAACAGCTGCATCTTTTCAAGAATTGGAGTTTTTGCTTTTTTGTGGGCTGAGTAATGATTAATACTATCCTGCATGACAAACATTTCCCAGGTTGCTAAAGAAGCTTTTACACGATCACTGCTCAACCATCCTAAAATAGAAAAGGTTTGCTGAAAATAAAAGAAACAAAATGAATGTGGTAATTAAACTGGAATGATTAGGAATCCTAGTTAATACAAAATATTACAATCTAAACATAACCATTAACACTGAAAACTAAAAGGAAAGCTCTTATGTCCATTTTATGCAACTGATATTTTATAAACGACAAACAATTTGCATTATTCCTATATATTGTCAGGGTCACAAGCTTCTATGCTGAATTATCTGAAATTAGCAGATTAATTAGAACTATGGAGGAGTATCTAACAAAAAAGTAAGATAAAAACCTGTGAAGGAAGATATCCGCAATAGTCAAGTACAGGCTAAGAAAGAGGCCTACACTCTATGGCCACCCTCTAACTGTTGGCTGCCTAATGCCACTTATTCAAAAACATCTCCAATATTAACGGCCCCACGCCCCCACTAAAAAATCACAATCAGATGTGAAGCAAATGCTTCAGAAAAAAAAGTCATCACTTCCTCTAAAAACACATGCCATGTTTTGGCTGTTAATTTTAAAAGCAGCTATACATTTGTTTCTGTGCAGCATAAGTTTTCTAAACACCTAAATATTAAATAGTCAAAAGAAAATTCTGATCCACTGAGGAATGTTAAAATCAGAAAATTGGGAAATTATTTCTCTGCAAACTAACAGAACACAGGTAAGCCCACTTTTAACATTTAGCAAAGAAGCTTCGAGTCATTTTTTAAAAAAAGCAAATAATGCTTCTGCAAAACTTCAAAAATATAGTTTATACATTCAAACTATTTTATTTTCATTTCGTTGATTTTTTAAAAAGTTATAAAATAAATGTAATCAATCAAGGTTTCACCAATTAGAAACCAAAAGCCTTTACTGAAATGCATGTAAAAGTTTCTGAAGGATATATATGCACCTTTAAAAAATTAATAAATGAGTTTTGCTAAAATGTAACTTCTAAGAATTTAAACAAGTTAACCATGGTATGAATCAATTTATTCCAAATAATTCTACAAAAAAACAGATTTTTACATTTCTGTTTAGATACAAGAGATGGAGAATGTGAATAAATTTGATGAAATGTTAATCTCTGAATTTGGGCATTTATACATTAGGATAACCCATCCTCCACTATCCTCAACAAAAATCTTCCATTTAAAATGCAGAACATGGATTACTGCCAGGAACAATATCCTATTAAAGTCTATAAACTTCATCTTTTAAAACTCCAATAACATTACCTTTGTTGCTATGAATTAATGTTATATTAATCTAAATACCTAGATCAATTAACCAACAAAAGTAAAAAAAAAACCAGTACCATTAAACAGATTTTATCAAAAACCATCACATACAATTTTCACATTGGAAATTGTAAGAAAACATGGATTAAGCAAGTGCTGCCATTGAATGGGTTTCCTGAGCTGCATTAAAAAAGGATAGCATGCCTGCCTTTCTCCCTTTTGCCATTTTGTATTTCTTGCCTTTGACATTCATTGCATACATGACCTTGATCTCTGAACTTTAAAAGGTTCTTTATGGCATTGGTACTATGAACATGTCACAAAGTGTCTTCAGTAACTGTGGCAAATTAAGAAAATTGAGGAAGTGCTCATTTTCCATCACAAAATATCATTACCAAGGAATAATGATGCTATATTCCCAAATTAAAAACTACCCACTATTTCTAGCACTTTTTCAAATATTACTTATAAAAAAATCAAAATAACTTGATCCACTAATGAATTTCATAAAGAATGAGAACAAATCTGCAGTAGAACATACCTGCTAAAGCTGTATTCTACCATTAAACTACAGTTTAGTTTTACTCAAGTTTAGAAATTTTCTGTGAATTAAAATGATGACAAAATGTTAACTAAGCAAGATGGTAAATTTGGATTTTTTAATTTAGAAAATGAGGCAAATCTTCTCCTGGCATTTGTCCAGTAAGCAACATGAGATTTAAAAAATACCTAATTTGTTAATAGATTTACAATTGAGACTACAGAGAAGAGTACCAATGGCTTCAGGTGATTTGGCTCTTGTTGCTTCTCTCTGCATGGCTCAGCGACAATTAGGAGCAATCGGTTGAGAAGATTTTTGTGGTAGAAGCTCATGCTTCTCCAAGTGTGAGCCATTGAATCTTAATACAACTGAAGGGAGAATAATGAAAGCATTAGAAATGGAAATCACAAAAGAACTGGTAGACTTGATTTCATAGTGCAAAGAAACAAAAGTCGCACTAATTCATTAGAAAATACAAATCTTAACTGCTGTAAACAGAGGGTAAAAAACACTACCCTGTCTTTGGAAACCTTATCTAAACGCAACATAGATCCTTAAAATATAAAAGCAATTTTAAGCAGTCAAATACCTTCTGAAAAAAGTAAATCTTGGTATACCTTTGCTCAGAACAAACTACCAGTAGTTCTCATTCCTTAACAAGGAAATGAATTTTTGAAAATAACTGATGATTTTCTAAACACTGATGCTTAGCACATCAACAAATGAGAGAACCTTATTCGTGTCTTTCAAACACTTAGTTTGCCATGTCATTAATGCAAATATTTACAGTACTACATGTCCAGCATTTAAAGAAATATTCCAATTGTAAAATCTATTAACTCAGAATACGTATAATGTATAGAACAAGGGACAAAGGTCATTCTTATCGAGGTGCTTTAGGCTAATTTGAAGCACTGCAGAAAAAAAGCAAAGAAAATTAACATTAAGCAGTGGCTTTGCAGTCAGAGTATTTGAGTCAAACTCCACAGATTGATCAAGGCAATAATGGCTCATTGAGAGTTTCAGTCCAATAAAGAATACCTCATGCAAGGTTTTACAAAGGCCCATCGCATTTTCTCCGAGTATGTCGAACAGATTTGCTCACCTTGTTTTTCTCAGGTCAAAACAGCGTTTTCATGTTCTCTCCAGGATTTTCTGTAAAATAAAAAAAGCACACAAGCTAAGTGCTACGTAAAAGACATCTGATTCTTAACCTGAAATATGGAACATTAGAATCTCTTCCAAAGATTAAGATTATATTTCTCCTACACAGAACTGAAAAGTACAAGCCTCCATTTATTTAAAAAAACTAAAATGAATTTGAATGGCTCAATTGATAAAAATCTGTATTTTATGCCATTAACATACAAAAAACCTACAGATGTGACAGACACCCATCACATCTCATCAACAAAAAATAAAATACAGTACTTTAGTATTATTTTGATTAATCCCTATAGTGAAAAATGTCTGAATACTTGGATCTATATGACAGCATGTGAACCTGGTGGCAAGTTGTAATATACTTCAAGAAGTCCAATAGCTATTGCATTCAGCTCACATTTAATCCTAAGCATTTCAATTGTTTCACTGTGGCTTATCTGTTCATTACTGATCACATTAGCATTTCAGAAGTTAGCCTAATACATGCAAGACTTTCTGCTTCTTGGTTAAAACCCACTAGCTTCAAAAAATAAATGACTATTGTACTCTAGTGGCTCAAATACAGCGATCATACCTTTTTTTTCACAGAAAAACTGCCATACCATTTTTTAATTAATGCAATATATGGCTTCTAAAAATATGCTATTTACCGTAAGAAAAAAATAAGTCATGAATTTGTGGGTGTTAAGCCTACAAAAGTTTCACTACTGTAATAGCGCCTCTCACAATGCAATGAATCATGCACCCTCAAATCTTCAGCCAAGTCAAACATTCTCAAAATGAATTTCAAATTTAAATAAAAATATTACAACTAGGCATAATAAAATCAGTTCATAGGAGCACATCGATCTGGAAGGATGTGTAAATTTTCAGCTTTTACTTTAGATGCAACCACAGCAAAAGGTTCATGACTTAAAAAAATCACTCACACCCCCCCCAAACTTAAATATATATTTTTTAGATTTACCTACTGTGATTAAGATTCCCCAAGCATTAGCTGAATTCTTGTTTTTTTGGAAAAAGCTAGTCTACAACAGCAACCAAAAAAGTTATTTTGATTTCACACTGATAGAAAAGTCTGGAGGCTCTAAAAACACTATGTGAGAAATAAAATTTAACATTACACTACGAAAACCTTTAAAGCAAAGAGCTGCAGCACAGTTTTTAATGATTAGTTCTAACAAATGTTTACATTACACAATACATGAAGCTAATTCAGACTATTTACAAGTACATAATTAGGAAACACACCGAAGTGGAGTCAGTAAAATGAGTGTTGACTGCACGAGAAAGGATACTCAAGAATAAAAAAGGAGCTCATTTCCTGTAACTTCATCTGCAGATAAAAATCTATCCATTTTGACTGAAAGATTAATCCTCATGCATTGAACAACGAGAAACATTGTTTCTTAAATAACTTCATTTCTTTATGGAAGGAAATTACCTTTTATTTTTAAGTACTTATGAAAAAAAGTTGAAAATTAGATTAACTGAAACATCAGTGGTTATCAGTCAACTGTATTTAATGATTTTAGTTTCCAAACACTGGTAGGCTATTTTATCCATCAATTGTTAACACTGAAATTTCCTCCTTTGGATTTAATAAGCTAAAAAACAGAAATAAAATATTAACGTGAAGCTCAAATAATAATGTATTTTACTGCACACAAAAAGATAGTGCTATGTGTATATAAATGTCAGTTTTAAAACTTAAAATTACTCGTCATCTTTGATGCTTGATTTTAAAACTAAGTGTATTTCTCCAAAAAGGGAACCAGCACAACAGTTAGTACTCACACCTGTTTTCATTATGCATAGCATTTGTAAAAATCACAGTGAAAAGCATTTGTAGTACACTGCTAATCATTTTGATTTTCTGAAATGCAGTTATGGACTACAGTTGTTATCTGCCGAACTCATACTAGTAGTAATATTTACTGCAGATTAGTCATAGTTACGTGGGATGTCTTTCTTGAACCTAGTATTACTTATCTAGTTTCACTGTAAAGCAGAATATTAAATGATAGTAAAAATGAAAATTCAACTTTCTACAAATTTGGTATATTCTTAAAGAAATTAAGCACAAGAATTCTGGAAAACAAACCAAATGTTTGGGAACACCATTTACCACACTTTATTCTACTCCATGGAGTAAGAAGATCTATCATGACAATATAATTAAAAACACATTACAAAATAAGTGAAAACATTAAATCTTAATATTTGTTTAAACGATTAAAATGTAAGTCTTTCAAGTAAAACTGTAAAATTAAAACAGCCTTAATTTAAAATCCCCACTAAAACAGTGTGCTCAGTTTCACACACCATACTTTAAAATTCTAAATTACACTAACACCCAATTAGACAAGCTAACTATTCTTCAATTGTCAAAACTAATTTTTCACATAAAGGCTTAAAATTGTAAACAGGAAGCCAAGAGAGGAAAAATAATGCCGTTTTAATTTTGGTTAGAGACCAGCTTCTTGAACATTGTTTCCTTTGACATCAGAAAAAAAGCATAACTAGACTACACATACTGACAAGTCCAAGTTAGAGGTCCTAGATATTAATTTTATTCCTCTTACCTTGAATTTCGGCTACAAAAACATTACAGCACGTACTGTACACATCAAGTACCACGTCTATCCACCAGCTGTGCCAGCTGTCTGTTTACAGATAACTTTTACACTGCAATCAGTCAGCTTCACCTGATCCTTCTGCACTGATACTTGAGTTTGGGCTCTTGTGAGTTTAAAGTTTCATTTCTGCATTTCACAAACTCCGAGAGGGAAAAAGTGAAGAAGAAAAAAACAAATTCACCGAAACCCTAAATACACTTTCATTAGAAAAATATCACTTTCTAACTCTTCATTATTTTAGTAAAACATTACCTTCACACATTAAAAAAAAACAAATGAGGAAAAGATGCCCAATAAACAGTTATTTAAAAACATTTTAAGAATGTTTTTCCCTGTACATACTATACTAGCCATGAACAGAAATCCCTGGACCAAAAACTATAATCTGAGGGATTTTTGAGGTTGCCATTTTTAAGAGAAAGAGCAGAATCCCCCCAGCTGCTCACTGTGTCCCAACACAAAACAGGATCATTTTATTGAGAAACTTACCCTTATTAGGCTGTAAATAACTGTCACAGTCACCATGATGCTCTGTCACAGACCAAGGCACTCCCTAACCTATATAAATTAGAGACAACACCACAGAACTATTTGGCCATTTCCAGGAGTGGCTTCCTTTTAGATAGAAAAGGCAGAGAAACAAAAGACTCACCATGGCCCTTTTTTTTTTCAAGAGACTAGTGCAGCCGAAGAATTCCTTGTTCCACATTTCTATTAAAAAACAGGGATCAAAAAGGTGTTCATAATAGGATGCATAATTTCCAGACTAGGACAAATTTACACCAGATTAAACGGCAAGAGAAACAAATACATCTATCATCTTTTTTAACTGTTCTTGCACGTTTGATACTCCATTCAAGAGGCTTTTAAACAACAGGGTTAAAATATTCTTGACATTAAGAGTTACTTAAGGGTGCAGGAGACGAAAATAACCTGAGAGCCTTGTTTTTCTATTAAACAATATCCTCATACAAACTGACAGCTCATGTCCCTCCATACGTGAAGCCGACATTGCAATGATCATTTTTGTTGCATTAATCGACAGACCAGACCTTAATATTTTTAACCATGTATTAAACCACTTAAAGGGTTAAACTTTAAAAAAAACTGATATTAAAAACTACTCACCACCAGAATTAACAGGAATACATTCCATATGACATGAATATGCAACAGCAAACCAAATTATAAGAGATCTTAATAGCGAGCACAATCATTTAAGTGAAAAGAAATTGTGCCCACCCCATGTTGGGAATCTACAATCTGATGTTCATAACGTATTGAAACTTGAAATTGAGGGTTTGTGTGATAATACTGTAATTCTGACCGTGGGTTAAGCTTCTCAACATTTTCATTTTGTACTGCTTTAGAGATGACTGTACTTTTACATTACATCACAATATAAATGAGATTATTCTGGCCAAAAATTGTCTTAAGTTACTCAAAAAATGAAAAAAAGCTTAAAGACAAGTTTTATGTTTGAAACTTCACATTTCAAAACCGACTCCTCTGAATAAGTATAAAACTAAAAAAAATCATGTTTTCCAAACTGACAACATAAATGTTTCAGTGTATGTGTACACACATACAGTCAGGGAGTGTGAACACTGAACAGATTCATCACTAGCAACCACTTACAACAAAAAAAAAATTAAAGTACAAATAAATGTGATTAAATAAAATTTAGAAATTACAATATCATAAAAAATTCAGAGGCTCTGAAAATACAATTAAATTTTCAAAAAATGTATACCTTGTGTATCATTGCCCTAAAAGCAGTTTTTTAACTGCAAAAAAAATGCTCTCTCCAACTCCCACTGTAATCGATCTTAACACCTGTCAGGTAAAACTATTTTTTACTATCATCTATACATACAGTGACATTTACTTGGACAAACAGTCCGATATTTATGTACACACAAACCTAGAAAAACAAGTTTTCGGTTACTGTAACCGGAGGCGCAACTTTACTACTCTTTATTCTCCAAAGAATTATCAAAATGCCTCTTTTTGTACATCAGAAAATTAACAATGGCAAGACTCAGCACGGAAAACAGGAGAAAGTTATTAAAATTAACTTCAGAAAGATGCTCCCTGTGGTTATGCAAAGTTTATGTAATGGTTAACACTTAAAAAGGCTGTAGGTACTGTAGGTTGTTCCATTCCAGTAGAATGGCACACTATAATAGTATGCTTAGTATTTTTTTATTAAGATGTTAAAGCAAGTCTCAATATGTAGCCTACTAAACAAGTACATTAATCAGTATTGCTGATGTGAAAATAAAAGCAACCTTTTGTAATAATTTTGAGGGACTAAAATAAAACAAACTTGCCCAGGTGGCATTTATAATCTTTTCTGTTGCATGGATATGAGCATGTATGCATTGTATACATGTACAAATCACTGCATTTCTTAATATTAAACATACTGAAGGAAAAAAACTTCATTAGGCCAAACAGTTTGCTCACAATTCTCCAGATCTGGAAATATCAAGCCACCCATCACTTTGTTACACACTGAAGATCAAATAAGGAATAAAACTTTCTTGCTGCTTGGTGTGAAAGTAGTCACTGAATAAACTCTAGAAAACAACCTGAAACCCTACAGAAAAAAGTATTCATTTCACACAGTACTTTATACTCTAGTATGAAACTAACGTATTAAAAGCTGAAATGCCAATCCAATCAACATTTCCTTAAACTTGTTTGTTTTCATAGGCACAAATTAAATTACAGATGAAAGATTCATGTTCCATATTTCCTCATAAAATCATTCTGTACAATGCTGAACTATTTAACAATGATCCTTATTCCACATTTGGGCATCCTGAACAAAGTACACTTCTTCAGTCTCTCCCCACTGAATCTCTCCCCCTAGTCTGTTGATTTGTCACTTCCACTTTACTCCTCAAAACACACTTTTTCAACAAATCCACTACAGACTACCTTCTGGATTTGCCAGCATCTGAACATCTAAGCCTGAAAATCCAACAGTTTTCTATACCAGATTAGGCTGATTCACTCTGCATTATGGGGCAGGATTAGATAGCAAATATAAAATATCCATTAGAAATGAGTGTTAAACCCAAAGTGGTATAAATATTCCACTACAGATTAAAACAAAAAAAATGGTCATGCTTTCAATTAGAAGGGGCCTATTGTGTTCCTTGTAAAATAAAAATAATTGTCCTTATAGCAGACGACAAGGAACTCTCCACATAAATACATACGTCAGGTTACAAACACCCCCTCTTGTAATATTTCAATTGCAATAAAATTCTTGCATAAGAATAGTTTGATTAACAAAATATCATGACTATTGCCAAACAGTCTATAAAAATGTGAATATCTACAAGCAAGGCAGTTAATTATTAATCAACAAAAATTAAAAGATAGAAACTACAATTGCACAGGGTCACATTACAGACAAAAAACATTAAGTACTCATTTACACTTTCAAAAAAGAAGCCATTTTTGTCTTCTTTTTCTTAACTCCCCATGCAAACTAGCAATGAATGACGTAGGGAGCTCATTATGTACAGTAGAGTCAGTGCTTCTAGGATACTGCAGGACAGAGTGGGTTGTATGCTAATGAAAAAAAGGCATAAACTACATTTTGGATCCCGTTTTACAGCTAAAGACAGTTTCCTAGCCGAAATTAACTATGCCTGCTGACCTGTCGGCGGATCATTCTTAAATTCTGACGACCTTCTCAATGAAAAAATGCAAGGGAAATTCCCTTTTTGTAGGCTTGGGAGGCTAAATGACACAAAAGGGAGATTCCCTTTTAAGTAAAAAAAATCACTATATGCAGCAAATACCAACTGGGTTGATTAAGATTTGATTTCAACCCACCGTATCGCATTTAAAATATGAAAATATCAATTTTAAACTGCTATGTTGACGCAAGTATAATTTATTTTAACGCACGTTAGAAAAGCATATTACAATAAAGGGTCAACGGGGCATTTTTAACTAAAGCTTTCCCGTCGTGAAGATATGGCAAAAAATCTCCAGGCATCCAGCAAGTGCGACTGAACAATCAAACAACACAAATCTTTGAAATCTGCATCCAAGTGCCGCCGTTAAACTCAACCTCTACTCGTTCAAAGCACTTGTTTGATAAAGCCCGGTTTCTTTCCAAAATCCTGCTAAAAGCGAGCAAATAAAATAAAACTTTTGCCCAAATGTACGACAATACTTTCAAAATTCTGAGCTGACAAAATCAAGGCAATGCTTCAAAACAGTGGAAGGATTCGAGTATTAAATGGGACATTTGCACTGGTTTCAGATAACCGACTACCGACAGTAAAAAAAAAACAGTCCTACTACATTTATACCCACACATCTGGACATCAGCTTTCATCAGCCAGGAGCACCGAGGGGGAAAAAGGTGAGACGCCAGGCCGAGGACCTGACAGGTCAAGATACTTGATTACTAAAACCCGTATAATTTCTTTTGAGGTTAAAGAAAAGGTTACCACAAGGGGTGCTGAGGCGAAGATTAGAAAAAGCACAGTCAACTAACTCCCGGCTCTGGCTACAGGAACCTATTTTATGTCCACAACGAGAAATAAATGAGTATACCACATCAGTGTTAAGCCACAGCTCGGCTGCTGCAGGATCCCGTTATTAAATTGTTGAACAAGCAAAGCATTTCAGCCTCGCTGCGTTCAGACAGCCCCGGCGGTGCGAATTTCTCAAGGAGGGGCTGGGACGAGGGACCGTGCCGGCTAACTTCTCGAATTCTAGCACATTTCCATCCAACAGCCTCCGCCTGATGCAAGCGCAGGGTCTTCACGCAGATCTCGGCGATCACACGCCAGCAGCCCAGTAACCTGCCACTGCCCGCAAAACGTGCTGTCCGCGGCTCAGCGCCGAGCAGACACGCAGAAATACAAGAAGCCTACAAGTCAGATCTATCTGCGAGTTACCGATGGCCAATTCCGTCGTTCCTTTGCTAGCTAGACATTAGCCAGTTGTGAAATAACTCTGGCATTCATGCCCGCTTTGTATATTGACAGAGTCAGCAAGTTTACGTGGGCAGAATAGCCGAGCTATAAACTGCAAGACAGGTTAATTGTTGCAAAGTTGCGAGAACGCTTCTGCCTGTACGTCGGCCGAAAGAGGGGGGAAACACACCGATCCAAAGAAAGGTTTGCCTGATTTCCCGACTCCCCCCCACCCCCCACCCCCCATCATCTCACAACTGACATTTTTCGCTACTGCGTCCAGCCCACAGGCACCACTAATAAAAAGATCAGCAAATTTTCAGTGAGCCCCAGTGTAAGTAAACACGAGAGGGTCAGGGCGAGAATCTATCGCCACGCCGTGACAACCGATATTGACAAGTCGAAAACACTAAGTATCGAGATGACATGACAGAACACCACCCGAAAGTGGTGAACTACCAACACGCCGGGCGCAATTACTGTAATAATGCGAATTTGTAGGAGTGGGTGACACATCACGATAATTACGGCTGCGTAAAATTGCAGGCAGCAGCACCAAGGTTCTTTATATTAAGTAAATGGAAGACGGGCGAGGGGAAAAAAAAGGGCGATCTTGTCTTTTTCGAGTAGAGCCGATCAGAAATGCACCGAGAGAGAAGTGCAGGCAAATTCAACATTCACGGTCCAGTTAAAACGCAAAACGCTTGAAACGTCCGTTTTCAAAACTGGGGATTGTAGCAGCTGATTACAATAATTTGCACTCCAGATGGAAACACAAGGTACGCGCCGAAAAGATAAAGGAAATCGGAATTTTCATAGAAGAGGAAAAAAAAAACAAGAGCATGACACCCACCTTAACACGGAGGATAAAAAGTTCCCTTTCCAAACCGGAGGATCCATCAGCTTATTCACAACAAAGGTATTATTCTCCCCAAAGATGTCAGAAAAAAGCGCGAATATGTCTTTGGCAATCATCTTCATATTCTCCACGTAAAAGCCTAAAATACCATAATATTCGCACAAAAGCGGCTGCTTTCTTATGATCGACAGCCCGATATTGATGTTGCCCTCCTGTACAAGTCTCGCCGACTGTACCGATTTCTAATCCTCGCTCCCGCTCAAATTTACCGTTAAAAATAGACCCAAATCGCAGAAAACTCGGGCGTAAAACCACCTAGCCCACTCTCCAGCCCCCCAAATAATTTTTGAATTTTTTTTAGTATTTTTAGGGAAGGCCAATTATTTTTTACGATTTTTTGAAAAAATGACGATTTCCACAGCCGAAGACGAGTCAGAACCCCTTTCTTCTTTCCAACGTTTCTCCTGCCTCCTTAATCACCCCTGCGGTCCGTCTCCCCCACTCTCACGGCTGCCCGCCGCCTCCCTTGGACTTCCCGTATTTTTTGCCGATTTTTCTGGCATTTTTCGAGCCTTTTAAAGAAGTAAAAACGCTATTTTTTCCGATTCTGCGTCTTCCCCCCTCCCTTCCTCCCTCTCTGCCCGATGCTGCTGTACTCGAAAATGGCGCCGAAAGCCCGGCTGCTCATTCAAATTCGTTAGGGCCGCCCCCCCTCCGCCCATGGGCATGCCGGGAACGATCTCCGGGCCGCGGATTGGAGCAGCGCGCGGCGCTCTCTCTCCGACTGGGCTCGCGGCCCACGCACCCGGCCGCTCTCCGCGCGGGGGGAGGGGGGGCGGCTTAACCCTTTCGCTGCGGCCGGCTCCGCTCTCGCTCAGAAAACAGGAAAAATAAAACGAACATGTTGTCCACCGATAAGACTGTATAGGCAAGCCGGAGGCGATCTGATAGCCCCACAAATGCTTATTTAAGCAACAGCCAAAACAAAAACAAAAAAAGAGAAGTCTTCAATGACGTTCCCATACGCGAATTACCTACATGTTTTTTTTTTTTCGTTTTGGAAAGGGGTGGCACATAAATGAACACAAACATACCGCTATTTTTTCCCCAATAAAAATCGTCGTTTTAAGCAAGACCAAACACATACAAAATGGGTTGTATGAAACCCATTATTATACGTGTTTTAATGGGGGGTGGCGACGACAGTATGTTTTATCATTACCACATTGATGAGCTCTTAATAAGGACGTTACCATTCATTTTTTTTCCGTTTCCCTACACCACATGCTCAATCTTCAACCCCACCTTTTTTTTTTTGAAAGAAATAATCCGTTTTTAACCGACATTTTCGCCGTTAAGGTCACCGTTTTGTGCGTTTGCTCACTACTACACAGATCTCTTAGCCTTTTTGGCGAACAAAAAATATTGACACAGATGTGCGACTCTCCGGCGTGTGCGTCTTAAAAAACTATCGAAACCACTCCTCTCCCCCCGAAACTCGGGGTTATTTGCCGTGATCACCCTCGGTGTGATACGGACGGGCTGATACGGACCAGGCACAACCGTCGAAAGCCCCTTCACTGCGAGAGAGGAGGCTGACGGCTCTCGACATGAAGATGAACTTGAACGGACACAGCACACCCCACAGTTACTTCACTGGGGTATGATGGAGGAGGGTGAAAAGGCTGCCCTTAAGACAGCTGGCTCACTGACAGCGCTTGTGTCAGTCTAGCGACCACAGCACATGCCTGGAGCTTTTTCTCAAACTAAAGGCACTAGGATGCTGAATGCAGCCTCCCCTCCCCACACACCAACATACAGACAGCAGGGACAGGTTGCCTTCTTCACCCGGCCCAGATTAAGGCCGGAGAGGTGTGACCGACTGTGGCATTCATTTAAAATGTCGGTCCTTGGTCCCCCCACCCCCCCATTTTTTTTAAAAAGTGACCAGAAAATATAAATTGTGGGTACGACGGGGACTCAGGTGCTCACACACGGTCAATATTCGTAATACAAGAATTCATTTTTAGGCTATTTCTAACCTTCACACACACACACAAAAGTGACCTAAAAACTGACCTTAGCAAACCCAACGAGTACGACGCGGCTTGATCTCAAGCAAATTAAGGAGGCATTAAAAGGCCACACTGGCAGAGAATTTAAATTCGGTTTGTAAAAAAAATAAATAAAGAATGGTCCCCTCTGAAATTCCTCTGCGGCGTCCAGTGACACAGACAGGGTCAAGTCGGCAGTGGTGCGCAGACTTTCGGACCGGCTTTCGGGACACAGTGATAAGACTTTGAGATTCTGTCGCCCGAAGAGATCCAAGTTTTTTTGTTTTGTTTTGGCAGAAGCAATAGTTGAATATACTGTCGTGCAAGGTGCTTAGACTGTAGTATCTCGGCGCGCTGAGCGACCTCATTGAGTCGGAGTGTCTTCGTACAACCACATTAGCATCCCAAAGCCGCTTAAAACGAAGTGGGAGATGTCGCAAAGAAAAAACAGTATCTGATCAACACCAATTTTTACCCCGGACGACCTCATTACGTAAAGTGGATTTCATAACTAAACAATGCCTATAATAAGAGGAGGATTCCTCTCGAAGAAATAGTACAATATTCAATTTGTTTTACTCAGCTTGGCAAATCAATCAGAAATCGGAAAACTAGGGGCAGTATATTGTCATGAAAGGCAGATCTTTCCATTTCTCAAATTGTTCTGTGACTCTTTCAGAGTTGCCTCAGTTACTGTATAAGTCACCTCTGATCTACAGCACGAAAACTGCCGGTTCTAATACAAAACTTGGAGAAATGCTCAAACTCAGAACAAGCCCCTGCATGGTTCATTTTCAGGGTACATCCTTTTGTGTCTAATCAGACCACTCACTATATCTTTCAGGTCGCCCATCCCATCCTTCTCCTACAGAATTTAATATGGCATTAAGAAACACTTCCAAACTATTTCCCTGAAACCTGCCGGCAGGTTTCGGTTTGCAGAATTGATTAGGCATCTGCAAGCAGGCATCTTCTGTGTCTGACGCACCGATCATGACTCAGAGAGGTCCCCACAAATATACACAGCTCCATCTCAGAAGCATTTAAGAATATTCCGTTATATTGTGCGCGTAGGTGACAGAGACCATGTAGCACCTGAGCACTAATGGAAATGTCTATTTCTCAATAGTTAATACAAATATATTTTTAGAATTATTTATGACAATAAATATTACTCCAGAGATTAGAAGTAAAAGGGATTTATTTTATTACAGTCTTCAAATAAAATCTCTGATGTGCACATGTAAAAACGAGGTGTGAATAACATACCTTTTATGTGTTACTCTAGTTTCGGTGTATTTGTAATATATTTGACCTAATCTACAACTTGTGAATACATGAAACGCACACTCAAAAAAAAAATGCAGATATACTTTACAACTACAGATCATGAACATGCAAGACTTTGTTCTGAGCAGTATTCAAAATTCCCACATACTGTATTGAGTGTACAGTACATGAAGGCACCCCTGCATGCACATTTAAATCAGACATCTGCATATGGAAAAAGTCTGTGATAAGAAAACAGTTAACAGAAGGCAAACTGAAGCTTTTCTGTAATGCAAGGCTGCCGTTTTAAAAAAAAAGACACTTGCAGAGTCCAGGCAAATAATTTATTACTAATATAGTGCAAACAGCAAAGAATAATGAAGAATAATGAACATCTAATATTGTTTCTTGGTTGCTGAAGTTATTTGTCTCAGAAGTGTACAGATTGTGCATATCAGCAATACTCTAATTTGTGCCCAATTCCAGAACTGACTGGCGATTTTGTTCGAAAGCTGCCCAGTAAGTGAACCTTGTAAAGCTGGTCTACACCAAAATGTTTCCAAACATTACTGTACCAGTACTCGCCAAATGTCCCACATAACCTCTGCATTGAAACACTGCTCCCGAACAGCACCTTTGTCCATTTTTATGCTCTTCCGTGTTCTCTTTTGTGGGATCCACACCTGAAGAAATGAAAGGGTCAAAGTGGCCCTGATGAAACCCATTGTGCACAACAGCATTTCTATAGAACGTGAGCAAACTGCCTCATTTGTCCTTCTCTGTACAGAACTTCATGCATTATCTTCCTATTGATAACTTCCTTTTTTCATATTTATGCCTTTTTTTACATTGTTTTTAAATACACTTCATCAGAGAGGGTGAAATATTGGAAGCTACAAACTAATCTTTTCCACCAACCACGTGTAACAAAATACATACATCTTTTCCCAAGACACTTGAGCTGTTCTCTTTTTTCTCCCCAAAATGACCCTGACTGAAGATTCACCCAATGCACCCGGAAAAGGCTACCCACCTATAATGACACCCGTCTTTATCGGCATTTCCTTCACCCAGAACACGGGTGGGCAATGGAGGCTCTGGTGGGCCCGTGTGCTTAGGTTTTCTGGAAGGAGTCCCAGCACATGAAGAGTTAGAAGCTGTTCATTTGGTCTGTGCACACAGACCTTCTGGGACCAGGGCTGCCCAGCCCTGAACTCCAACACCCAGTGGCCTGGAGAGCTGTTTTACAGTATGCAGGGGGAAGAGAGTGCAATGATGTGGCACTGAACAACTAGCTGTTAACACTCACTTGCCCTGAAAGTCCCATTTGATAAATGCAATCCCCGCATCTTCTTAATGAAAAACAGCATTCAAGCTTCTACAGAAATAGCAACATTTCTATTTGGTCGGTAATGGTCAAAGCAGAGCCGTGGCAGCCCAGACGGCAAGGGCGTCTAGCTCCTGTCTGGAAGGTCCTGGGTTCAACCCCAGCGCAAGCTACATCGCTTGTCCCTACCCAAGTCCTTCCAGACGGCTCCCAGGTCCGATCAGCCTGCTTTCCAAATGCGTACTGGGGGTTAACCCTTCCGGGGGTAATAGGCAGGCCGGAGCGTGATGCGGACCACATCTCCTCCACCTGCCGTGTCAGATGGGCAAGAAAAGTGGTGGCCCTTGCCCCCCCGTTCCCCCATGGGCCTTGAGGGCCTGCAAAGGGACCTAGAAGAAGAATGGTCACAGCAAAAATTGCCTTTAAACTCCACACTCTGACAGTAGGCGGTTTGGTTTCAGAATGGTCCTCTGAAGACTGGTTGAGCCTCACCCTACATCAGTTAACAAGGCACTGACCAGGTGCCTGCAGAACTGGACGGTTATTGTCCTTGTGTTGACATTAGTGAATCTGCCGTTGCTGCCGAGGACACAGAACGCTCAAAGAAACAATTGGCTCCACAACACACCTCTTGGAGGACACGTGATTCGCTACAGTTCTCCTTGGTCAGCCAGTACTTGTGATCAAAAAACAGGTTCAAAAGGAAATGGAGATAACAGACTAGAATATGAAAGGGAAAGTCGAAAGCTTATTTTTCATAAAGATGTACTTGTCGGCAGCATCACTGTGTTCCAGCCTGTAATATTAATGAGAAGGCCGAGACACAGCTGGTTTATGAGTTCTCATTATCGGAAAATGGAACTTTAGGATACAGTGGCTAAAGTTTGCAATGATATCCAATATGAGATTTTGTTCAGCTACAATTGCCACTAAAGGAAGAGGAATACTCTATTAACTCATTCAGAAAGACATACTTACAAGAAAGCTTCATTGAG